GTTTATTATCTTAAGGTAAGAAAGGTCTTCTAATTAGTTTTCTTTAAACAACTCCATCTTCACCTTAAACTAATATCTCTTCTTCAACATATTTAACAGGTTCTGGTTGAAATTTGATTTCCATATTTCCTTCATTATTTTTGATCCAACCTTGTTATTTCAAGGCTTAATTTGATTGATCATTTTAAACAATTTTCCTTGAAATTACTTATTTACCATTTCCTAAATCTTCTTCTAAGTTTTATCCCATCTATAAATTATCTATTTCTTCATTATTTAATGGTTTTCTTACAATTTTCCTCTCTAATTTTCCTGTTTTTGGATTGATTTAAATGATTTCTTCTTCAATAAATTGTTCTGGTTCTTCTGAATTTAAGATGATCTCTTCTTATTTACCAACATTCTACCATTATTATTTGCTTGCTTTAGGTTAAAGATTGGATTCTATTTTACGTGAAAGCACTTTGTTTCCATTCTTATCCACTTCATTTAATGAATCTCCTTCTTGTACTTTTCCTCCCAAATACGGCTTTCTTACTAGTTTTCTTTCCATCATTCCTGTTTCATTATTAACCTATAAGACTTCTTCTGTAATATACTAAGATGGTTCAACTCCCAATGATTATTCATAATTCCCATCATTATTCTTCTTCCACTTAGAAGAAGTAAGAGATAAGTCATTATCAACAATCTTTCTAGAAACTACATAATAACCTTCACCTAAATCTTCTAAAAGTTGTTCTCCTTCTTCTATATTCTCATCTTCATCTAATGGTCTTCTTATAATTTTCCTCTCTTATTTTCCTCCTTGTCTCATAATTATAACTTCTTCTTCTATAAATTTGGTTGGTTCATGAATTGACAAGGTTTTTTCATAATTTCCTTAATTGTTTTTCCATCCTTCCTTCTCAACTTACTAAGTTGATGAAGTATTTTCAACAATTCTTCTTGCAAGAATTTTATTTCCATTTGAATCATTTTCTTATATATTATTTCCTACATTCAAACCAGGTTAATACTATTTTCTTACTAATTTTCTTTCCATCTTTCCTGTCTCTTCATTCATTACTAAGACTTTCTTCCTCAATATATTTGGCTGGTTCATTCTAAACAATTACTTTTTCTAATTATCCAGTTTTCTAATTTTTCTTCCATTCATTTAAAGAACTATCATTTTGTACAATTCTTCGAGCCACAACTTTTTAGTTATTACCTATTGATTCATTTAATTAATCTCCGATTTCTTCATCATTTTCATAAGGTCTTCTAACCAATTTACGCTCTTGTTTACCTGTTTTTGGGTTTATTATTATTATTTCTTCTTCAATATATTGCTCAGGCTCTTCTTATGAAATTATCTTTTCTAAAGTACCATTTTATCCTTTTTACCAATCCTTTTGAACTTAATTAAATGATTAAGAATTATCAACTATTTTTCTAGATAAAATTCTATTTCCATCCTTATCAACTTCATTTAGGTTATTACCCATTTATTAATTTTCCTTTGTTAAAGGTCTCCTAACTAATTTTCTTTGTATTCCATTTTCTCCATAACAAAGAACTTCCTCCTCAACATATTTAGTAGGTTCATTCTAAGCTAATTAAATTTCCATCTATCCTTATTTTGATTACCAATCTTTCATTTAATCCATAGATTACCCTTCACTTACGACGCACTATTCTTCGAGCAACCACTTTTCTAGTGCCATCACCTTCTTAAAGATTTTCTCTCAATTTCACCTACTTTCTGATTGAGTCAAAGGTCTTCTGATTAATTTTCCTTTCTTATTTCTAAGTTTTCGGATTTATGATGATGATTTCTTCTTCTATATATGCTTCAGGTTCTTCCTGTGAAACTATTTTCTCTAATTATCCATTATTCAATTAAACCCAGGTTGAATCAACTGGTTTATTATTTGATACAATCTTTCTTGAGACTACTTTATTTCCATTTAAATCTTATTCTATCACAGCTCCTGTTTATAATTTATTATCTTAAGGTAAGAAAGGTCTTCTAATTAGTTTTCTTTAAACAACTCCATCTTCACCTTAAACTAATATCTCTTCTTCAACATATTTAACAGGTTCTGGTTGAAATTTGATTTCCATATTTCCTTCATTATTTTTGATCCAACCTTGTTATTTCAAGGCTTAATTTGATTGATCATTTTAAACAATTTTCCTTGAAATTACTTATTTACCATTTCCTAAATCTTCTTCTAAGTTTTATCCCATCTATAAATTATCTATTTCTTCATTATTTAATGGTTTTCTTACAATTTTCCTCTCTAATTTTCCTGTTTTTGGATTGATTTAAATGATTTCTTCTTCAATAAATTGTTCTGGTTCTTCTGAATTTAAGATGATCTCTTCTTATTTACCAACATTCTACCATTATTATTTGCTTGCTTTAGGTTAAAGATTGGATTCTATTTTACGTGAAAGCACTTTGTTTCCCATTCTTATCTACTTCATTTAATTAATCTCCTTCTTGTACTTTTCCTCCCAAATAAGGTTTTCTTACTAGTTTTCTTTCCATCATTCCTGTTTCATTATTAACCTATAAGAACTTCTTCTGTTATATATTAAGATGGTTCAACTCCCAATGATTATTCATAATTCCCATCATTATTCTTCTTCCACTTAGTAGAAGTAAGAGATAAATCATTATCAACAATCTTTCTAGAAACTACATAATAACCTTCACCTAAATCTTCTAAAAGTTGTTCTCCTTCTTCTATATTCTCATCTTCATCTAATGGTCTTCTTATAATTTTCCTCTCTTATTTTCCTCCTTGTCTCATAATTATAACTTCTTCTTCTATAAATTTGGTTGGTTCATGAATTGACAAGGTTTTTTCATAATTTCCTTAATTACTTTTCCAGCCTTCCTTCTCGACTTACTAAGTTGATGAAGTATTTTCAACAATTCTTCTTGCAAGAATTTTATTTCCATATGAATCATTTTCTTATATATTATTTCCTACATTCAAACCAGGCTAATACTGTTTTCTTATTAATTTTCTTTCCATCTTTCCTGTCTCTTCATTCATTACTAAGACTTCTTCCTCAATATATTTGGCTGGTTCATTCTAAACGATTATTTTTTCTAATTATCCAGTTTTCTAATTTTTCTTCCATTCGTTTAAAGAACTATCATTTTGTACAATTCTTCGAGCCACAACTTTTTAGTTATTACCTATTGATTCATTTAATTAATCTCCGATTTCTTCATCATTTTCATAAGGTCTTCTAACCAATTTACGCTCTTGTTTACCTGTTTTTGGGTTTATTATGATGATTTCTTCTTCAATATATGCTTCAGGTTCTTCCTATGAAACTATTTTCTCTAATTATCCATTATTCAATTAAACCCAGGTTGAATCAACTGGTTTATTATTTGATACAATCTTCCTTGAGACTACTTTATTTCCATTTAAATCTTATTCTATCACAGCTCCTGTTTATGATTTACGATCTTAAGGTAAGCGAAATCTTAAAATTAGTTTTCTTTAAACAACTCCATCTTCACCCTTAAATTAATATCTCTTCTTCAACATATTTAACAGGTTCTGGTTGAAATTTGATTTCCATATTTCCTTCATTATTTTTGATCCAACCTTGTTATTTCAAGGCTTAATTTGATTGATCATTTTAAACGATTTTTCCTTGAAATTACTTATTTACCATTCATCCTAAATCTTCTTCTAAGTTTTATCCTATCTATAAATTATCTATTTCTTCATTGTTTAATGGTTTTCTTACAATTTTCCTCTCTAATTTTCCTGTTTTTGGATTGATTTAAATGATTTCTTCTTCAATAAATTGTTCAGGTTCTTCTGAATTTAAGATGATCTCTTCTTATTTACCAACATTCTACCATTATTATTTGCTTGCCTTAGGTTAAAGATTCGATTCTATTTTACGAGAAAGCACTTTGTTTCCATTCTTATCTACTTCATTTAATGAATCTCCTTCTTGTACTTTTCCTCCCAAATACGGTTTTCTTACTAGTTTTCTTTCCATCATTCCTGTTTCATTATTAACCTATAAGACTTCTTCTGTTATATATTAAGATGGTTCAACTCCCAATGATTATTCATAATTCCCATCATTATTCTTCTTCCACTTTGAAGAAGTAAGAGATAAATCATTATCAACCAATCTTTCTAGAAACTACATAATAACCTTCACCTAAATCTTCTAAAAGTTGTTCTCCTTCTTCTATATTCTCATCTTCATCTAATGGTCTTCTTATAATTTTCCTCTCTTATTTTCCTCCTTGTCTCATAATTATAACTTCTTCTTCTATAAATTTAGTTGGTTCATGAATTGACAAGGTTTTTTCATAATTTCCTTAATTACTTTTCCAGCCCTTCCTTCTCAACTTACTAAGTTGATGAAGTATTTTCAACAATTCTTCTTGCAAGAATTTTATTTCCATATGAATCAATTTTCTTATAAATTATTTCCTACATTCAAACCCAGGTTAATAAACTATTTTCTTACTAATTTTCTTTCCATCTTTCCTGTCTCTTCATTCATTACTAAGACTTCTTCCTCAATATATTTGGCTGGTTCATTCTAAACAATTACTTTTTCTAATTATCCAGTTTTCTAATTTTTCTTCCATTCATTTAAAGAACTATCATTTTGTACAATTCTTCGAGCCACAACTTTTTTAGTTATTACCTATTGATTCATTTAATTAATCCCCAATTTCTTCATCATTTTCATAAGGTCTTCTAACCAATTTACGCTCTTGTTTACCTGTTTTTGGGTTTATTATTATTATTTCTTCTTCAACATATTGCTCAGGCTCCTCAGACAAAACCATTTCAAAATTTTTTCCATTTTGTTCCCAATTTTTCAAATTCCCTATTTATTCAATAACTTTTCTTGATATAACAACATTTCCGTTTTTATCCACTTCTTTTAAATTATTTCCTACTTTACCTTTACACTATTCTATCGGTCGTCTAATAAGCTTACGTGTTATTTTTCCATTGTTATCTTTTACTAATACTTCCTCTTCTACATATTACATTGAATCAATTTATAATTCGAAGTTGCCTTCTTAATTTTTCAACCATTCCTATCCTTATTATATATTTTTATCTTTTTCTATAATTCTTCTTGCAATAATTTTAACCCCTACATCACCATCTTCATCCAACTCTTCACTTATCTCTTGTAATGGCATATCAAAGAATGGTCGTCTAACTAGTTTTCTGTCTTATTTTTTTGTTACTGGATTGTATATTAAGATTTCTTCTTCGACAAACTATTCTGGGTCTGATTCTGATATTAATTTTTAAAAAAGTCCCTCTTAATTAAGTTACCATCCGTTTTTTAACATGAACTATTTTGTTTAAGAATCATCTATTATTCTTCTCGAAATAACTTTTATTTCATTTTAGTTATATTATTCATTCTCTTCATTCATATCTTCTTTATATGGTTTTCTAATTAACATTCTTTCCATCTTTCCTGTATCCTTATTATACCTTAAGATTTCTTCTTCAACATATTTAACAGGATCGCTTTTTTATTCTTTATCCTTTCCTTTATTTTGCATTTATTAAGGTGTAATTTTTTTTACAAAAACCTTTTAGCTATTTTCTATTTATTAAATTTAGATTTGTTCTTTTCCTAGAATCCTTTCAAGTCTTTGCATGTTCTCCAAATTCCAACCATCTGCTCTCATTTAAGTCAAAGATTCATTATTTTCAACTAATCGTCTACTTTCTACAACTTCACCATTTTATTATTCTTCATTAATACCTTCTCCTAGAGTAAGCATTTCAGGTGCTTTTCTAATTTATTTTCGAGTGATACAATTACCCTCGTGTATTTTAATATCTTCCTCTAAGTATTATATAGGTTCATTTTTTGAAATAACTTTTTTATATTTATTGTTGCTTGTTAATTCCCAACTCTAATCAATTACTTCGTTTATAACTCGACTTGCAATTAAAATTTAGTCTTTAGCTCTTACTGCATATAAATTTTCATCATTTACATATGCAGGAGAGTCACTGAAAATTATTTCTCTCAATAATACTCTATCCTATTTCTACTTATTTCGTATTAAAATTTCTTCTTCAAAAATTTTTAATGATTCATCAAATCTTTATACTCCTGGAGATTAGATGATAGGTGATACATTTTATCGATTTGAGAGTTGTTTTTTTGTTCCTAATATTCTACTTTAAAATTAATTGAATTCTTTATCCTGAGTTCCAAAATCTCCAACTGATAAATCATCAGCAATGCTTTATCTTTTTTTCGATGTTGCATCTTCAAATATATCATCAGATTGATTAGATAGTCGTTTCAGGCCTTCTAGTTGAGATCTTACTGTTTCCATTTATTTATTCAGTTCCTGGTCATAGGTTCTTTCTTTGTGGATAAATTCTTATATTTTATCCTTTTCTGAACTGTTTGCTCTTGGATTTATCTCTTTTATCATTTATCTTATATCTTAAGCAGAGCTGCTTCTGTTTGAGTAAATTCTTTCTCTAAATTCAAATGCAATTTAAGGGTAATTATACGCAGAATTAATAGTAAGTTGAACATCTTAGATCAAAAGCCTCATTAAGTTAGCCTTTTTAACAGGAGATTTCGTTCTGCTTTCGGTGTAAGTTACAAAAGAGCGAGCTAAAGGTTGCTGCATGTTTGGTGTGCGAGATAGAAATGATTTTGGGAGAAGTGCAGATTGCTTTAAAGGAGTTATTGCTGATTTATTAGATTTTAAAACTATTGGCTAAGGGGAATAATATAATCTAGACTTTTATTAGGGTATCACAACTTTGCTTGGGGTTCGATTTACTTAATGATTTATTATAGACAATTTTAATTAGGTCTCTTATTTATGTGCCTCAGATAGTGAGTATTATTATGAATAATTTTGAATCGCACTTGATATTCCTTTTTTTTGGGCTCCATCAATAAAACGTTCTTTGTCTACAACAAAGGCTTAGATTGAGTTTAATGTGAATTTCATAATATTTTATGGGGAGATTGCTGTATGCATAGCTTTTTCTGTATTTTCATATCGAATTTGTTCATAGAGAGCTTTCATTTCGATTTATTCGTTTTGGAACAGATTTGCTTTGTCTATTTTTATAAACTATTATAATTCAGTTAGACAAAATAGATGAGTGTCATTTTGTGAAACATTATGAATTTTTAATCTAATATCCAGCTTTTTGATTACTAGTTCACTTAAAACTAATAGATATAATTCATTTTTATCTAAACCTTTAAGTTAATATTGTTACTTGTGAGCAAAAATGAATAGCGATCGTTAGGCAAAATTTCAGAAATAACAAGATGTTCATTTGTATATGATTTGAATTGCTAAAGCATCCATTTCTGATTGCTATAAAAACTTGATTTAAAGGAATCTGATAATAAAAAAATATTAGAAGATCCTAAATTTTAAGTACAATGTGAAAAATACCATCAATAAGCAAGATGTAATCTTTTCCAGCACAAATTTTATTAATTTTTATGGTTAAGGGGCCAACAATATAGGGTATTTCTGAATTTCCAATTGGTGTTTATCCCCATGTCCACAATTTTCCTGAATAGTCAAGTCCACATCCAAGATGAGAAGAAAGTGCCACCTACTTAAAATCTTTTCCTATCCTACTTGGAATAGGCAAAAAGTATATCTTCGAAATTCCAAGAGTGCCATAATGATTTTTATCCTCTCCAAATGAATAAACTTACCCAGAATATGAAAGTGCCAATGTCACATTTTTGTTGGTTGTAATATACTTAATTTTTTCATTCTTGAAGGGTAGCTAATAAAAGGAAAGCTCGTAGCTGATATAATATAGGCAGCCTGTTTCTGAGAGTATCTAAAATGAATTTGGTGAAAACCCTTTACAAATTTATCTCACCTTACCGAACTATCCAAGCACATTGAACGGTTTATATGTATTCTAAGACTTAAAGAAATAATACCTGTTCATCATCATAGATATACAGTATATCATTCATTTTTTTAATTAAATTAAGTTGTAATGGCAAAGTTGGAAAAGGCTGCAAACGATCTGGATTTTTACAAAAATCGTGATGAGACTCATCCATAGAACCTTAATTATGAGCCTCCTGTTGAAGATTTCTATGGGCCAGTGGCAACAGAGCTGAGATTCTGTACAGATCTTATCTGCATTTTTATTTGGATTATATTTTTGGGGTTTTCTTTTGCTTATGGTTTTTATGGTAAAACTAGTTCCAAACCATATAATAGCGTACCAAGAGTTTAAAATAGAAAGACTCTATCGGAGTTCCGATTTTAGAACTGACTTATGCGGAATTAAATAATTAGAGAAGAAACCTTATGCTTACTTCCTCGACCCAGATAATTTATTCGATATTGCTATTTGCGTAGAAAAGTGTCCCAATACGATAGACTATGTAAATTGAAAATTAAACTAGACTTAACAAATTTGTTTATATGATACTGATGGATAAACTATATTAGAAGATTACTGCTACGATACCTACTATACTGACCCTTACTTAGTTTATTGCATGCCCATGGAACTAGGATAAAGAAGAGATGCAATTGAAAAGATTATAAACACCGATATGGAAATTTTTAAGAGAATAGCTGGTGATTTTTGGATAGTATAAATATAAATTAAAAATTAGAATATTGAGTTAATCGTAGGAGCATTTGCAGTTTAAATAGTAGTAGGAATCATTTTCGTCATTATTTTGTTAGGAAAGAGTATGATTTGAAAATAAATTAGGAATTGCTCATATGATGCTTTGGGGTTTTGTAACTGGGTTTTGTGTTGCAATGGTATTCTTGTCTAAATATTTGGATGAAGAAAGGTATAAGGTAATTTAAAGGGATTGCCCTGTTGATATTAAAGATCCTTATCAATGTGTGGCAGCACATTTGTATTTATTGGAAATTGCAAAGCAAGCTTTATTATACTTAATTCCTGTCTATGTATTCTTCCTAATTTACTGTTTTCATCAAATTTTAAGGATGATTCAAGTTATGGAAAGAATGCTCAAACCTTTAAGGTAAATGCTACATGTCTTACTAATTCCATTCTTTATATCATTGTTGTAAGCTGCATTAGCAATTCTATTCATTTTAGTCTTAATGGGAGGTATAAACTCTGGAGCACCAGAAACTGTCTCTGCTCCTACTGGTTTTTCCAGCACTTCATATAGGAAATTAGTGTTTTAAGTGTGGTAAGAGAGAGGATTCTACGTGGTATTATTTTTTATGCTTTGGACACTGTAAGCCTTGTATTATTATGTTCGTTGTTATATTGCTTGCTGTTGTTCAGTTTGGTATTTCAGTAGAGATAAAAATTATTTAAACGCTCCTATGCTGAGACCTCTTTGGTACACTATTAGGTATCACATGGGAAGTTTTTTAATGGGAGCATTATTGATTCCTTTATTCTGGATTCCAAATGCTTTGTTTTATTATTGGAAATCCATGTTAGTATAAATGTCACGAAAAAGCTTTTTATTACACATTTTATTGTTTTTCTCAATCCCTGGGTTTTGGTTTTACGAATATGCAGGAAAGTATATCAGTCATAGGAACTTCATGCATATAGCCATTTTTGGAGAAAGCTTTTGGATAGCAGGGCAAAAGACCTTTTATCTTAGAGAAAGAAACTCTTCAAGAGTAGAAATGATAAAGAAAACTCTTGGGTTTGTAAGGCTAATAGGAATGTTATTTATTTCATCAGTAGGAACTTACTTGGTTTACTATTAATTATATACTAATTAAATTATTGACAGATTTGTTATCGATGTTAAATAGGCGGTTCATTTCCCAATAGTGCCAGCTATATATGTATTTTTAGTTGGTTTATATATTTCTCAAAACTTTTCCTCCATAATTGATATTGTTGCTGAAATAATGATGTTTGATTTAATAGCCGAGGAAGAGATGTTTATGGGAAAATAGAGATTTGCAGATTAAGATATGCTTGAATTCGCAAATAAATATAGTAAAGAAAAGCAGAAATCCGATTTTGTTGTAACTAATTAAGGAAGGATAAATCCTATGAATGAAGGAGACGACGCTAACAAAGCTCTGGGCAAATTTGATTTGGGAAATTTAATGGAGTAAGATGAGGAAGAACCTGAGGAACTAGATCCAGAACCAGAACCACCAGTTGAAGAACCAAAAGAAAAATCTATTAAAAGTGAGCATGATGATGATTTTGGAAGAGGAAATGAACTGGATTTGGATGAATTAGGAGATATGAATAATAAAAATAATGACGATCAATTTGATGACGAGGTAATATTTAGTTTTCAATTTCATAGCTTGCAGAATTTAATAAATAAAGAGCACAAGATTCTAACAATAAAAGGAAATTAGAAGAGGATGTTATTAATTTAGATCAAAATAAGTAATAAGCAGATGGGGCAAAAAAGACGGATAGAAGAAGATTTTGAATTATAATTAAATATTTTATATGGGATCTCAAAGTAGTAAATTAGTTACAGAAACTTAAAGGCATGAGCATGCAATCAATTATATGAACTCTGGAGGGTAAGATCAATCATAACTTTAGCTCTATGAGCGACAAATCTGCTAAAAGTATCAAGGATATCGAATAAACACAACAGGAATTTGTAAATACATAGTTTAAATGGAATTTTGGTGGACAAAAGGTATTTGTGGCAGGCACATTCTCCTAATGGAAAACTACTCACTAATTATAAAGAGATAAAGGTGGGGAGTTCAGTATAGTGATACCCTTACCTAAAGGAATTCATCATTATAAATTTATTGTGGATGGCGATTGGAGATTCTCTCCTGATGATCCTACAACTGCAGATGAACATGGCAACATCAATAATGTAATAGATACAACCAAAGTCGAAAACAAAGCCAAAGAATTCATGGATTCAAGTCAATAATTTAAACCAGAGAAATCACCGACTGACTCTGTTATTTAGAATCAAAAATAGGTCATTTAAGATTTCAATTTTAATGACAAAGCTCCTCCTGTTCCTCCACACTTACTTAAATACTATTATATAGAAGTAAATTTAATTATATATTCCATAGGAAAAAGAGAAAAAACTTAATAATATGTGGAATAAAGATATTAGACCTCAAGGTTAAATGGAACTTGAAGATGCCAAACCATAAATATCATAGCAAGAAATATTTGATCACCTGATCTAGATTTTTAGCAACGTTAATTCATTGTCCCCTCCTCCCCATGTCAATCTTAATCATTTGGCCTGTCTAACTACAAATAAGAACAGCCCTTTTAGTGTTTATGCATTAACACATAGATTTAAGGCCAAGCATACAACAATTAAATTTTACACCCACAAATATTAAGAAAACAAGCAACAATTGTTTGTTGTATGAAAAATCATAAATAAACATTAACATAAAATAACATTCAAGCTATCTATTTTTCTATATAAATGCTCTTTTTCTTCAAAATCTTTATTTTTTCAACTGTTATTTCAACATATTCAATCTAATGAATTCTAATTTGTCAAATCATATCATTTAAAATAATTAGCTGTAAAATTGTTAAGAATTATTACTAAAATATTTTTGATTGATATGATTTCATTTGAGCGACTAACTTACAGTTATATATTTATTGTAGAAAAATAAATGAATTTTTAATTATTTTGAGTAAATATTAGCTACATACAACCTGAAAAATTAGTTTTAATCTCTCAAAAACTTCATTTTAGTAATGATAAGAAAATAAAAAGGTTTACAGTAATATTGACTTATATAAAATTCTTTCTAAGTTTGAAGCTCTAAAATATAATATACACGTTTTTTAATTCATATTACAATTATAAAACAAAAGAAATAAAAATATTATAATTGTTTTTATTAAATAAATCAGATAATGTTTATACTAGGAATAATACTTCATTTCTATATGATTTTCTCCTCAAGCAGAAATACCATCTAATTTTAGGATTCTATTACTATTAATAGATATTCAATAATATTTTATTTATTTCAATTCGATATTTTTATTAATTTCAAATTAAATAAAAGTGATGTTAGCTAAAAAAGACTAATTTCGAAAGTTAGTTGATAATTAGTTTTATTAGGGTAATGTAATGTCCATAAAATAAACTCTGATGGTTAACAATGATAGTTTTGAAAATGAATTTTTATAAAAGCCTCCATCATATTAATTTTAATACCTACAATTAGACAGGGGGAAATTATAGTCAGTAATAGTTATAAATTTAAAATAAAGATCAACACAAAAGAATCAAGCAGAACGAGATTTAGAAATAATTCTGTAAGTAATTAAAAGCAAGATAATGAATTAGGTTTAGTTCAATAACTTAAGAATAAAATAAGCAAATTATAATCTTTGCTTCAAGATCTTTTTAGTATTTTGAAGAATAATGATAAAGTAAATAATGGAATTATTACAGAATTGCATGAGAAATTTATTTCTATCATTAAAAATAACAATGAAACACAAACAACAAATTAAATGAATTTGTATAAACTAAATGGGCAGATCTATGGTTTATCTAAAGCTGATTTAAATGATTCCAATTTAACAAAGGAAACGTATACAATAAATGAAAATATTAAGGAAATATAGGTTCTCCATTATAAAGGAGCATGTAAAATTATGAAAATTTTTACTTGTAATCATGAATCCTTTAATTTTGGTGAGTGTTAAGAGGGGAATAATATATTATAAGAAAAATCCTTTTCATTCCAAGAGAACAAAATATTTAAATCAATTTATTTCGATCAAGGTGAATCAAATCAATTAACAGGTTTTTTAGAATTAAACAAAATGTTTACTTTGGATAGTATTTAACAGTAAGGTAGGATTACAGATGAATTTAATTAAGATCATGAACTTCATGATATAAATATTTTAACAAATTAAGGTAGTATTGTTGGAGGTTAGGGAATCTATAGAAAAACAATTAATTCTGAAATAGAATTAGTAGAAGGAAAACCTTTTATCAACACTGCGAACTTAAATTCAGAATTAAATGATTGCGCTTATGAAGAATTTAGAGTATTATATGAGTTCGAAGTTTATTAAAATAAGGAATGTCTAACAATTGATAAAATTACTTTAAAGTATTAAATAATAAGTACAATTTTATGATAATGTTTAATAGATAAAATAAATTAAAGTAAATCTAAACTTCAAATTGAAATTGGGAAGTTAAAAGAAAAGAATTATTCAATTTTGAAGCATCAGGTGCAAAAAGGAAAACTTTTGTCCTTTACATATTCTCATATAAATGAACAAAATTATTTGACTAATATTGAATTGGTATGATTTAAATACAAAAATTTATATTTTTCACAGTCACCTTATCATACTAAATATTATATTAATTTAATTAATTATTATTATATGAGCACAGTTCAAGAAAAGTTTGATCTTGTTTAGAAATTTATTAAATCAGGAAATACAGGAGGAAAGGAGTTGGACAATTCATAGAAATTGTAACTTTATGCTCTGTTCAAACAAGTGATTATTTCTAAATTTATTTTTAGATTTCTGAAGGACCTTGCAAAGGTTCAGCTCCAAGTAAATTAAAAGTAGTAGAGAGAGCTAAATATGATGCTTGGAAAAAGTTAGGAAACATCTCTAAAGAAAAGGCTTAAGAATTATACATTAAAGTAATTGAAGGCGTTTGGCCAAAATGGAATGAAAAAGCTAAGCTTTGATCAATAACATATATTAATTTTAAAAATAAATATAGAGATACATGGAATAAAAAAATTTTTGGATCTATCTAAAATTCTTATTTAATTTAATATAGTTAAAACATTATAAAATGCATCTTGTAGAAGAGTTAAATTAGAAAAGATTAGAATTCAAGCAGATGTGTATTTTCTATTAAAAGCAATTAATTTCAACACATTTCAAATTTTTATGGTAATGAATACTTATTTCTTAATAAAATAATTTCCAATTTAATCTGATAAATTAAGGATTTATATTAAGTATGAGAAAAGTTATTGGTGATGATGGGAAAATTATTTGGTAACTACTGTTACAATTTCATAAATCAAAATAATATAGCAATATTTATTGAATTCCTCTAAAAATTCATTAATTATTCGATATTTTATATTACTAAAATTCGAGATTTTATTTATTCATGTGAATTTGTAAATGCATATTTATAAAATATATTTCTCTTCATTTCAAATCAATTCAACAGAGTCTAATATGACTTTGCTTTCCTTATTTGCCACACTTAAGAAAAGACTTAAATCACTAACATATGCTTTTGCCATTCTTGAAACATCCTTTTGAATAACAATATAGCCTTTTCTTATATGAAATTATTTACTTTAAGTTGGAATATTATTCTCTACATATTCCACCGCTTATCTTCCTTTAAGAGTTCTGCTTAAAGCTTGCTTTGCGCAATACCAATTGATATCATGAATTTCTGCTCCAGCTAAATTCATTGCCCAGGTTTATTTATTTTCTTTTTTCTTAATCAAATTTTACATCTAACAGGATATGCCTTAAAGATTCTTTAATAGTATGGGACTGGCCATTATGAAGTAGACATCACTCTGTCAACAATTGGTCTTTCGTGGATAGGTCCCCAAAGAGCTCCAGAGAAGCGTGCCACTGATTTGCTTTGAGCTAGACGAATCATTTTTAATTATTTATATAAATTAATTATATATATTTCTATTTTAAAATTACATCCACATGATTGTATGGATATTCTAAAATATGAGTATTGTCTTGTTCTTTCTTGAACAATTAACGCTGAGAATAAAAATGAGGAGGAAATGCTATGTGGATGTCAAAAAAGGGGAAAAAATAAAATTAAATTAATTTGTTGTAAGTTAATGAGAGATTTGTAATATATTATTAATTACTATACGATTTTAATGCATTTATTTCACTGGCCAGATTTGGAATTGATATATAATGTATTATTTGATTGTTTATAATTTATATTTATTATATCCAAAAGAATAATTTTTCATGATGTTGTAAACAAAGAAGTCCAATGTAAAAATTACTGTTGATTAAAAATTCGAGACCTGCATTTAAAAAAATGTGACAGATATCAGGTCTGATCAAGGAAGTTCTTAGAAGATTCCTGGAAATAGCTATAAGGTAATAAAATTCTAATAAGCAGGTGGAAAAACCCTCTCATTCGGAAGCTAAAACAAAGCAATCAGAACCTATCCAAAAATAGATTCCTTCTTTGATAAATTAAAGAAAAATAAGTGATAATTAACATCCTCTAAAACCCACAGAAGTGACAAAATGTTACGTTGACAATTCTTAGCTGATACAATAATTAATATAAGAAAATATTAAACTAAAAAAATAAAACTTAGCTAAAGATTCAATCATAAATTAGTTGATAACAAATAATGACATTTCCAAAGTAAATCAGTTGAGATCAAGCACATCCTAAACTGAAAGATTATGTAATAAATAAAAGAACTAACAGAACAAGTATAATCATAACTAATATCTAGGTAAAAGAATTCACATAAGAGTATGGAAGAACTATCCTCGCTCGGATTCACATTTTGCAATACGGAATAAAAAAATAACTAATTAGATTCTGGATAAGTCTCTATAAAATCATCAAAAAGCCCCAATAAATTGCCAAAAGAATTTTTGATAATTCCAAGTCAAAAAAAGTATTTTGTGTGAGTCTTTTGTCAGATAGGTTTCAATGAGGAGTAGTTAATTATAATAAAATATTATATATAAAATTAAAATAATTAGATGGGCTCGTGTTGTGCAAACACTACGCAAGATAAAGAATCTTTTACTGCTAGTCCAGCTCCAATCTAAATAAGCAACGAGAATTTGGAGGTAAGGGAACCAACGAAAATTAAGGAATCCAATGAAACTCCAAGTTCACCCATAAGATCAGAAAAAATCGATGTATTAGTTCATATTAAAATATAGCACAGGAAGAGAATTATGGAAGCATTAAGAGTTACCGTGGTGTGTTGATTGAAAACACTAATGTATATATGCATTCTTTTAATAGTTTAGATATTTGATGAACAATCCTCACTAGCTCTAACCATATTCAATTCTCTAGGTATTTATGTTAAGAATTAAAGGTCCGTTTCCATTTCCGATAATCAAAGATCAGACACTTACTTATGCTGGTCCAGTTCAAATCGAGGCAGGGTATTTCTGAAGTAGAAATTAGATCCTTTTATATGGGATAATGGTTAGATGGCAAAAGACATGGATTTGGAAAATAGTTATATCCTTTTGGATCAATCTATGAAGGAGAGTGGTACAACGATCAATAGTAGGGATATGGGAGAATGGTTCTTCCAAACGGGGATTAGTAAATTATAAGTGTATGATGTAAGTTATGAAGGAGAATGGAGGAGTGATAAGGCTTGGGGCACTGGAAAATATGTGACCATAGATGGAACTACATACAATGGCGAATGGGTGGATGATAAATAACATGGGGTAACTAAAGATATCTATAATGAGAAAGGTGTTGAGGAGTGGAAAAATGGTTAAAAATATGAAGGCAATTATTTAAATGGTTAAAAAACTGGATATGGAGTGTTCTATTGGCTGGATGGTTCCAAATACGAAGGGGAATTGTTGGATGGAATGCCTCATGGGAATGGGGAATACATTTGGAGGGACGGCAAAAAGGTAAATAGCAAATTGAAATTAGTATAAAGGAGAATGGATGTTTAATTAGATGCATGGGGATGGAATATATGTTTGGCCTGACGGAAAGATTTACAAGGGGAATGTATACTAATTTTACTAGTCATTTTAGTTTGAAAAAGACTAAAGAGAAGGGTATGGGGAATTGGATTGGTCAGATGGTAGAATGTATAAAGGTAATTGGAAAAATGGTAAATAACATGGCGAAGGAGCATTTATTTATAAAAACAAAATAAGAAAAGGAGTTTGGTAAAATGGGTAGCCAACAAAGTGGTGTCAAAGTGAAATATTATCAATATAATGATATACTATAATGTTTTAATTTATTCTCAATCAATAGATATAATTTAATTATTAAAGTGAATTCAATTTCAATAGTATGGGGAATTGTGGATGTCTAAAGAGAAATGATAAAGAGTTTGATGACTTTGATGATAAACCGATTAAATAAGCACCACCGGCAGTCAAAGAGAATACCGAATAATAGAAACCCACAATATAATTCAGTTCGCACTCTGTCCCTCAAAGGCAAAAGATCAAGGAAACTGTGAATCTAAGGAAGTCTCATACTATTGAAGGCGAAAAAAAGCTTAATGATTACACATTAAAATAGGTTTTAGGTTAAGGTACATTTGGAAAGGTTAGGCTTGCGGAAAAAAATTTATAAAATTATGCTATAAAAATACTAAATAAAAGCAGACTCAAAAAGCAAAGGGAGTATTACACTGATTCAAATGGAGGTTAAATATTTAATTATCATGGTAGTTGTTAAGATTAAGAATGCATTTTAAAATGTGGCTAAGGAGATTGCTATTATGAAGAAGTTACGTCATCCTAATATTATTCGACTTTATGAAATTATTGATTCTCCTAATTCAAATAAAATGTATATGGGTATTCTCTGCTTTTATTATCAAAGTAATGGAGTATGCACAAAACGGCTAATTGATTGAATGGAATGAAGATTTAGGATAATTTATTTTAACACATTAAGATTTTAAGCTTACAGAAGATAAATTGAGAATAATTTGTAGAGACATTATAAAGGGTATATACCAAAGTATAAATACCCTAATATCAATATAGTGCATGAATTAGGAATAGTGCATAGAGATCTAAAGCCTTAAAACATTTTATTTGATCAAAAGTTTAGAGCCAAAATCTGTGACTTTGGAGTTTCTCAAATTATAAATGGAGACACTGAGTATTTTGGTACCAATGGCACCTATTTATTTATGGCTCCTGAGTGTTTTTCAAATGGTTTATTTGATAGAAAAGCAGTTGATATTTGGGCATTTGGAATTTCAATATATTCATTTGCTTTCTTAACAGTGCCATTTCTTGCAGTTGAAATTCAAGACATTATGGATTTGATAGAGTAAAATGAGTAAGCAATTGTTATATTAGTAGAATTCAATATCCAAATTGTAGAAATGAATTTAAGAATTTTCTGTAGAAATGTCTAAATAAAGATCCAACTCGTAGAGCTACAATCAAAGAATTAGCAAGGGATCCATGGTTAAATGAAGGCTAACAGATTCGTTTGCAAGATGAGATCGACCAAAAACTTATGATGATAGAAGTAGATGAGACAGAAATCTAAGAGGCATATTCATTGGCTACATTTATTTTAATAAAGAATTGGGTTGCTAAATTGAAGCATTAGTGATTATAATTTATAATATTTTACACCTCTTCCTCAATCAAATAGAATGACATACAAAAATAGACTATTGCTTTTAGATATTTTATTCTGATTCATAAAGCATGTATATATTTCATTCAATAAAGCAATACATCATTTTAATGAATATAGATAAATATTTGAATGTAAAATAATTATTCACTTATTATATCATGCATTTAGTATTATTTGAGTTGATATTAATTATATTTGTCATAAATGAACTCTAGACCATAGTTATATTAGGCATTTTAGAGTCCAGACGATCTGGTGTATTCGTCCTATACTAGTGAATCAATGGCAATGATAAAACCAAGTGAACAGATAAAATCACTTTTGCATGGTCGTTTTCAAAATTACTCTAAAAATCAAACAGAACCAGAGGAATACCCAGATTCATTAAATCAATAATGCAGAACAAAGCCTATTGCTCAATCTAAAGAAATATAGATTCAGAAATCAATCTAACAATTGAAACAGAAATTGCATCAACAACAACAAGAATTTTATAGCAAAGAATTATTATTGTAAGAGCAATTGTTGCAAGCATAACTTGAGCATGATAAATTGATGAGATTGGCTAAATAAAAATATGAGTTAATTATTGATAGTCTTAAATAACAGTTAAAATAAAAGGATGAAGTAATATATGATTTAAATCTGAAATTGAGAGTGTCTCAATCATCATAATAAAAAAGCGATAAATAAATAATTGGAAAACATTCAAAAAAATCCTCCATTATGACAGGTGAAGAATTAGATTCAGAAGGTGCTTGCACATAGAGAACTTAGAATGTTCCTACTCGTTCCTCAACTTCTCAGCAATAAAATGATGATAAGCTCTTGAGTCTCTATCGACATGAGATTGACAAATTAAAACACTAAACATTCGAATTTGCATAAAAATTTGAGACTGAAAAAAGAACCATTAAAGATGAAATCTCCTTACTCAAGAATCAAAAATTATTACTGCAAACCTTATTGACAACTAAACAGTCTCCGTAATCTGAAAGGAAGTTAACTAAATCTGAAGCTAAAACCTCGTGCAAAACAAGGAAATAAGAAAACTCGTCCATAAGAATGCCCAAAAATAAAACTAGATAATAGTTAAGATTTGACTGAAGAATTTGAGATGATATTTATAATTACTAATATGTATATCATAATGTTCCAATATATACATTAACATTATAATTCAATTATTATAAATCCAAAGGCATTTTTATTTTAGCTGTCACAGAAAATGCAAACTGTATTTTTGTGGCATCTTTAATAAGTAAAATGGCTTCGAACTTTTAATATTATTAAACATCGCTTTCAATATTCTCATTATTGAATGTGAAAGTGGGCGAGGGCAGATTCTTCACAATTAACAATTTATATTATTCCAATGTTTATGAATCAAGAGGTTAAAGCGAGTATTCTAATGCATTTTTGCTTTTATTGAACATTTGTATGACTACTTATAATTCTGTTTTTTCCTTATTCACATATGATACCTTACCTATTTATAAATAAGGAGCATGGTCATAATGCAAATTCTAAACGCTATAAGCAAATTTCTTGGAGTTTTTTTCTGGTTATAGAGTCAAAATCAACTTCGAACACTTTCTGCATTTTCTGTTTTTTCTGCTCAATAACCCTAAAGGTATTGGTAATAATGTTGCATTTTAGGATATAGGATTGTAATCTTGCAATTCAACTTATTTATTATTTAAGTCTAAATTATACCTTTATAAAACAGCTTTTAAGTTTTTTTCTTTAACCATCTTATCGATTTCTACATTACTTAAGTGAGTCAAGACTTCGCTTTTTGCCCATGATTATGTCAATGATTTTAGGACATGTTTATTTTTTTTATTGTATTTTTGTAAGAAAATTACTATTTTCAATACATTTAATTCGATTTTATTATTCTTAAAAGTCCTTATACTCAGCTTCGTATTCCTGTTTATAAGCATTATTAATTTTAGTATAAACTTATTGAAAATTAGGATCTGCGACTCCAATTGATCTGGTTGTGTAAAAACAATATGAACAAGTGAATGCATAATTCTTCTCAGTGTCGATTTGTCTACGCAATACATTTTTGCAAACAGGACTCTCAAAACAAGAACTACAATTAACAGTCAGATTGGATGTCTCACTTGTAATTTGAACATCTCCACAATTTCTACAATAATAACAAAATATTTCATTTGATGTACAATATCTACACATACTGTTTTAGCATCTAAGATGAACAAATAATAATACGATAGACAACAGTACATTTCCTCTTATAGAAACTCTCTTCCACATTCACATTGAATTAAAATTAATGGTAATTTGGCTATCTTTTTGAATTAAAACATTTTTATGTAATATTTATTTATTTGTTTATTAATATCAAACCTTAATGTTTGAGAAATCTACGCTTTAAACAAGAGCTAAAGCTTATTCACTGACTCCCAATTCTCTTGTGAATTCATTTTTAGTGTTGGTGTAGATGTCAGTCTCTTCAGCATAAGTGTTATTTTCCAATTCTAATTCGGCAGTGTATTATTTTTAATCGGCAGCTCTTTAGTCTCTAAATTCAACCATGGAATCGATTTTTTCTATTATAATAGATGTCATATTTACCATTGGTAGCAGTCAAATCAACGGTTGCTCTGTCAATTTATCTTCCGAATTCAGAGAATTCATCATCCAATTATTCAAGATAAGCTTCATGATCAATAACATCTTAAGCTTCTTGGGCTGTTAACTCATTGATTTAATCAACGACTGCATTTCTAAAATCATTAAGAGCATCAACGATAGATTTCAAAACATCTTGATTTGAAAAGTTTTAATTTGATGCTAAACTAATGAGTGCCTTGATCATTGGTGCCATTCTAGATCTTGATCTCAATTTATTTTCGATGTTTTTCAATGTATTTTAGAATCTCTTGATTTAGAGTAATGATGGATTGGTCAAGGAAGCCAAAAGACTAAGAGCATCGTCAACTGAAGAAGTAGCATCATTCAATTCAGCAACTTAAGCTTCGAATGCATCATGCTCTTATCCTCTAACGAGGATAGCTTCATCATAGAGCTTTCTGTTTTCCTCTTAATATCCAATAACGGTATCAATTTTGCTTTAGATTTGACTTCTTCTTGGATAAAGTAAGTTGTCAAGAGTGTCTTATGTGTTGTTGACGTCTAAGAATTTAATTTTGCTTAATACCTATAACAGCATCTTGAATGTCTTGTTCAAGACTAATAACAAGTGCATTATGTTCGTTTGTTCTAACTTGAAAATCGAATTCAAGTGTTTCTAATTCCTCCTCTAAGTCATTGATGAGTTCTTCGATAGCATCAATCAATTCTTAAACTGGACCTCCTGCCATTGAGTGTAACTCAACCAAATGAAGCAATGCGCTTCCATATGTACTCTTTGCTAATTCAGCTTGGATTTTAGCCATGTTTCTTTCTTAAACTCTAGCTGTAAAGGCTACAGCAATAAGGGCAATCAGTATTATGGATTTCATGAATTAATATTAATCAAATAAAAACGACTTTGCCTAATTATCAATATCATAAATCAATCACTAAATAATTCTGGTCTTTCTATTCCTAAACAATCAGAAATCCAACAATAACTCGCTCATTTTTTAGCATTCTCAACCCTCTTATTCACTTCTTCATTTATAAAGCGTTGCTTGCTGACTTATTGCTAAAATTGTCTCAAATCTCTAAAATCATTTTTACACTTCCCTCTCGTGTATATTATAAAATACTTTGTATTTATGGTTAATACCATCTTTAAAAGTTCTTATAGTATTGGAAATTAGATTTAGACAACTAAAATAACTTGATAAATCTTTAAAAGTACCCTTAATTTGTTCAATTAGTTTAATTAAAAATCGATAGGATTCAATAAATTTATTGCTGTCTCCTTATACCTTTATGTCGATTATATATGTAAAATTATCTCAAGTAAATTGTATTATTTATGAAAGAGAGTTCTTTTGTTTAGAAGTTATGAAATTGGTTCGAAATCTAATTAATCTGAATTAAATTAGGTCTCATTTTATATTATGATACTTTTTAATGTTTTTGGATTCATAAGATAAAAGATGAATTTTTGAATTATAAACAAAGAATTTTAAAACCAATTGTTCTTAATTTTGGATTTTAAAATAGAAAAAAAAATATACTAGCAAGGTTTCATTCTTAATTCCTCTTTCCTAATTAACCTAAGTTATTTTAGAATTTCTGGTTCCGTACATAAATATTGTTATTACTCAAATTTATTTTAATCATAATATGTGAATAAATATTTTAATCTACCAATTTTTCAAATGTCCAGATGTTTAGACTTCTCATTTTTCTCAAATATTATGTTTAAAGACTTGTTATTGATAACATTATGTTTAAAGACTTGTTATTATTAATATATAATATTAATTCTCATTATTTAAATAATAAACTCAGAATTTCACTACAGTCTTTACGCTGTAGTTCTTATATAATTCAGCCACAACCTTATTCATGGCAGTGGGCCCACAAAAAGTGCCTATAGTATCATTATTGGGCGAAGGGAAGACTTATTTTAACACATCCAAAGTTACATACCCTTATAATCCTTTATATACTGGTTCTTTATCTAAAATATGAGTGACTTTTAAATTAGGGCACTCATTTTGGAACTTAGTTAATTAGTCTTTTAATAAAATATCTTAAGATGTTTTGTTTGCATATAATAGATGCATTTGAAGTGGGTCTTTATTTTGGCAAACATATTTGATTATAGAGAAAGCAGGTGTAATACCTGTTCCTCCACAAATCATTAACATAGTTTTAAAAACTTAAAATTGTTTATTGATTTTGGGGCTAAATAACAAAATTATTTTACGCTATTATAAATTTATTAGCTCCAATATATGCTAACTTGCCAATTTTTCTTTACATTTATAATTTGCTATTGATATTCAACTTTGCTAAAATAGGAGTCAATGATCCTTATGGATAAATTTTTATTGGCACTTCAAAATAGCGCTAATTGTAAAATCAAAACAAACCTTTTAGGAGAGAATTGGAGTATAGTTTCTATTTATATCAATCCCATCTGAATCTTTCATTCTTGGATAAACGAATAAAAATTTACAGGATCTGAAAATGTTCAGCCGGTTCTAATTAGATATCGACTTCACTCTAAAAACCAAACAAATAGGTATCATGAGTAATTTAGTCTTTTTTCACTAAAGTGGTCTCAAAGGTTTTATCGTAATCTATAGAACTCATTTATTTATATTATAATAATTTTTCACTTTTAGGCTTCCTTTTCCTTTTCTTTTTCTTTTCCTTATTTTACAACTTTCTAGTCCGATTTATCTTTATTTTCATCTTTGTTCTAATCGTCCTTTGTGGCCACTTCATCAATCAATTTTTAGACTTTCATAATAGGTTTTTTGGTCACTACTGTAATTTGAAATGTTGTGTAATCTTGCAATTCTGGACTGTAGAAGTTTTCAATTTATAATGTAAATTATCCATAGGTAGTTATTTTGTTAACCATTGACAACAAATGATTTTTTGTAACCTATGGTAAATTTGCTTAAATAATACTTGTAATTTGAATCTTTATTGAACTTCCTCAATAATTAATTTGTCATCTATTGGATCTTTAAGAAGACTTGGATTTGAAAATTTAGGAGGTCGTACAAATTCTAAATGGATTCCTGCAATTTTTTGTTAAAACAATTTAATATCCTTTCTTCTTTGAATTTTATTTTCTAACTTCTCTTCATCAAGGTCAGGTAATAATCTACAATTCAAATTTTTGAATTAAATACCTTCTTCTATATCCTGGCAGATTCTAATATGCTATGGCCCTTGGGAAGAGATATTTCTCAAAAAATCCTGGTTTCACAATGCGTACTTCCCCTTAAAACCCTTGTACGCAATCTTTTAAAAAAAATATTTCCATTCTCTATTTTGAGAAGAAGTATTGTAAACCCCTTTTCATTAAATTTAATTACAGTATATTATTTATTGGAATTTAATTTAAATTATGGAAGGTATCATAACTTAATTTGGCATTTTATTTCTCCTAATAGCTCTCTTCATTTTTGATGGACTATTCAAATTAGTGCCACTCTATGCTATCATAGCCGAAGTCTATTCATTATATTTGGATAGCTAAAAAATAATACCTCAATAGAAAGAGTTGACTAAAAATTAAAAATTGACTTGGTAAGAATTGAAGAAGCATGACAACTAATCCTCAGCCTATGTAGCAATTAAAGGAAAAGTATATGATGTTACCTCATTTTTGAACAGCCATCCTGGAGGAAGGGAATTTTTATTGTTGAATTGTGGAAGAGATGCTACTCTTGCATTTCAATCATATCATCCCTTTTCTGATAAACCTGAGAAATTACTCGAGAAATATTTGATTGGAGATCTTTTGACGACTGAGTGGCCAACCTTCAAGCCAGACTCTGGATTTTATAAGGAATGCACTGAGAGAGTTAAGAAATATTTTTAGTCCAAAGGTATAAATCCTAAAACTCCAATCCCAGGACTTGTCAGAGCAATTCCTTTGTGGATTTGTTTCTTTTATACATTTTATTTAACATTTGTAAGTGATTCACTTGGCTTAACCAAAAGAATTTTAATAGGCACCATTTTTGGTATTTTATAAGCATTAAATACTTTACATTTAATGCATGATGCATCTCATGGGGCTGTTGGAAACAATGAAAAATGGTGGTGGTTCTTTGGTAGACTTACCTTAGATTATATATCTGGATCATCTATGGTGGCATGGTAGAATTAACATGTCGTTGGACATCATTAATACACAAATATTATGGGATCAGATCCAGATATCCCTTAATTGAAAGAAGGAGATGTTAGAAGACTAGTCAAAGAATAAATTTGGAGTGCTATGTATAAATATTAGCATTTGTACATGCCTTTTCTATATGGTTTATTATCACTTAGATCTAGATATTATGATGTTTTTGAAATATTTTTAAAGGAAACTGATGGTCCTGTTAAGGTTAATCCAATATCTTTATAGGATAAGTTAAGATAAGCTAGTAGTAAACTACTATGGCTATTTTGGAGATACTTTTTGCCTGTTTAAGTTTTTGGAATGAGTTAATGCTAATTTTGGTTCCTTTTCATATATGTGGAATTCATAACTGGATATTGGTTGGCTATTAATTTCTAGGTTTCTCATGTGTCAGATGAGGCTGAATTCTTCTATAATAATATTGATAAGGCAGTTAAAAATGGTACAAATGAACAATGGCCAATTGAATGGGCTGTTCTATAAATTAAGAGTTCAGTGGATTATAGTCATGGTAATTGGCTTATGACTTACTTATGTGGAGCCTTGAATTATTAAGTCGTTCATCATCTATATCCAGGAGTGAGTCAATACTTATATCCAGAAATAGCTCCTATTGTTTTAGAGGTTTGTAAAAAATATAATCTTAAATATAACCTCCTTCCTGGATTCAAGGAAGCATGGAATGGTCATTTTAATCATTTAAAAAACATGGGTAAACAAAATAAATTTGTTGGTTTTGCCAAAATGGAATGATTAATTCTATTTTAAAAAATAACAAAATTATTATATCTTTTAATTATACAATCTTATATTAATAATATTATATAAGTAAAATATTATTATTAATGATAAACATTATTTTTATTCATTTAAAGATTCCTCTAGTACCTAACTCAAATATTCTTTAAAGGAATTTCATGAAATTAATATTTAACTTTAGAAAAGAGATAGTATTCCCAATCATTCTTTCTAATAATGCTCATGACATAGGTCGATATCAAATTTCTTTGGTTCCCATAAATTTCAATCCCCTATTGGAGTATAAGTAATATATATAAAATGATATGTCAAACTAATAGTGAGAATTCAACAAATTATGTTATTAATAAAGATTATTATTAAAATGGTTTATAGGACATTATAATATTAATTATATTATTCATTTAACACTTCTACTTTAATATAAGGCATAGTAACTCCAAATTACTAAGATAAGTCCTAAAAGGGACATGATTCCAAATAGGTTAAATGGTGCTATTTTGCTCCAGTGATCCTAAAGCACTCCTCCTACAAATGAACAAATTAAAATTCCTAAAACACTAAATACATTTGCTAATCCGGAGATGTATCTATGATATTGATATAAAAATACCCTCTAAATTCAGTATAAGCGTACTTATTTACAAAGTATAATGCTCCAGTATAGAGTCCAGACATTCCACTTCCTAAAATGGCCATAATGATGAAAGTATAAGGACTTTTTGGATTGGGTGCAAAATTCATTAAAAAGCATCCAATCATGGTAAGACTAAACATTATGAAAAGTAATTTGTTTTTGGAAACCTTCTCAAATAAAATGCCATAAAAGATAGCTCCTACCATGATGACGGCATAGGTCACTCCAGAGAGGGTTTAAGCCTATGATTTAAAATAGAGACAATATGAATACTTAAATACTGGCTTCTTTGTAGGCATCGTCATCATTTAAAGTGTCTTCCACGAATTATTGACTCCATATCTGTAATGATAAAGTGAGTAAGATGGAGTCTCCTCTTCCCAAGAAATTGGTCACGTACCCTTAAAATATCCATATATTCTTTCCAGCCAACAAGGCTATCTTCATAGCAGCTCCACAATTAGATTCTTGTTTGATTTGATTAAGAGCTCTGACTTCCTTCTCATAATCGATGTAATCAAAGTCCTCATCTTGAATTTGCTTGATATTCTAATAGGGGCAAATGCTTCTTTCGATCAAATCATCTCTAAGAGGAGCATTCTTATAGGTTTTTCTTTCTTTTTTAAAATGTAATCCTCTTTTTAACCCTAAAGTGTAAAGTAAGCCCAGACATAGGAATGAGCATCCCACAACAATATAAGTGGTTTTGAGTGAGAAACTTTAGGTCAATAGTTTTGTTATTACTGTGGCTGAGAACAATGCTCCAAAGGCAGCCAGTATTACATTAATTGCTGAAGCTTTTCCTTTGGTTTAATCAAGGACATAGTCTCCTAGAAAAGGAATAGTGGCTAGTGTGATTGCTCCAATGGCATATTGAATCTAATTAGGATATTATGAATACTCTTGATATACAATATTGTGGATAGATGTCTTCTGCGAATCCCATACTGCTGATTGAGAGTGCTGTCAAAATAATACCCACCTGCAATACTGGCACTCTTCCAACCTTATCGCTCATTATTCCTACAATGGGGGCGAATATACATTTTGTTGCAATGTCTATCAGCAACATGTATCCATTTTCTAAATTATATTAATAGTTTACACATGCCGGCATCTTTTGGATGGATCCCATATCTCTAGTTGAATAGCAACGGTTAGAGACTTTCGACACTTACAAAGATAAATGTCATGACGAAATAGTGGCACAGTGAACAGAAGTAGTTTGTGTGTGAGATGTCTGGGTACAGTTTTATTACTCCTCTAAAGACCTTTCTCTCTTGAGGAGCATTATCAGAAGGTTCAATTTAATTCATAATTTTAATTAATACAAAATTATCATTTTTATTTTGGGAAATATGATACGTGCTTTTTAGAAACTTCTATTATTTAGGCTTTAAGAAGAGTTTCAAAAATTAATTAGAAGTTTTGCATAATAAATCGATGTCTCATTCCGAATCCTTATTTATTTATAATTTGTGATTATAATAATATCTTCAAGAGAGTTACTAATATATAAATTATATTATTATGAAAGCCAGAAGTGGTTGTTCCTAATTTCCAACTCTCTTTCAAATATCCACCTACATCCTCTTCATTTTAAATGCCGTCCTTATATTCATACACACATTCGCTCTTGAAGAAAATGTAATATCATTATCATTTTTAGATTGTACATTACATAATTTTCTCATTTTTGGTATGGATTTCTATTTATTTTTGTATAAAAACCACTATCAGTGATCCAACTGATAGTTTTGTCATTTAATAATAAAATAATAGAGGGTATAAATCTCAAAAGAATTAGGGAATTCTTCGATTATGAGGACCAACAACTCAACCAATTTTGTGAACTTTGCTTTGCCTATGTTAAAGACACGACAAAACATTGTAAATCATGTGACAGGTAGTTTACTACATCTATTAGGTGTTGCGAAGATTTTGACCATCATTGTAGGTGGATAAACAATTGCATAGGGGGAAAAAATTATAAACCATTTATAGGTATGATTGTATCTGTCTTCCTCCTCCTCTTATATTCTATTGTTGTCAATGGGAGAGTGATAAATCAATATCATGAAGAGGAACTATAAACATCAACTGTACATATTAACTTTATTTAAGTTCTACTCAAAACATGCATAGCTAATACTAATTATAACAGTTATTTTTTTAGTACTTGAAATAGTCGGATTCGTCTTCCTATTACAATTGATTGCACTTCATGCATACATTTATAAAAAAGGGATGACAACATATGACTTCATAGTTAGTAGGAGAAAGAAAAAGGTTGAGCCTTCTAATTAATCAGAAATCAATCGTGACAATAACCAGGAAAATAAAATCAAAAATATTAAAGACAGTAAAGAATAGGATAACAAACCTGTAATATAAAAAAAAGAGGATGGAAAATAAGGAAGCAAAACTTATACTCATCCTGAAATCATAAAGAATGAAGGATCACTTTGTTCATCTAAAAAAGCCAAATAAACTGTATTATAGAAACGGAAATTGACTTAGGACGGCAGCGATGAATATCAAAAGGAAAGTTTCGTCAATTTCTTTACTTAACGACATTAAACTAATATAGAATTTCAATTATAAAATCGCAAAACCAATAATATCGAGGCGACGACACCAGAATTAGCCAAATTATAATGAAATACTACAGTATAAATAATAGTCTTTGTCAATAATTATTAAATCTTTTTCTATAGATCCAATTTGACTGATTTCATTAGTTTTAACTAAGTCTTTATTTTTCTTATTGATTTCAATTTAAGAAAAGCCTTTTTTTAGTAAATTGAAGAAATCTATTTAAAATATTAAATAAAATGGTAGAGACATTCTCCTATAACTCAGTTCAGATAAAGCTTTCCATTACAAGTCTCTATTTTAACATAATATAATATAATATTCTTAATGTTTAATTATATACCTTAAAGAATTTATATTATATTAAAATCTTTACTTTTATATCTGGGCTAAAAATGCAAGGAAAATATAATTCTTAAATTCTACTACTAGTCTCTTATGTAGAATTCATTTACATTGAAATCTAGTAATTGATAGATTGGGAATGGAGAGATGCTATTTACCTTTCTAATAACTTTGCATTTTACTAATAATTTATTAAACATGAGATGCCTTATTCATTAATTTAATTATGAGTAGATATCCACAAGTCTTTTTAGATTTTCAAATAGGTACTTAGGCAGCTGGTAGAGTTATCTTTGACTTGTTCAATGATGTGACACCCAAAACGGCAGAAAACTTCAGAGGTCTTTGCACAGGTGAATATGGTAATGTGGGAATGGCAAAGAAAACCAAAAAGTTGCATTATTTGAATACCAATGTATTTAGGATAGCTGATAATATGTTGATTCAAGGAGGTGATATTATAAATAATGATGGAACTGGAGTATAATAAATTAAAATTTTAGGGTGCTTCAATTTATGGTTAAACTTTTGTAGACGAGAATTTTTCAAGAAGACATGCATGTGCAGGTTTGTTATCTATGGCAAACAGAGGAAGAAATACAAATAACTCTCAGTTTTTTATTACTTTAAAACCATGTCCCCATTTAGATGGAAAACATGTTGTATTTGGATAGGTGATTGATGGCATCGAAGTCATTAAAAGAGTAGGTCAGGTGACTGTGGATATGCAAGATAGGCCAAGAATTCCAGTGATTATTATTAATTGCGGCGAGGTCTCAGAATCTAAAAATTGGTTGATTTGTGATCCTTTTAAAAAGGAGATTATGGATGAAATTCATAGAGATAGATTAAAGGCATTATATGGATAAGAATATCTGGATGAGTTGGATAAGGAGGAAGAATAAAAATTATAGGCTTTGAATCCTGAAAAGTATAAGTAATAAAGTTTAGAAAATGAGGAGGAAAGCAATAAGTAATTGTTGGTCGAATAGTTACTATAGAAATAAACAGAAAAATAAGAGCAAGAATATGATTCATAAGAAAAATTACACTAATTTGAAGGGAAAAACTTTATGACATAAAAACACAAAGAAAGGTATTTGGAATTGACAAAGAAAATCTAGCAATCTAAAGTATTAAATGATAAGGCAGTTTTAAATGAGGAAAGGTAAAATACTGATGCTTAATATGATAAAAATCTAAGAAAAGGAAAATATCTTAAGAAAAAGGAAGCAGAGAAATAAGAACTTGAATTCAAATAAATAGATGAGGATAAGGATTATTTGAATAGAATGACTCTCAAACATGATGAAGAATAAGAAAAAAAAAAAGAATATTTTGGGTGGGATGTATTTAACGAGGATGCTGTTTATAATGCTTATAAGAAAAGATGCACCACTTTAGCAAAAAATGAAGGAAAATATAAGCAATAAATGGGTATTTAATATTTATTAATTCTTAGAAAGCAATTAGGAGTTTCTACCTACTAATGAGGCTTTGGAGAGACTGAGTTCTGATATAGCAAATTAATAAGAGAGGAGAAAAGAGTTTTCAAGAAGAAGGAGATTCAATGAAGATTAACCAGTAACATACATCAATGAAAGAAATAGGATCTTCAATAAAAAATTAGAGAGATTCTTTGGAGACTATGCTGCAGATATTAAGGCTAATTTAGAAAGAGGAACTGCATCTTGATACAATTATATATTTTAATATACCATTAAGAATAAAAAAATAAATTAATATCATAATTTAATCGACATCATTTCAATTTATTAAACTTAGAAATCAAACAATAATTAATATAAAGTTTTACAAATTCAATAAAATAAACTGAAATATCTAGAAATTCATAAACAAAAATTAAATTGATCGTTAAATTGTTTTAATAAATAGTAAAGTAGAGAATCAAGAGTTTTATTGAAATAGATCTAAGCTCCTTCTTTATTTATACCGAACTTAATTTGATTTTGAGGAGTCATCTTTTGAATTGATTATTTTATATCCTATTTATTTATCAGAGGATGAGGAAACATAGATCCCAGTAGTATAATGTACAATTCATAAGAGATCAGAAACGAAAGTCTAACTGAGCCCTGATAATTTGATTCTTTATATATATTTAATGGAAAATCGTTTAGAAAAAAATGTCAACAAATTAATCGAACGCTACAAAAAGACCAGCCAGTAACTAGAATAAATGATCCAAACAGAATAAACCATTTCTCAACCAGTTACTGTGTATTAAACAAGATCTCGACAAAGCAGAAATAATTTCAATGATGAGTAATCTTCTATCAATACTGAATAGAGAGAGTTCATCAAGAGAAAAAAAGAATCATTCAATTGAGTAGATAAGTAGACTTAGAGAAACCTTAAATGCTAAAGAATTATAAGAAAAGGAAAAATAGGATAGATTGAGAATTTTGAATAAAGAATTAAAAGTAGTCATCTTTATCTAATTTAGATGACCTTAAAAGATTATATGTAAGCAAATAGAGACTTGGAAATTAAAGTGAATCAAAGAGAAAAGCACATTAAATCATTAGAATATGAATTAAAATCTATTTAGGATTCATATTCCAAGGTTGAAAACAATTCTAAAGAGAATAGACTAAAATATGAAGGATAAGAGAAAATAATTGAATAACTCTAGTAATAATAATATGATTCACATCAAAAATTATTATTGAAGAAAGATAAAATTTAATTGTTAAAAGAGTAACTAAAACAACAAGAAACTTAATTTGATGAGTAAGGATAAAATTTTGCTAAAGAATTAGAACGGGTTTAAAGAATGTGTGAAGATTTTTCAATTGAGATGTACAACTATTTAATTAATAGTCATTAGTAAGAATTAAGAAGCATAAAATAGAGAACTAGAAGAGGAAAAAATGTAACTATTGGAAGAAACACAATAAAAAGAAGCTTAAATTTAATATTTTGATCAATTAGTATAGGATTTTCGTTTAAGAGATGAAGACAACTAAAAATCAATTGACTATTTAAATAAAGAGTTACAATATCATAAAGCATAAACTTAGTAATATATAATAAAATTTGAAGAATGTTAAGAATAATTAAAATAAGTTTCTGAAAACACTTAAGAAAAGCTTTCAAACCTTGAAAAAGAATCAAAAAAGTATTAAGACTAATTTCAAGATTTATTAAATTAAAAAAAACAAAAATCAAATCAAAATAAGCTAAAGATCGAGTAGTTATAATAGACAATATTGGATTTATAAAGGAAAATAGATAATGAAGAGAAAAATAAAGAAATTCAGGAATATGATTTCAAAAATTTATAATAATTTAGTAATGAATTGAAACAGCTGTCTGATTAATAAGCATAAAAATTATTCAATTAAGAAGAAAAAATATAATCTTTACATTTAGAAATATCTAAATAGAAGCAGTTAAGTTCAAATTTACTCAGTCAAATTAAATAAATGGAATAAAAATCTTCTTAAGAGTAAACAATGATAGAATAAGTATGATATACATATTATTAATAGCTAAAAGATGATAATCAAAACTTATCTGATTCAATTGTATAATTGTAAAATTACATTAGAAATTTAGAGGAAAACCATTTACAGTGTAAATAATAGCATGAAAAATAAATGGATGAAATTGAAAAAAAAATAGATGATTTGGTTGAATCAGGTCTAAATGCTCAGGAGCAATTACAAGAATATATTTAGAAGGAGAATGAACTTAAGTAAAAAGTAAAGTAGTCAGAACTTGAGACACAAAATCAATAGGAAAAATGTCAGAAATATAAATAATAATTATAAAGTCTTAGACATACTATAAAGAATGTAGAAATGCTCATTTATTTTAGTTGGAAGATAAATTCAAATAATATGATTGTTAGGCTTAATAAATTTAAATTTAATCGTAAAAATAGGTTGAATTGCAGAATTAATAAAAAATTAAAGTTTTAGAAGATATTTAGTCATTAATAAAATTACATAAAAAAAATTGATAATTAATTTATATTATTAAAACAAATAAAATTCCTCATGTTGATAATATTAATATTTACTATTTTCTTTGATTTATGACGTCTTGACCTTCATTTCATTACACTCGAGTGATAATGCATATGTTAAGTGCATTTAAATCCTTCACTAACTTAACAAATAAATCTTGGAATTTCTTTTATGATTAAATAATATTAAAATTTACAAAAGGAAAATGAACCCTTAGGATCATTAAAATCAAATTGCACAAAACTTTAGACCTATATAAAATTACTCTTTTTTCTATAACACTTTGCACATGCCTTATTAATTTTCTCATCCTTGTGCATACAATGCTCCTCAAGGAATGTTTTTTCAGAGATAGATGCCTCCTGTCTTGATGCCTGATCCATAGCATCATCAAAAGCAGCAATAGCCGAAAGTAGTTATAACAATTTCGAGTGATGAGGAGGAAGTGCATCCAAAGCCATAGGAACAAGCTCCAAAACCTGTTGCAAAACCACCTCCTCAACCCAAAAAGTAGCCTAAGATCTTGGACTTGGATTAGTTGGAAAGTTAAGGAAGGGTGTATGATTATGAGTCTTCTGCCTCTCCTTAACTTCCAAGAAGAGTCTCAAAAGGTTTAAATTTTTAGAAGACAATGCGATAAATGCATTATGAGAACTTCTAATCACCAAAGCAGAAGAAGAAGCCTTAGAAAATTCGTAAGGAACCTACTCGCATCCAACCAAAGATAGCAAAGCAAGTTCAAATAGGAAGATAGCGGCAACTAATTGTATTTCCCCAATCAAATGTAAAAACGCGTTTAATCAGAGTTTACACTAAAAATGAAGAGAAATGTACTTAATATAATATATTTGAGACAGTCTAAAAATTATATAATATCATCTTGTAGAATTTTCCAAATGTCAATGATGAGGATGTAGTGAGAATCCTTAATTTCTCAGGGAAATCGTACAAAAAAGCAATTAACTTTGTTCAAGAGAATGGATTTCTAGTGCAATATTTGATTGAGAGTAATAAGAATTTAAAATACCTTTTTAGCTTATTAGAATAATATCTTATCAAGCGAGGAAGAATCAAAAAATAAAAAGTGAATTTGAAAATATTAAATTATTATATATTATAGTAGTTTTTACATCGAAATTTAAAATTGATATGTTCTTGAATTTATTATTTAAATTAATTCATTACGTCATTCATATTCATTTTGAATTAAAAATTATAAATTATTCTCAATTTTATCACAAATTCTAACTGGATTTTTAAATTGCATTTCTATTATACCAACAAAAGAATAGTAAGATTTTCCTATACTAAAAAAGAAAGAAACATAGAATACCATTCTTTAATTTCAATCTCATTCACACAATATTAATTATTTTTTTTTAAAAGATATGTTTATTTAAACTGAATTTACTGGTTTATTATATCATGATAAAAATAATTAAATTATCAATTTTGCCATCCATAATCGTCTTGTCTTTTGACTTTTAATGTCCTTGGAAGTGGTTATAATTTGATTTCCTCATCATATTGTATTCTTACTGCTGGTTGAATATTGTTATGAACTAATGGTTGTTTAGGGAAGGATGCTATATAAGCGGAAGGCTGTTAATTAGTTTCAATCATCTAATGATAAACATATAATATTACAAATGAATGAACCTTGCCCATCAATATATTCCAAGGCATATTGGTGTAAATAGTGGGCATATTATGATAAGGAGATTTGGATACGAAATATCCTTCGCTGTTTCCTAAAACCTCATAAAAGTAAAAGGAACTCTCATATTACATATATTTATTAACATAGAATGGATAACTGTCGCTAGGTATTTTGTATACTTAATTTAACATTTGTTCTAAAAATCCCCAATTAGTATATTTGTTAATTTGTAAACACTTGTGTAAAAATTATTTGTTTTGATCAAAATTCTATGCATACAATGAACCCATTCCTGTGAAAGAACAAAATTTAGATTAGTCGCAGCCACTTTTAAATTGACCACATGTAGTACAATAAGCATTAAATAGATTTAGATCCTTTTTCCCATTTCTAACTGCCATACATAGAGTAACATTTCCTACTTGATTCGCAGTGGCTTAAGTGTAGAGAGGTTCAATATGTTTGCCAAGATCGTGTGCAACTTAGGCAAATTTAGCAAGAGATCCTTAAAGTATGATTTCAGAATTGCAATGTACGTCATTTGGGAAAAAGTGGATTTGCGATTTAGCTAGTTTTCCAATTGACATAAAATTAGGTGAGAAATTTTATATCGTGTATATCAACAATCCACCATCATTAATTGCCTTAAGAGCTGGCACGACTAATGCAAATGGTTTACGAAAGATCTCCTCAATTTCAATGAAATCGAACTTCTTACCTGTGAGATATTCATATTTATCCATTTATACTAACTATGGAGATGAAAGCCCATTTAGATTTAAAATATAATTTGTGAAGTCTATGAAATTCCTTTTACTATCACAAGCAACTGGGTCATAATTTAAATCTTAAATGTACCTCACCAAACGGGAAGTTGCTTAGCCACCTAAGATTGCTGCTTTAGGTTTAGTTGAACCAAAATATGCTTCTGCCAAAATAAGATGCAAATCTCTATTAATTTTCATATTGTTGTTGTAAGGGTAAAACATGTCTGTTTATGTTTAAGGATCAAAAATTGATTCTGGATTAAGGTAATGATACTTCATATTTTCCTCGATGGATTCATAAATATGAATTTAATTTTTATTCTTCTCAAAAAACTCTTTTGTGTAGAATCCTTGAGGAGGTGAGTCCATTTCCAATAAGGTTAGTTTTGGTGCATGTAATTTCAACATCATTGGGTTTCCTTGTTTTTTTAAGATATCTCTTGCAAGTGTAGTTTTCATAAATATTTTTATTTAATTACAATTATTAAAGAAGTGTAAAACTTCATAATTGCTTAATAATTAGAACAATTAGATCATTTTTATGCTTTGGAATCATTGGATTTGTTATTTAGAATAAGATTTCTCTTATTCTTAAAATTAAAAGTGTTCTAGTTGGTAATCAATTCTCAGATTTATCTATTTCAAATTCTGCTTCAGGATTTCTTTTTGAAATAAATTAGATAGATAAAACTAATCTTTTTTACCTAAGAAATTGATATATCATTTATTTAATATAAAATATAAGAGATCATTCCTTTTTTTAAATAGCACCTATAATTCTTATTTTGATTTATGAAATTTTAGCTGATTTCTATTTCAGGTAACTAAACCAATAATCATTTTATTGTTCTTCAAAATCCATAATTTCATTTAATTATGAAATTCTTTTAAACAAAACAATAAAATTTCGTATTATTTTTACATAACTTTTTCCGATGCTTAAATTTAGTTTAAATATCAATTGATATAATTTCATAATAATTATGACCTTATTTTTATTCAGTATCTCATTTCTATTATTTAATTTGCAAATAACTAATTATGATCCTTAAGCCCTGTATCGTAAGTTGCCTCATAATTGATTGCTTGATCAAAGCATAGGAGTCTTCAAACTTAAAATATATTATATTGAAAAAGTTTCTTCAATATTATAATTTATAATGAAATCAAAAAAACATTTTGGATCATCCACTACTCAATTTGAAATGTTGATGTTGAAGTTTAATTGGAGCATGAAAATGAATGCTCTCCAAAAGATATTTATAAGAAGATGCAGATAACCATTATATGATCTCAAAAATCATGGGAATGAGCATCCAGAAAGAATTGTCAAAAGACATGTTCGCCATTTATCAGACCAAGTTGATGATTCAATGGAGCAACTCAAATTGTTGGAATTACTCAAACATAGAAGAACTCCAACTGACAATTTTCATAAATGCAATTCTTCGAATCTAACTCGAATCTACAGCAATAGGAATCGAGATATGAATTCTTCTTTCTTTCAATCTGATGAGAATAATATAATCAATGATTAATTTTTGGAATTATTTAAGGATCAAAAAGATTAAACATATTTTGGCATCTTGAGTAAATTTCAAATCCATATTAGCCCCAAGAACTCAAATTGAATAGGAGAATCTCCATAAATTGTTGGAACATAAAAGATTGAATTCAAATGATATTCATACATTCATTTAATTAGTCAAGAAACCAAGAATAGTACTAGAAGAAGAAAAAAATTAATAATTAGAATCAAGTACTAATTTTAAATTGTTGATTTTCTTAACGATATTACTATTTATTATAATAACACTTATTTGATCATTATATTCCTCTTTAATTTGCAATCAAAGCTTTTATTTATTTTATGTCTGTATTCCATTAGCCAAATGGTATGATACACTTAAAAAAGGCATACAAAGAAGGCTTTAATTAGGATTCTGTTATACCAATCAAATAAGTTTACTAAAATTTTGGATTTTACTGAACAAATTCCTATTCATTTTTTTGAACAATCTTTGTAAAATCTGCAATTTCTTATTGCTTTTTAACAAATAACATAATAAAATAAAACTGTTTGCCGGCCAACAAATATTCTTTGTAAAGTCTGATCACATCAACTATATCAACAACTATTATAGGGTTCTTAATCTCAAAATTATCATATGTAGAATTTCCAAAATTTGTTATGATATCGCTTTATAATTTGATATTAGAAACATAACAAAGTATCTCATTTACTGTCTTTGGAGGCTAGATTACATTACAACGATGTGTCCACTTTAAATTGGTTCTATTATCCCTGCTTGACTAAACATCTTTGTTAAAATTAAACATAGCAGGTTCTGAATTGCTTTTACAATTTGAATCATTTCTTCTTGGAAAAACGACGTTGTAATTATTTTTGACAAGTTTCTTCTTTTTCTTAGTTTTTTTGGCTCTGGACAACCTTTATTAGAACTTCTCTTTGAGTAAATCTTATAGTTTAGTTGGGTTAATTTGAGGAGTATTGAATGAAGGAGGAGAATTGACTATACTATCTGCATATTCCTAGAATAATTAATAATGATTACACTGATTGCAAACTTATCATTATTTTCTGATTGATCAATGACGATCTAATCAAAGATACCTTTATCTCTGGCATCTTCGAGTGTGATCTCTAATAATAAAATAAGTTCATCTCTGATTTCAGGGAAATTTATATCAATTTTGCTGGTTATTTATTCTGGCAGTGTTTAAGTATTCGTTGTGGTTTATAAACTTTTTCTAATTTAAGAATCCAACATAAATTTTGTGGGAAGTATTTACACTTTTTCTTTCCATTAATAATGATAATCATTTAAAACAATTCTAGAGAAAGTGATATCTGTAAATTGAGATACGTGATCTTGTTTATTGCTTGCAATGTAACTTAAAAAAGTAAAGGTAATAATAACATTATCTCCGTCGGTTTAAAATTTAAATTCATTTTTATTTAGTTTCATTAATCGCTTACAGATTTGAAGACAATAGATCAGAAACTATTCATGAAGATTTAATTTTGCATCTCTTAATCCAAAAACTTAGGAATATAATTTAATGACTGAAGGTGTACATGTAAATATTAAGACGAACTCTAAATCATAACTTGAGTTCTCTTGATTGATTTGTGATACTATGCATTTAATAGATAATTCGCCTTTTTATTTATCACAAAATCTAGTCGAAAATAGCAAGGTTTATAAAATAAACATGAGTAGTGTTTTATCACCTGCCACCAATTCTGGAATGCCATTTTCAAATGTTAAATCAATTTTATTAAAATGCTCATATAATTTGAGTACAGTACATTCGATTAGATTACATAATTGGATTTTGATGTCAAATAATTTGATATCTTATGAGGGACTTATAATTTAGGAGATGATGTAATGTTCCAAATCAAGACATTCGGATAAGCATTAACCTAAAGTACTTAGATCTGATTCTTTGATCATACGAAATGCTCTCAAATTGTTCCATTTTGTATAGTCCTGACTTAAGAGTGCATGCAATTTAATAATTTTTTCGTTCATTAGTGTAAAGAAAGAATCATCATGACATTAAAAATAGGTTTCAATTAATAATAAATTGTTTTCCCATGGTTTAACTTGATATTCTATCAATTATTACTCACTGGTTTCGAATTGTGCGATTCCTACATGTTTCTTTTGTATAAAATCTGTCACTTACTGTTAAGATAAGGATGGCAATTTTGTTGTTTTGCTAGAAAAGAGCACATTCAGGTTTTCATCTAAATAAAGGATATGATGAGGTAGGTTGAGTATCATACCTTCATACTCCTATTGAATGGCGTTCATTCTGCAAATCTTAGCATAAAAGTATCTTTTCAGTATTTCAATAGCCCTTAGGAGAGTAATCATGAATAGGAATAGGTAAATGTGACTAGGTTAACGTATTGTTAGAAGTTGAAATAACACCTAAAAAGGCCAATAAGGGATAAGAATTAAATTGATTAAAAAAGTGAAGATGTGAGATTAGAAACAATAAATTTAGATTTCCCCTAATGAAGCAGCACAGAGGATAATTTATATAAGATATCTCCATTTGTACTTGTTTTCATAGTAGAATATTGAGGTGATGAATGCAGTTGCAAATGTAAGGAAAGTATGTTGAAAAATGAGTTTGAGCAAGAGAATAAATGGGAAAAATGATATACCTGTGTAAACTGAGTTTCTGAAATTCTGCTCATGTTTTTCATAATTGAATCTGGCAGTTGATGAGACTTGATATTTGTCCATATTATTTTATTATTTATACTCAATTTTATTATTATTTTTTCTTGGACAATTGTTCCTCCTTCTCAATCAAAATTATTGTCTTATAATAATTCATCAATTTGTCATCATCCTTATCCCCATCAATCAATCCGAATGTCAAGAATCCCTTAATCAATTGTGCACTGATCACGTAATTCAGATCACAACCCAATGGAATCATCAGTAAAATAGTGGAAAACCCACAGCCAAAGAGTGAATTAATAAGTCCAACAAGACATCCAAGGGACCATCCAGAATACCTAAGAATAGCCTCAGCCTATTAATCTATAATAATAAATCATAGCATTCATACATAATGAATAAACGATTTCTAAATTTTATATATTTAAGTTGTCTATGCTCTCTTGTAATTGATATGAGGCAATTGGCTGGTTATTGACTTGATTTTGAGTCAAGTAAAACACTTAACGACCTAATGTCAATGAGGTTAGCAATGATAGATCGTTCTCCCATTTTTGAGCAATTTGAGGCTTCTTGATCAAATACATTAATTTAATGCCCAAACTTTTAGGTGAATTGATGATTTGTTTCAAGGCCAGGAGAGATAAGGTTCCAAAAACCTCAAATGAATTCCTAGATTAATATCAAATTGCTAATTACTTTAATATTTATAAGCTTTGTTCCTCTTCCCATAACAATTGTTTTAATGTAAATATGTATATGAAATAATCAGTATACAATCTTAATATTCTAGATGCATAAACAAAAAGGATAAATGCCAAAAAAGCAAAGATGATTCCCACAATGGATGTTGAGTATTGACTGTATACAGGTTTTGATGTGTCAATTGAACCTATGCTTAATGCTGCACTATATAATTGTTTAATTAATTAATACGTGATGGAATAGTACATTACTAAAAAGTTGATGACCACCAACAATTAAATGACAGAGTTGTATCTAACTGTATATTATCCTAGATTCTTTCTTATCGTCAAAGTGATATAACTCTTCAATCTGTATCCCTCCTTATCATTTTAAGTGAAGAATTGAGATATAAGAGACCCTATAAATAACTTGATCAAGAGCAATAGAATTATTGTATACGTTGTTTTGTTATTGAATGCTTCAACTAAGATTTCAATTGATTATTAGTTTAATTATCTTGATTCCCCTGCTCTTTACAGTTTTTCCATATCATGAAAGTTCGACAAGCGATTCGCCATTATGATAGCCAACCATAGTATGCAATACGGGTAAAACTTAGTTAGGAATTAAATTATAAGCGAAAAGTATTATCTGAACACTCTCTAATTTAAATAAAGCACGGAGAGTAGTAATAGAAGTCCTGTAAAAACAAATTCACTATTTGAAATCAAGGATACGGTAAAGGTGTTGAGCTTAGATGTTTCCAAAGCAGGCAAAACCAATTATAGTTATGAATATAAGGTAGGCAAACAACCGTGATTGTCTAATTTAATACTAACTTATTATTACATTCATCAGTATTTGCAATGTTCCCAGAACAATTATCACATTACAATTTTGTATCTCCCTTTTTTGGACATTCATCTAAACAGAGAGTCGTCTAAGTATCTTTTGGATCCGGAAAGTAAATCAAATTGCATTACTCTAACATCATCTGCCTATAAATATACTTCCATTGCTGATAGGTTAGTTAACGGGTCCATAACCAAGGATACTAGAGATTCCAAATAAGCCTATATATATGACCAATGCTGCAGTTGAGAATCCAAAGCAAAGTTTATCAGTTATTGCCATTTAATATTTATATATATTATATTTGTATAAGTTTATTTTATACTAGTTATTAGAATCCAAAGGTTTCCATTGATTAGTTCTTTGAATTGTTATATTGTTCATATCTAAATTATACATGCTTATTACAATTTATCATACTTTAGTTTGAATATAAATGTTGTATTCATTTTCTTCGAAATAGTTCCACTATTCCTGACTCCCATTAGTTGACTTGAAACCTTTAGGATATTATATAAATTTAATTAATAAGATTTTCACATATATAGTATTTAATTTTCAATTTTCAGTAAATAGGTGAGAGTTTTATAAAAACTGTCTTCGTTGTACAACGCTTTAGGTGGTAACAAATAAACAAATTGTCTTATGCCCCACAATTTGTTCTTGATAGATTAATGAATAATCCAAATCTAAGCCATATTTATCATAATAATGAAAAGGTAAAATATTATAGAAATCGTTAATTTGACTCTGTTGCTATCCAAGATTCCTTCCTCGATAGTCTATCGAACTGTATCTACAAAATTACTAACCGCATCTATTATAAAACTTTCTGATAACATATGTCTCAATTAAAGCATTTGTGTTGCCGAACCTGAGATTTAGTATAAATCTATGTTTTCTCTCAAGATTTAAAATATATCTTAAGAGGGCAATAATAATCCTTATTACAACTCTCCATTATTTACAGTCACACAGATTTCAGGCTCATTGACAACTGGACACACATTACTTGAAAATAGAACCTTTAATTCTTCGGAAACTGTTCCCTCAGAGTAAAGTATATCTCCTAATATAGTATTTGCCGTTGTGTAACTTTCACTGGTATAAATAAAAAATTATGCTGGATCTTCTGGATTTATAAGTTCATTTTGCACCAAATATTTATTACTTTGCAATATGAAATTAGTTAAACATGCTTCTGATAAGCTTTCTGTAAAAGTAATACATTTTTAATAGATTGCTAATTTTGACTCTAAATCACTTATTTATTGTTTGTCACTCATCCTTACTAATAAAAAAGTCACCAATGAAATAGTGATGGAAATTAAATGAAAACTAAATGTAAGTTGCCGTCTTACATTGAATTGCTCTTAAACCTTTATAAATTTCTTGTTGTTATTGTTATTATTATTGTTGTTGTGATGAGCAGTAGAACTTCCACCCTAATAGTTATTATTCTATTTTTCTTCTTCTTCCGGATGGAACTTATCTTTTAATGAGAAATGGTACTCATAGAGATCAAAATGCTAATCAATCTATAAAATATAAATACATCTTGGTTGATTAATAACAATTAGTTCACGTGATTTAATTCGCTAGCAATTGCAGAATGTGAGATTTGCTCTGAACATCGTATGTATTTTTTACATAATTAAATGTATGAATATTACAAGAGAAATGCTATACAGAAATATACTACGTACACTGCAATAAAAGTAAAAGAAACATAGTCAATGATGTTATCCTGAGACCCCAAAATTGAATTGATTTCATCCGTGAATCTAGTATTCAAGAGGGAATACGCATTCTTGTACTTACTATAAGATCTCAATAAGTATAAAATAGACTTAACAAATTAAAAGTTATCTGTAAAATCAGTGATATGTAATGATCTTATCATATACATCAACTAAAACAGAGCAGTCCAACCCTTAACTGTTTTGTCTACATTCTCAAAAATATCCAATTATTCTAATTCTATTGATGAAAACACTGCTCTGATAATAGAATTTTCTGAATATTCATCCATTTTTGTTGAAAATATTTCTATATTTCTATCCAAGACTGTCTGCAACTACCCAAGTAGAGTAGCATTATATTCATAATACATTCCAAATTCTGATAAGTTGGAACCCATTTATATATATTATATCAAAGTCATGGATCCCTACATCGTGGCTCTACTATAAGCAGTCATTGTAAAAGCTTATAAAATATAAATGTTGCTTCTTATGTTACTTTACCAATTTGCATAGAGTATTGTACTTGCAGTTGTAAATCCTAAAATGGCAGTCAAAGAAAAGATATTTATGAATAGTAGAGCATAAAGTAATTTAGGTTTAGTATTCATCTCAGAGAACTTACGGTAAAAATGAGATTTAACTAAAATCCTTTAGATTTCACTTTGCTTTGATGAATTACTACTGATGCTATTGATGTAGATTTATTTGTGAGGTTATTCTGGTGATTCGTTATCTTTTTCACTTGAATCCTACTTTGATACTATATCATGATGGTCACTACATAAGAATTCCTGTTGTCTTAAGGGCTAATTCTCCTATTCAGCTGGCACCATTTAACTTCGCAAGGTTATTGGGTCTGGCTGAGAAGTGAATTGAGGAATCTCGTTATCTCCTGCTCCAGGCATTACGTAATCCTTTAGCTTGATGCCTTCGAATTCGGAACTATATTCATCCAAAGACTAAGACAATGGCGATTCATCAGAACAAACTGCTCCCAATTTATATGGCGATCTGATTTTTAAAACATACACTTTAAATACAATCCTGTTTACAAGAGAGTAAGACATTTGGACTTCTAAATCCAATTAGAATTTAGTATCCTTGTCTAATATCATTTCAATAGAATCTTAGGAAACATTGAAATGCTAAACCAATTTATTTGCTGTTGTTAAGGTTTCAGCTACACCATTTTCCTTTTAATATTCCTCCAAATAATTTTGTAATTAAGCGTCCAAAGAGTTAAAATTTGGTATAAACTAATTTATAGGCTTTCCTAGTAATTTTGAGGGATTAGTCATCTCAAAACAGTCTAAAGCGTTATTAGTAATTCCCTCTATATTTTATTTGGAATCCAATAGAATGAAACCACTCAATCCATCCTATCTTATTCCTTATTTGATTTCTTTGGTGAAACAAAAGGATGGAAGAACATTTGATGAAAAATTAAAACTAATATCTATAAAGATTTCCAAATAACTCAAAACTCCTGGAGTTTATTGCTAAGTTAAGAATGGCAATGGCTATCTAAAAACCATAGGTCTATTTGTTATTACAAACATCTCCATCATCTCATCATGTGCTTTGATTATACTTGGATAACAAAGTTGATCTAATGATTTTACTTGTTGTCTAAATTCTTCAGAGGTATAACCTACAAAAGATGGAAAATTCTTAGAGAAATTGATGATTTCACCTCTCTTCATATGTGATTATGTTAGATTAAGTGACATATACCCAACTTTATATGATTACTCTTCAGTTTTATAATAAAATGATGGGTATTCAAAAAACTTACTTTCCCTTGTATTGATTAGATTACATAGTTTAATAAATTGATCATAGTTATTTGTCACTTCAAGACAATAAAGCATGTAACAATACAAAGAGGTTCTTCCCGGTGAATATAAATTAAAATATTCTAGCTCTTTTTATATCTTACAATTTTGTGTGTTTAATTTCAAATATAATTCTTCAAGTGACTCATAACTATGAGTTTCATCATTTAGTTTTAGTAGAAACTGTTTTTTATGCGATAAATTGACAAATACTTATTTCAATAAGCGATCCCTCTCCAATTCTGTGTACCTGTAATCTTCATATTTCAAAGTTAACTCTATTGATTACCTAGTAATATCCTCCTTGAATCTATGTAGAATTTGATATTTTGAATAGCTCTTCAGTAGCTCGAAAGCTAATCTCTGCTGCAAAGAACTTCCCTTCTCCAATAAATGTTTTAAATCCAGTATTTACAATTAAGCCTAGTAACACTCATCAGAATTGCATAAAAACACTAAGATCTATATCAAATATATAATATTCGGATGTGCCTTGCGTATTTCAGTTTAGAAGACCAGCTTAGAGTAATCTCTTAAATATCTCATAATCAATTCCACATAAAATTGAATATTGAGTATTTTGAAATCATCATACATTCTCATTTCTTTAACTATCTCATATTTATCTATTATCTTTCTCTTTTCACCTTTCAGACCCCGACAAAAACAATATTGATTATTACAGTTTTCAGTGTGAGTCCTCAACAATATGATACACACCATAAGAATCTTTGATCTTTCAATCTTCAACTCCACTCCAGAATTTCTGGTTAATACTCCAATCTCTTACAATCTCATCAATTAGACTGCTCTTATAAAATGAATGAAGTAGGACATATCATATTACTTGATGATGTTTGATTAGAAATCCTTATACTTGATATTCTCACTTTCAATTCGTAATCCTTATTCAGACTCATGAGTATGTAAGGTTTATTGGGGTTATTATTATTAGAGATTTGCAAAAGCTTGAATAGACTTTTCTTTCTTTAATGTTGACGTAAGCACATTTTCAATTCTGCTGTCTTGAAGAACAATAAATAGCCTACTTAAACAGGGAGCAATGATAAAAGATAAGCATATAATCTATTAGTCGGTTAGTCTGCAAATGAATAATAAAGTCAAACAAAGTACGATTGCCCTCATAAATACATTTGTGGAATATTTAAATTTCTATACATAGGGTAATGTTAGATAGGCATCTAAAGCATCAATCAGAAAAGCAATTATTACAAATATCAAATTGACTATGTAGATAAAATCATCTTCCTGTATAATGTTGCCTGCTCTTACATAAGAGTAACTGATCAATATGGGTACTATACTGAATCCTATATGTAGCCATTGTAAGTATGAAAATCTCAGTCTCATGAAGTTGGATTCATGTAAGGTAAATGACACCTAACACCACACTAATGATAAACTTGAAATTATCAAAGTTTCAATAGCCAATATGACATTCAGGATTTATCCAACAATTTATTGTGTTTCATCTGCCTTGTCTAAGACTAAGTTGATTTACAATAAGAAATAGAGAATGGGGATTAGGAAAACATGAGGAAAATAATTCAGGAATATTGCTATTTATCTCAGCCTTATTATTTAAAGTGATGTATTTGATTAGTCTGACATCAAACGATGTTGAAATCCTTCTATATATGAGTTTTAATTGTAGATCTAATGCATAATCTGAATGCAATCACTTAGATTGTCACTCTGACTGATATTTAATTGTCTTTTATTCTTAAACTTTGTTTATTTAAAAAATGTAATCTCATCGGACATACTCACTCCAACTAAAATGGCCGGAATGGAAAAGAATGCGATGAATACACTCTGACATGCAATCAAATAATCTGGTCCTAAATTTTCAGGCAAATAAATTGTTGGAACACATATTCTAAATAGTAATTCCAAGTCTTGAGGTCCAGAAGTTCCATTAAAGTCGTTAAGCAAAGGAGCTAATTTTATTATGGCAACTTTTTAAAGGACACTCACTATCATCGCTAATATCCAGAGGAAATAGTTTTCTTTCATTAAACAAAATTGTGTGAAGCCTATAATGAACTATAGTCTGTTCTCCAGTTTCTACTGCAAACTCAGTTTAAAGTTCTCCAAATTATTCATATATGCAAATAAATTAATATAATTTAATAAATGAATTTGGTGCTATAATTCAGAAAGTAGTCTAATGAGCAAGTGGATATTCATATTCGTCTGCTCAATTCTAGGTTTTGTTTATGCAGGAATGCAAGATGCTTCCTACCTTAAAGAATTTAGCAAAGATACTAAGTACAAAAATAATTTGAAAATTTAATAAATATTGAAATTAATTATTATAATATGACAGTATTTAGGACATATTCAATCTTATTTTATATAAACTAATTGAATTGTACATTTTTACTTAAATTCTCATGTTTTAATGTATTTTAATTTTCCTCATAAAACAAGCTATGATACACTATTATGGTCTGGCTTCCTAAAATATTGAGGGAATTTGATATCTAACATAGATAGAATATTACACAGTATGGCATTTTATACAAAATCTAGAGTATCATCAAAATCAATTAGTTTAGGGGTATCTCTATTGCAGGCCAATATGTAAATCAATCGGTATACTTGAATTGATGTGCATAACTAGAAACAGAATTAAGACATTGATTTATAATTATATATAAATTATATGATTATTTCTGAATAAATGTAAGCCAACTTGGCTCATTTTTTTTTAGTTCTCAAATCATAAGAGTGCGTCCAATATTAAGATATCAATGGTACTCAATATGAAGGATAAATAAGACTCATATAGCCAAATGAACAAAAACTGGTATTCAACTATACTCGCAATTTGGCAACTAATGAATCTAATGATAATAAGCTAGTGCAATTCAAGGATCTAACTTATTTGAAAGTGCAAAATCAAATGTCACAATCTCAGATTGTTGAGAAATCCAAATCTGAGAAAAAAACAAAGACTTTTGTGAGATGGGAATAGAATGTGGATGCTTCAAATTTGGAAGATCAAGCAGTGAAAAACTTTGATCAATTTGAAGCTATTAAGAAATTTGGCATTGAACCTACATATGATGAAAATAAGTATACAACCAAATTGATAGCACCTGTAACTGAAGATTTGAGACTATATGCTGAAAAATGTGAAAAAGAATTGAAAAATGACACATCAAATAAACACGTCCTTGAAGAGCGAAATCTAAAGCAATTAGACGATGAGGAATCAGCTTACTCAGAAGTCATCAGGGAATAACCTCAATAGATGGTCCAAGTTCAATAGACAATGCAATCACAAATAGCATCTCCTCCAATTAAATTTTTCAATTCAAATAAGCAAAAAGAAAAAAATAACAAAATTTCATACATCGAGAAACTATTTGAACCAACAAATCTAATTTCGGATGAACCTGAACAATAACCTAAGATTAAGCCGCTTAATTAAGAAGCCACAACAAAGTATTTTATTATTTATCAACTCAATAGATTCAAACTCTAATAGACTACCACTAATAATATTCCTAAATTAATGCTTTCTAATTTCATTAATGCAGTTGAAGGATATAAATGGTAAAACATGAACCCAGATCCAACCAAAAACAAAAAAGAGAAACTCAAAAAATGAATTATATCAAAGTGTTTATAATATATTAATAAATATTTACATTTCAGTACCTTAGGCTGAAATCCAAATTTAATATGGCTTCCTCCATCCATTCATAACATCTGCCAAGCATAACTCCTCTAAGAAGAAGAACCAATTTTAGATTAAAAATTAGCTGATTAAAGTGGATGATAAAAACCTATTGTGTAACTTATTTATTCAGTCTCTCTTGCCTGTCTATAATAATTCATAAATCAAATTTATAAATGAATGAAAAAACCAATTCATTTATTCTCTCTGGATTTAATTGTATGTAGTTGACTTATATTGTTGATATTCAATATTATTTATATATATAAGATATCACTTGCTTTCAACCAGAGTATATTTACTAAACCTTATTCCATCAAATATTTTTTATTGATATATAGTTGTCTTGCATAATCCTGAATAAGTGCTTGATCTTCCTTTTTCACATGCTGATCCTATTGTTTTCTGAGTGGCAGAGACATAAGGAACAATTCCCTTGCGAGGAGCCTATGTAATCTATGATATTCAGTACCTCATCAAAGAAACAAATAACATATTCTATGAATTTATCAATATTCTTTTTTAAAGCACGTCCACACCCGAAATATTTCATTCTCGCAATGACTAATTACTCACCCTTGTTATCATCCATCCACTTTTGATAAACCTCTCTTGGTTCCCATTCTTGGCTTGCTGAATGGACAGTTCTGAATTTATGTAGAGCTCCATAACGAGTTGTTAACTAATTTTAATACATTTTGTTAATCTACTTGTCTGCAGGTTTCGAGAGAATCTGGACACCTTTCTGAACATGACTATGCAGCATTTGCTATTCCTTATTGCCATTCAACAACATTCATATTTGCTGCATAATCCATCTCGCCAACATGATTCTTTCTTCTTCCTTATGCTACTTCATTTCTCAATCTATTGAGTTATTCTTCAAATTCAGCTTGTCTTTTAGCAAATATTCCTTTTGCTGTGGTCTAACAAGAGTCACCTGGCAATGCATTTGCTACTAATAAGCATCCAATAACTAAAATTATCATAATATAATTATCGTTTTTTATAAACTGATTATGCTAGATCAAACATTGATAAAAATATGTGACTTTTCAAGTTCATAGTAATGAAACTGCCAAAATAATAGAAATTTGAGGAAAACATTCCTTCAAAACTATCAAATTTCTTAAAGTTCTAAAGTCGAATTTATATTTAAATTTTACAATATAAAAATATAATGGCAGAGAACAACAAAGATTTAAAATAACTTAAGATCAAAACAGCAGCCCTCAAAAGAATTCAAAAAGAGTTTTTCGGTTATCAAAAGGAAGAATTGAAATAAAATGAAAGAATTCAAAAGCTTAAGAACTAAAATGCTGAAGAAGCAGATATCAAAAAACAAGTTCAAATTTTATTTTTTATAATTTAGGAAGAAGTTCTACAAGAAACAGTACAGATGTACCCCAATATTATTGGGAGACTTGTTGAATCTGTGAATGAACTCTAAGTTTGGCTAGTAACATACTTACGAATATAATTAGGATGGAAAACTCAATGACCCATTGATTGATACAAGTGAAGAAAAGACAAAGGCATTGGAGGCGATAACTGAAGCTTAAGATTTCTTGAAAGCCAACAATCCAGCTCAATGATTAGTTTGCCTTTTGTTATCAATATATTTATTAGAGATTATACTGTCATTTTTAACATAACAATTGTTGATCTTCTATATTAAATTTGTGTTTCGAGCATCTTGGAATGCAAGGGAATATAAAATATTGATTAAAATTATTTTTGCTTTAGAATGAATTATTATAAATAACATGCATTACAACATATGGGTCAAATAGAGCCAGAGGCAAATTTCTTTATTTTTCATCCTAATACTCCTTTTACTTCAAGTAGAACAAAACAAAATAGAGTTTTAGCATTTTTATTGCAAAAATTAGCAATGCTTCGCAAGTACAATTGATAATAATAAAAAGGTATGAAAATTTATGTGGAGTCATATTACTACTTTTGAAAGAATTAACAGGGTAATTTTTTTATGCAAATTATCAAGGAAATACTGAACTAAGAAATATACTTATTTATTATAATAATATCATTTATTAGAACCCTGGTTTGTATTAGCAATTTTATAATAATGAAACACCTCAAAAATACAAGTTTAATTTATGGTTGAGATCATTGGCTCATCTTGATGATGACAAACTTTAGATTGAAATTGAAAAATATTCTTACGACCATAATTATATTAATATGTTGGAATATGAGATATTATTATCAATCATTTAAGAGAGTGAAATTGATTTAACCAAAATAAAGAACGGCATTGTGTTACTTAAACTTATCAATTACAAAGAAGATGAAGAAAAACTATAGATTTTAAAATAGATGAAAGATTGTTATATAAATGAAAGTTATACCCTAAAGAAGGAATGGTTGACTTTGATGATTAAAATGGATAAAGAATTGGAAGTATAGGATTTGAACAATTTGCAATAAGTTGATCTCTATGATTCCAATTTCTAATATCTATTGGTCTCGAGCTATTTGAAATTGGATCAAGTCGAGAAGGCAATTCAACAATTAATCAATCATTTACTATTTTCTGATGGCAATGCTGAAATCTGGGCTTTGTTGTAGTAATCATTGACCCCTGAATCTATTGAGAAGTACAAGGAAGATTGTAAAATTTTGATAAAGTTACATTTTGGTTAAGGATTTCTAAAGTAATTAATAGAATTTCCGAAGAATTAGGAATTGTTGAGGTTATTATAAACTAAAATTGGGTTTATCTCGCTTTTCAATGAAAAGCAGTCAGAAAAATATCTCATTTTTCTATAAAAGCAGGAATAATATTGTATGTGATATATAAAATAATAATAAAATCGATATTAATATACATGCAATCAACTCAAACCTTTGAGGGCCGAAATGTAACGCGAACATACACAGGGAATAAAGCTCTTAGAAAACTCAAAGAAAATAGGAATAATACTGCAAAATTCATTTCAAAAGGCTCTCCATCTAAAGATTTACTTTTTTAGTCCTAAAACAAATTTAGAGTTGGCCCTCCTCCACAACCATTACGTAAGAACTTCTTTATCCTTAGTGAGGGCACAGTAATTTTCTGCGTTTGGACCCAGCAGATCGACTAAATCCATTCTAGCAAGAAATAACTTCTTAAATGGATAACCATCACTCACAAATGTCAAACCATTTTTAGACTTCAATTAATTTATGAGGGGATTATCCTCCAATAACGTGAAACCCAAATCGCCTGAACCACAATAAGTGAAAACTATTAAATCCAAATTTTGCAGATGTAAGGAAGTGAAAGATTTAATCAGAAAGGTATACATTACAAAATATCATAGGATGAAAATGACAATATTAGTATTAATAACGACATGAGTCCCAAACAACAGATGCTTTTTAACACCTCTCTTAGCAAGCCATCCTCTCCTACCATGAAAGGGTACCTTAACTCCAAAAAAGACATTTATAAGCAATGTATGATATTTATAGTGATTAAAGTGAAAAATGATATTGATGTCAAAAAGGAAATTTACTCTTATGCTCTCAAAAAGATGTTAAAAGAGGGCGACGAAGAAGAACTCATGGATTTTGATCATCGATACTTAAGAAGTGTGAGATAGAGGAAATTAAGAAACATTGTCCACTTTCTCTTAGGAAGATCGAAAGAACAGTAAGTCTCGCTCCAAGATTTGATAGATAACAAGATGACCCAATATAAACCATTTCAACAATAGGGATCATATTCGTTTCTATATTATGTGAAGAAAGGATTACTTGAAAAAGTAGAAACACTACTCCAATAGAATAATCTTTACGCCTTTGACTTTGATGAGAAGCAAATGACCGGTCTTCACATTGCCACCTAAAAGAATAACTTGAACATGATCAAATTACTTATAACATACAATTCGAATCCACTCTCCAAAGACCTATCAGGATTAACGCCGTTACATTATGCAATCAAACATCTTAATATAGTAAGTGTATAAGTATTTATTCAATCTCTATATATGAGCTTTTCTTATCAATCAAAGTTCCAACAGATTGCCAATACCCAGATTATTGTAAATTAACAGATGATAGATCAATCTTGAAATTAATTCGAACTGCCAAAATAAACGATCTCATTAGAAGAACGTCAAAACATAAATACTTACAACAATACCTATAATCAATTATGTGATATTTTTAGAATTTTTTATAATATTTATTAAAATGTATTATTCAAATTCAAGTAAATTTAAGGGAATATATAATATAATTTAAACATATTATTAATCCTAATTTTAAGTTACAAAAGTCATTAATTCATTGGAATTCATTTTCATTATTGTCAGGAATTATTGGTAAATTTGAAAATATGTTATTTTGACAAAGGTATCCTTTTTTGAATAAATGAGTCAGAATAAATATAACTTTTTTCTTCTTCTTAATCATCTCCTTCCTATTCTTATTCAAAATGAACTAATTCATTCAGCTAAGAGTAATAATCTTGATATTTATGAATTTGAAAAAATACACCTATATGTGCTTCATACTTAATAAAGTCCTAAAGTAAGACTGAAACCAGAATGGATATTGTCCATAGTTTACAACTTAATTGACTTCTTAGTTAGTTGACAGTTTTTATAAGTAGTTTTGATAAGCTATTTATAAATACTTCCAAGTAATAAAATTTATTTCTTTATGTTGAATCAGAGATATATTGTGAGAAAAAGAAGTCCACGGCCAGTAATCAGATTTCTAAAATATTGTCCTAAATTGACGGTTGCTTCTATAATGACGATCTAAAATTTTTAAGGATATCCTTCCTCTCCAACAGTCACTTTGTCTAATAGTAAGCTATGTTAATCCTTTATTGTTTAATCCAGCCCCTAATCCTAAATGAAAAGATGTAAAATGAAAGATAATAGTTAGATTTGTCAGTGGATGTGTACAAACCAACCACTCCATAAACAATTTTAAAATCTGCATCTCCGACAGATAGAAAGTTTAGTTATCTTTCCTTTTAAAGAACAACGATTGGACTAGAAAGTCCTACAAAATAATAAGATAGCATTTATCAAATTGAATATGCTGATGATACAGTTTATTATGGACAAATCAATATTACAAAAAGGCAGGGCATGGGAGCTATGTATGATAAAAACAAGAATCTGATATATTTGGGACAATGGAACAATGACAAATATCACGGGCTTGGAATTTTAGTTAAGGATGACTATACTTACAAGGGTGAATTTGTGAATGGTATTCTAGAAGGCTAAGTAATAGAGGAGGCAAATTAATCAAAATTCTATGGATATTACAAAAATGGGTAGAAGAATGGGCCTGGAACCTTATATGAACAATCAAAAACCATAATGGGAATCTGGAAAAATGATGTTTTGGATTAAGAATGTTGATACTTTGATTTGCACATTTTTCAATCATTCCAACTTATTTTTAGTTTAATAAATTATGTTATTAACAACTATTCCTACATTTTCAAATTTCCAAATTTTAGAAATGTTGATGTAATTTAAATTTTATTTTTAATTATGTAAAATGTAAAACAAATGAGGGAAAAATATGAAAACATCAAATAACTCAATCCAAATAGAGATGTTAGTTCGAGGTCATTTCATAGTCATACACCTTCGAAAGAGCAATATCAAGTTGCGTTTTCTAGTGGTAAAAAGTCAATCGATTAACCAAATGTATCGATTGGAAAAACTTTGTTATGTAGTCCTTGCTATAACAAAAGGCTATTGAATAAATCATAATAGAATAAAAAGCAAGAATCTGAATTGGAGAAAGTAATTTTATAATTATAAAATAGAGGTTGTTGATGAAATAAATGGAACAAAATCAATTAAGAGAATAATAAAAGATTAATTTTGAAGTTGGCTAATTGTCACTTAGAAAGTAAATGGAGTAATAAAATCTAAACATTTCGAAAGAATTATTGGATTTAAATAAAGAAAAGGAAAGACAACTTAAAGAGTAAGAAATATAACAATAAAACTTAATTATAAAATAAAATTAAGAAATTTTGTATAAAGAAAAAATTGAAAAAAAAAAAAAATAGCATAGTTTGCATCAAGAACTTTCAAGCCAAATTGAATAACAAAAAAGATTAAAACAAATGGAATACATGTCTTAATCTATGGAATTTGATGATCCTTATTGGAGAAATCAAGCGTATGAGGAAAAAGAATAACAAAGGAGAAAAAATTATCAAATGATGTATAATAATAATCACTGGTAAAATCATGAAAAAGAATAATACAAGAAATAATAACAGGAAAGATCCTTAAAAAATAAAGAAATTGATGAAAGAATTAAGACGTTATAAGAATATCACAATTAATTAGAATAAGAGAAAATAGAGAAATAATAAATTTAACATTAACTGATTTTAGATTTAAATGCATAAGTAAAGCTTAAAAAAACAAAATAAAAAGCTATCAAATTAATTGATTAACAAAAATAGCGTCAAAGAGACTAAGAAATTATGTAATAAGAAAAACTAAGAAAATATTAAGAAATTTGTCATAAAAAGAAGGTAAGCTAAGAAATTATTGAAAGTCTCAACAAATAAATCGAAATGTAAAAATAATTAAATCCTAAGTAATAACAAGAATAAATTAAAAGTGATTTTTATATATTAAAACCTGTAGTAGAAAAGTAAACTATATCTTGCGCTGATTGTAAAAAATAGTAGGTCCCACAATAATTAAGTTATGCTTGAATATATTAATAAAATATTTCAAATTAATAAATTAAATGAAATAGTTAGTTAATCCTATTAACATTTTATACTTAAATAAAAAAGTGCATCTTGAACCTTACAATAATTTAAAAATGGTTTACATTGTCTATCATGAACAACTAAAGGTCTTATAATAAATATCAGATTAAGAAGAACTAAATGCAAATAGTTATCTAATTCTCTTGATATTGAGCAAATGTTATAAAAACTAACAGTTTGGAAATAAATTTTTAATCCTATATTTATTTCAACAGATCATGAACTAACAAATTTATATATCTAATTCATAATGTATTCTTAATAATTGAGTTTTGTACTTTCTTATAAAAAATTTTATATAGTAACTTTAATCGTTTTAGTCTTGTTCTTTAAGCTAGACTAAACTAGACGTAATGAATTATTTGTAAGTAAAATTACAATATGAATGCATATTCTATAAATTCAGAGGGCTTTTATGTAAAAATAGTAAAATTTTCTGGGAATAAATGAATATTTTATTATTGATTTTGGATTGAAAATTAATTTATGAATTAGAGTTTAACAGATAACTCTCATATATCACATTGTCAATTAATGATTTAAGAGGAGTCTTAATCTGGTTGTAATAATACCATACTCTATCATTCAATACATGATTAAAATCAAGCTGTTTAATCTATGAAATTGGAAGAATTTTAAAGAATAGAAGATATTCAAATTAAAAATGAGAACTCTAAATAATCTGAAGCGAGACAGAAACCATTTTCGCAATTGATGGTTCATTTCAATGTCCATCATTTCAAAAGGAAAATGTTGTCATATATTCATCCTAATAAGGAATTATCAAAAAATTAATTCTTTATAATATTTGACAAATCTTCATCTTTCAAAAGCTATCCAAAAAAATAATAATAAAAAACATCATTGCTATAGCATAATAGAGCAGTTGTGGGGTTTCGTAACATAATAAAAGATTTTAGGAATACTTTTATAGCCTAATTCAAGAAAAAGGTTTAATATTTCATAGAAATCATTCCCATAATAGATCCTTATTCAACTAAGAAGTTGATTTGGGACGGAATCATTACAATAATGAGAATATACTTATTAATTTGGATTCCCATTTTGATAGCATTTAAAAATGGAACCCTAGAGGACGTGAATGCTTATACTCTTAATGTATGCAGTAGTGCCTTTTTGATTGATTTGGCAATGCAGACTTTTACAATAAGGTTTGATAAAGGGTTTCCTGTAAAAGATCGATATTTATTGATACGATACTAAATAAATTGGTGGACTGCAATAGAATTATTTAGCTTCATAATATCCTTGTATTTCAGCATATAATTTCATTAAAACAATTATTCAATGTCAGTAGTTGAAGATGATGGATGGACCAAAATACTATTGTTATTATTAATTGTCTAGACAAAAAATATTCTTTAGTTCATTGAAAATTTGCAAAGTGTAATAAAGCCAAGTAAATCATCAAATTCATTGATCGAATTGGTAAAACTGATATGTTTGATATTGTTGATCTAACATATTTTTTCATGCGTGTGGTATTGAAGAATTATAATTAGGGTAATAATTGGAACATATGAGCATTTAACAAGCTAATCTTCTTGGCTAGACATGGCAAAGCTGGATATCTATTAACCATGGCATTATATTTACTTAGAAGCCATGTATTTTATAAGTGTAACTACCTTTACAGTTGGATATGGTGATATAACACCACAGAGTATTTTTAAATTTAATAATGTTTAGGTACATCTGAGAAGTGGTTTACAGTTATATACATGTTTTTCTGTTCTTTGTAGCTCTCTTATTCTGTAAATACTATAGGATCTATTTTGATTTAATTAAAAGAAAACAATGAAGAAATAAAATAGAAAATGACAGCTGTTACAGAGTATATGAGAAATAGATAAATGAGTCGAGGATTGTAGTTTAAGTAAGACAATCATTATACCTATTTTAAGAGTTAGAGAATATTTAAATTATTATTGGTAACAAGAAAATGCTTAAAAGAAAAATGAGACTACTGAAATTATACGATTACTACCAGAAGAACTCCAAAAAAGTATATAAAGGGAAGGATGCTCTAATTTAATTAACAAGAGTTAATTTTTCAAAGAGAAATTTACTCAAGGGTTTCTGAATCAATTAATAGATATAGCTTATGTGAAGAATTTCTAACCAGGAATAATAATCAGTGACTTGTAGAATATTTACATAATCGAATAGGGTTGTGTAGAAATAATATAAAATTAAGTAAATATATCACATTTAAATTATAGACAGTGGTAGGCTAATTAGATTAATTTTAATAATTTGGACTCAAAAGAGTGTCTCTAGATTTGATAAATGAAACCAAATATAGGACAAAATCATTTACAAATCTTCTTATTATTCCATATACATCCTTAGTTTAATTAATTGCATAAACTTAGAATGAATTAGAAATAGTGTCATAAGCCAGTCTTAATATTATTAATGAGTGTGTTATATGCAAAGGATAACATGTAACAGAATTGTGTTCTCAAGTGCACTATATTCCAGAAAATGAAAAAGTAATTAAAAAATATTTGTACAACTCTATACAATAAAGGGGAAGGCGTAGGAGAAAACCAAGGGATTAATTTTAAGAATGGAAAAATGAATTGAAGTATTTTCAAGATACTGCTGAATAATTATAATAAGATTGTAATAATGAAATTGAACTTCTGTTTCCCAATAACGAAAAGTAACACCACATTAATATTTGTACGCCTCGCTCCTTACTTGAACTAAATGATGAAAAACCTATAGGATAAAGAGGAGATCTTGAATAGAAGCTTGAAAATAAAGATACTACAAAAACCGTTAAAAAATTCGAAAATAAACAAGAAATAAATGAATTAAATCTAATTTAGCAGTTCGAAGCTATATCCGAAAAATTTAAACAGATTCATATGTACAATGAAAAAGTTTAAAAAGATATTTTTCTGCTTTATAAAAGATTAGAATTTTTGTTGGGTTTAGGTGAATTTGAAATTGATAGATACAAGAGTTATAAACACTATTATAAAAGTTGGAACATTGATAGAATAATTGCAGAATATAATTTTGCTTCTAATTACATACAAAATCGAAAAAGTGAAAAAGTTAGCCTCGAATAAATATCGAAATATTTACTATTCCCCAAGATGTACTTTCAACAATATCATTCTGAGAAACCATCTGTGCCCGTTGAAAAACCGAAGGTTAATAAAAGTATAATTCATTATTCATCGTAGACGTTAGAACTTCTAAGAAAAGGAAGCGAATTGCCATTCATCCAGATTTTTGAATAATAAATTAATTGTATTTTATAATGGATTAACAAAAAAATCTCACTCGTTGTACTTTAATAGTAAATGATAGTTAAAGTGAGTCTAATAATAATATTGATCATTCTATTATTGGAGTAGAGGAGGCAGTTTCAAAAGATGCTATAACGCAGAATGTTAAATAAAAAGAAAAATTTGGACAAACAGAAATTAATGCTATATTTCAAAATTTGCAAAGTAATTAAACAAGCTCTATGTCTCCGAAGCATAAATCCTTCTCAAAGTTATTGATTTATTTTCATTCAACCAAATATGCCAACAAAATGTTACAATTAATTAGGCCAAATGAAAAATTTTCAAAGAAACATTTTAAAATTATAGATGATTCCGCATCATCTTATAAACACATGAAGAAAAGAACTCATCTAGCAACAAATATGGTTAGTTAAAATTTAAACCTAATTGATTTCAGAGTAAAACTCAGAATGAAAGTTAGAGAGTTCTAGTCTTTATTAAAATAAAAGTTTCTGCTTTACTTTTCCTTAATTCCATTAATTGAACCTTAAAGTAAATTTAAATTATTGTGGGATTTTCTATTGAGCATCATGAGAATGTATATGATAGTATGCATGCCTATAGTAATATCGTTTCATTCTAAAGATAGCGAATAATATCATTGTCTTTACATTATTCTAACATGTCTATTTTTTATTTTTGACATTATACTTAGAGCATTTACAATTTGTTATGATAAAGGCCTTCCTTTGAAGGACAAATTCGAATTGATTAAAAGACAGTTTACACTATCAACATTCATGGAATTATTTAGCATCTTTTGTGGGATTATTATCGCTTTATCATTCTTATCAGAATAAGAAAGCCCATATATATTAGAAGAGGATGGGTGGCCTAGAATGGCACTTTTACTCTTCTATTAGTAGATAATGAATATTCTACAATATTTTGATACAATTTAACATCAATTAAAATTAAGTAAATTAAGTAATTCGTTTATTGAATTGCTTAAATTAGTATTCTTAATATTATTAATTCAACATTTTTGTTGTTGTCTTTGGTAAACATTATAGCTTATAATTAAGGGTAGTGATAGGAGAGTATAAGTAAAGGTAAGATACAATTAATTGGCTTAAAAGAGTCGAAGGAGAGCCTTGGTAAAATGTATATTTGGAATCATTTTATTTTATGAGTGTTACTATGTTCGTACAGTAGGTTATGGAGAGATAGTACCAACAAGTAAGAATAACATAGGTAATATAGACCCTATTGAGAAGATATTTTGTATTTGTTACATGTTTCTATCCACTATGCAACTGTCATTTTCTGTAAATACAATCGGAACCATATTGACTTAAATCAAGGAGAATAACGAGAAGATTAGATAGAAGATGACTTGTATAAATGAGTATATGAGGGAAAAATAAATTAGTTAAAGTTTACAATATAAGTATTTATTGATTAAATTTAGATTAGAGTGAGAGAATATTTCAATTTTTACTGGGAATAGGAAGTCATACAGAAACGAAATGAACAATCTGATTTGATCTAATTGTTACCAGAAGAATTGTAAAACAACCTTAAAATTGAATCTGCTTAGGTTCTAATGAGCAAATGCCAATTTTTTAAGTAATTCTTCTCCTAAAAATGTTTACATCAGCTTCTTGATAAGGTAGAATTTAAGTCATATTAACCTGGAATAGTAATTGAAAACAATGATCTGAATATATTCATTATAGAATAAGGTCTAGTTGAAGTTAAATAATAAAAAGTATTGAATTTATACAATATAAGAGGTAATTATGCTATTTGAAAGATAATGATTATTTTGGTCATCTGGAAATGAAAAGTAATTAATCATCAGCATTATAATATAAAACAGCCTCATTTTGCAGCATACTCATAATTCCTAATTAAGGAATAAGGGAAGTCTTGTAATAAAATGAAAATGATTAGGAATAATATTAAAAAATCAAAGATATATCCTATTGTTACGTTTGTCAAGACAAAACTCATTTGAGTAATGAATGTTACCAAGTTCATTTTGTGCCAGACAAAGAAAAAGTCATAAAGCAGTATAATTTTATTCAGGAATAATTTCGTGATTGTTTCAGGAGGTCAAATAAGAGACATCATTTTTCTGCCTCATAAGATTTGGAATTGATTTCAAATTCTGCCAAAATCTATCAAATAGAAAACGACTAAATAATTGAATAAATAGTTCCTACCATATTTTATGAGTAAAAACAATCAATTTAAGAATTGGAAGAATGCTATAATTATGATAGATTTAATTAAAGTGAGAATCATTAAAGAAAAATCAAATATAAACATAAGGCTTCAGGGTCACAGAATATGATTAGGGCATAAACTATTGATATTTTGATTAATGATAATGGCATGAAAGAGATGCATGAACAAATCAAATAGAAATATGAGAATATTCATAAATATACGCAGTAATAATAAAAGGATCTCTAAATGCTTTATAAGTAATTAAGTAACAAGGGAGAAGAGAATTCAGAAACTTGTGATAAAATCCAAAACTTACGGTACAATAAAGAGTGGAATCTAGAGAATATTGTTAAGAAGGTTAATAGATGCTAAAAATAAGAGTTTTAGAAATCTACGATTGAACAATTTTAGAAGTATATGATGTTTCCGAATCAATTTGTATCTTTGTATAAGAATAAGAAAATACCAACTCAAGAGGACTAGGAAAAGCTGAATGCATCGGTATTCATTCAACAATACAAATAAAGTAAATTTTGTTTATTATCTGTAAGATCTAAAAAACCTAAAGAGAAGAAATGGGAGAATTGTACCTTAATTAATATTTAATATAAATTAATGAACGACAATAAGTAGAAAGATCTTGAGAGTCCGATTTTCGCAGTTGTGTGTTTTCCTGATTCTGTTTTAGTGAGCTTAGGAGGAGGAGGAAAGAAATATGGATTAGTTAATAGTCTAGTAGAAATTCTTCAATATTCTTTAAGCAATTATTTCCGAAACCAATATATGGAATTTTGAAGGATCCCATTCATACTTTACAATTAGGAGACGAGATATTCTAAAGATTAAGACTAAACACGAAAACAGGATTAATTGTGGGAAATAGCGATGATTAATGTGTGATATTGAAAGTTTAAGATAACAAGATCTCAATAGTAACTAAGTTTTAGACTGACAGGGCAGCAATAGAACCTTGTTAGAATGACGGAGTCTTTAAATTATTAGGGGGATACTTTGGCCACAGGAGGAGAAGACGGAATTTTGAAGGTTTGGAATAAGGATTATCAATTGAAATACACAGTGGATATGAAAGGGAAAATTTAATCATTAGATTATCATGTAGCAAATGGAATGGTATATCTGATTTTGACAATAGTTAATAGTGGCCACTGACAATGAAGAATGCAAGATATTAAAGGATAGCCACGTGTTGCATAAATTAGATATTTCATCAAACAATATCCATAAATTACAGTTTCAATCAGCTCTCTTCTCATTAGATGGCACTACTATATTCACATTCAAGAATCCAATGAGAGGAGCTTCTTATATGACAAGTTGGAGAATCGAAAATGACAACATTAAACCATTAAAAACAATAAAGATTCATGGACATCCAGTAGTCAGTACTTGTTAATCAAAGGAAGGCATATTCATTGGTATTGGATGTTCTGATGGAACTGTAAAAATAATAAATGCAAGGTACAATTGATGTGTATATTCATTTAGAAAATTGGATATTGAATCTAGTAAGTAGGCTCATGAACTTCCCTGTACAGCATTATGCTTTACTCCAGATTCCAGATTCATTATTTCAGGATCGGTGGATGCCAAATATCATTTTCTCTAAAATACTAGACCTTAAGGAATGTTTTCTTTACTATCAAAATTCTGGCTATTAGGTATGTTGTTAGCATACTTAATTATTGTAATAAAGGATTTATTTGAATGAGAGTTATCAAGTATAATTTAATAGTTGTTTATTATAATTACATTAAATTATTTTAAAATGCATAACAGAAACAAAACTAGCAAATCATAAATGCAACCCTTAATCTAATTGTCTATTGATCTAGGAAATAGTAAATGCGATAGGATTGTCCTTTATAAAGAGACTGATCCCTATTTAGAAGCTAGATAATTCGTCCAAAGAAATCATCTGCCCTAATAAATGGTTAAAGTAATATCGAATTGCATTATTAAACAAATGAAAGCCTATGAAGATATGATGATGATAACGTATGTAATTTAATCAACAAATAAAGGACACTCAAACAGAAACTAATTATCTGAGAAACTTAAAATCTAATCATATTGAATTATAAGCCAAACAAAAAACTCCAAGTCCACAAAGATTTCATCCAAGCCCCAAAATAATACATAAACAGAATCTATCCAGAAGTCCATCCAATATATCTTTGTAAGATGAACTACCTACTGATAAAGTAGTAGTGAAGAAACTATTCTAAGTTTTAGATTCTGATTAAGATGGATTGATCTCTGCTAATAAAGTGAATTATTAGAAATTACCCATCTAGTTAAAAAATAGAGTAAATTTCATTAGTCTAATCTAGATTTCCATTCATTTGGAACAATCATCTATACCATTTGAATTTGAAGAATTGTATGATAAATTGAAGAATGATCCATAAGAAGAATATTTTATTACTTTAAAACTGATAAGCTAAATTTTAGACATTCCAAAGGTCAAAGTATTAATGTGAATAATTTTGAATCATATAAATAATAAATCATTAAACATGGTTGTAAATTTCACTACATTTTTATTTTTGTTAAATTTATTTGGTTCTATTATTACTTGGATATACCTTATTAAGTTAAACTAACGAAATTTCGAAGTTAACACAATCTTATTGTTGATAAATATGAATATTATCAATTTAACACTTTATAGTCAAATTCTAATAAATTAATTATGATTTTGATGATTTAAAGGGAGTCAGGGTATGTTAATACTTTCATAAAAGGTACAAGATGTGTTTAAATTGCTAATAAAATTTTATCAAATATTATGCAAATTTATTTATTTCTGTATTCTGCTAAAATTGAAATATTTAAAAATTATGAATCTCTTTTGAATGTTTAGTAATCCACTATTTGATATTCATAATTGATCATTTATAATGAATTTCTAGAATATATTATGATATGGATACTCTGTGGGATTCTAAATGAATAATATTAATTTTTGATTTTTTTGTACATCCAAATTTATATTAAAACTTTAACGTAGATGTTACTATTTTTGGATCAAAAGAATTTTATTTTAAGTTTTGATTAATTTTCCATTTCTTTATGATGCTTCTATGAAGAAATTTGTTTATTGATCGTTTTTAAAGATATAAAATCTTAAATTTCATTTAATCTCAAAATAAATGGGATATAGTATATAATACTTTGCGTAATTTCTATAAATAATATGCAAAACATTAATTACAAAGAGAGCAAATTTTAGTTTGAATGCTTTAGAAAACACCTCCTTAAGGATGCCAAGTATTATGGATATTTACTACCGAACCAATTGATTCTGACAACTGTATTATGTTTGGTTATCTCTAATAGGCTAAATAGTCATAGACGCCTAAATATAATTTGCCTTTACTACTAAACACTTTAATTCATTTTGTCACTAAATAGCCTTCAAACGAGATTGAATAGTTTGGTTTTTTATATAAAGAACATTTCAAATACTTTTATGCCAACCCAAATATCATATTGTAACTTAAAGAACTTTTGGCTTGCAAAGTTATGTTTAAAGAAATTAGTGAGTTCTATCAACCAATAAGTATGTTGGGGAGAGGTGGTTCTTCAAAAGTATAGCATTGATTTACCCCTTAGGTGTATTAGGTGATGAAAAAAGGCTCTAAAGATTAATATGCTTCAAAGTGTGTCGATAAACGATACTTGATAGAAGATGGAGGATTTGTAATTATTGAATCTAAACCTAGAACGGATTGTTTAATGAGATCCAGCTGATGCAAAAGATGAACCATCCTAAAATAATCCACCTAGAGGAACTCTATGAAGGGGAAAACACATTTTATTTGATTTTGGAGTATTTATAAGGTTAGAGTTTACATGAGTCTTTCAATAAGAGACAAGTTTTATTTGAGTAGGAATAGATATAAACGATAATGTTTGTAAAACAATTTTTTAGTCTTAGCAACTCTTGACAGCGGTTTAGTATATGCATTCTTTAGGAATCATGCATAGAGATTTAAAACCTGAAAATATCATGTTTAAGAGTCAAAACGCCTATGATGAATTGAAAATTGTAGATTTTGGATTGGCAACATCAACCCAAGCTGAAACTTACCCTTTCCCTAAATGTGGGACTCCTGGTTATGTTGCTCCTGAAATTGCTAACCTCAAGGATTTGAATTATAAATACGATTTGATTTGCGATATGTTTAGTATAGGCTGTATCTTCTATAAATTGTAAATAGATTTAATATTTTAGATTAACAGGAAAAGAGTTATTTCCAGGAACTGATTACTAAGAAATTTTAAAATTAAATAAAAAGTGTTCAATTAATTACGAACTACTTACTCTCTATAGAGCACCAAAGGAAGCTATTGAATTAATTGCCCAACTCCTAACTATTAATCCAAAAGAAAGAATATCAGCTTAAGCTGCATTATAACACAATTATTTTTAACTTAAATTTTAAACCAAAAGAGGCAAATTTTAACAAAATAACAATAAATACACTCCTGTGTTTTAAACTCAAAATTTTAATCCTAAGGATAATATTTAAAAATAAAACTTTCACATTGAAGATGATGTTGTTGAAGATGAAAATGCTCATTCTGTTAAAGTACCTGTTATGCAAAAAATGAAAACCTTTGACCAATTTGTGTGTAAAATAAAACCGTAAGTTACACCTACTTTGGCTCGAAGAAACTTCAAAAAATTCTAAACTTCAGATTTTAACTCGGCATTATCCCCAAACTCACCTAATCCATTATAAATGGAAAATAAACCATCCTTAATTATCAATTCCTCAAATTAAGATTTGGTTAATGAAATTCACACAAAAAATGAGCATCAAATCAATTAAATGGGCTAGATAGATGAAGAATAAGAAGAATAATTCTAATAAAATATATGATGATTTTATTTATTCATATTTTTTATTATTTCCTTTTATTGAATCATTTTAGGTTAATATCCTAATACTAAAGAAACTTTATTTTATAATGAAAATAACGAATTTCTAATAGCTAAAATTAAATTTATAAAATTTTGTATTAGAAATTATAAAGCTTTCATTTAATAATTGAATTTAAATAGATATTTACTATTCTAATTTATTTAATCAACATTATGAACAACAGCCTGAATATATCTTCAATTTTCTAACATAATAATAAATTGATATAGATATTAAATTAATAATAGTTTAATATAAATATATAACAGATCTTCATAACTCCTAACAATTCTAAACATATTCTCTTATTTATTGAAGATCATTAGTTTTTTGGAACCCTCCTGCATTTTCTTTTTATTTTTTGATATGTTATATAATCTGCTTTTACATGGATTGAAATTTCTTTCTTGCATTATTCTTTGGTGAGCCTAAAGGTGTAGTTTATTTTGATAAGATTCTCTCAGAATCCAATTTAAATTTCAAAGCAAAGACCTTATTCATCTCTTCAGGGGTTTATGAATCGATTAGTAACTCTTCAATATACCCTGTCTCTACTCTAAATAGCCAACCATGAACCATAATAGCTATGATAATTAACATAAAATACGATTTCCTTTTTGCCAAGACTTTTGAATGATTGGATTCTTCCAAATGTTCATCACTTAAGCTCTAACATTTAGTTAACTGAGACAATCTAATTTATCATTCTCATTCTCCAATGATTCAATAAGTTCTTGATTTTTCTCGTAGACTATTTTTATTTAATTCAACCATAAATCAAGCAATCCGCCAACCGAGTCTTAAGCCATTGCAGCCTTGATTCCTCCACAACATGTGTGACCCATTACTATGATACTATGAATATTTAAATGTTCAACTGCATACTAAATTACACAATTCAACTTAAAAATATAATTTATTTTTACATTTAAATCTGTAGGTATTACTAAATTGGCTATGTTCCTGTGGATGAATATTTCTCCTGGATCTGTTTCTGTTAATTCATTTGGTGGGGCTCTGGAATCCGAGCATCCAATAAGTAAATATTTTGGAGTTTATCCTGTTGACAATTTTTTGAAGTATTAATAATATATTGCCATTTTTTTTTCCACATATATATTGTTACCCTCTAAAACTCTGTTATATTAGCTAAATTCTCTAATACTGTTGCTTACAATTTGTTAATTCATTAAAATAATATCATTTCAAGAATACCACATCAATATATAAATTAATGGCTATTTACTTTATTTTATGGAATGTTTCTAGTTATTAAAAGCATTCAATAACATAGATATTATTTTAATTGAATTAAAAATATTTGATCATAATTGTCAAATTAAATTATAAATGGAATAACAGAAAATTTATTTATTATTTCAATAAAATGTTTCTCGCATTATTATTAGAGAATCATGATTGGGATTATATTTACTGATTTTATTCGATTAAATTATAATTACACTACTTTTTTATATCCATAAAGGACTAAGAAAAAATGCAATATGTTTAATATTTATTGCTTGGAAAATTACATTAATCTTTTAATTCAATTTTAATTAAACACTTTGAAATTTCTCTGATAGTAAAATAGATTATTAAAACTAAATATAAATTGATCAAACAAAGTAGAAAATACATAAAACGTATTAAGTAATTAATGATTTAGTAAAGGAAATGAGTATATTAACAAAAGTATTTGAATATTTATAGCTTAAGTACAAAAATATAGTAGAATTAATAACTTACATGAAGAAATTTTAACAATTATTCAAAAATCTTTTAGATAAGCATTAATTCTTAACTCAAAAATGATCAAGATAATGGAGAGTTCATTTAGATAAGAAAACCATTTAAGATCGCTTCAATATCCTATTTCAAGGCAATGTTATTCTGATTTGTTGGGAAAAGTGATACATTCGATTTATAATATTTATTTGTGAATTATTTATAAAAATAAATGACATCTACTTCTAAATAATTAGTATTTCCTCCAATTGGAAAACATATAGAAGATCTATAGAATCAATTAAAAGAGTCAGTTCAATAATATAAATCAGATAGATATAACGAATATAAAGAAATTAAGAATAAGAAATTGAAAGAAATTAATGAGCAAAATAAGTACAAGATCTTTCATAGGAAAAGTAGAATTCATATCATTAATTTAATAAGTTTTCAATTCTTAGAGTAAACAATTTGGAGGAATATTTGAGAAGGAGAGGGACATTTATTTATGCAAAGAACCCTTGTTGAATGATTATCTGAAATATCACATTATAGAGCCATAAAGAAATTTAGAAAAAGGGCTTATTGAGAGTAGATTAGCATTTTTTAATTAGTTAAAACCGGCACAAAAGAATTTTGTGATGGCAGTTGTTTTGGAGAAGTTCCATTATAAAAATTAGGAGAAAAGGAAAGAAAATTAAGGGAATGCTGGTTGAAAGAGAGGGAAAGATAAGCAAAGCTGAAGTTTAAGGCATTAATCGATTCGCAAACAGGAGTATAAAAAAAATTAAATCAATCAAAAAGATTAAAAGAATTAAAAGTCTTTATTCCAAATAAATTCTCTCTCGATCTATTCGACGAACACCCATCATAAATATTAGCATTAACGTAATTGATAGAATAAAAGTATTAGTCAATTACATTAACATTCAAAAACTATGAAATGGAAACCAAATAAGTTTTATGGAGAAGTATTTGATAATAGTTTCTGCAAATTATCGGATGAAGACAAATCTATATTAAAGGATATTGAAAAAGCAGATTAGTAATAATGAAATAAAATTATTTCTTAATACAATCGATAAAATTTCAGTCTTTTTTTGCATATTTTAACAAAGGGTTATTTTAAGCTTATTTTGCAAATCTAGATGGTTTGATCTATGGTGATGGTTAATATTGATTGTTCTTCTTTTTAGGAGTTCCAATGGATTATGCACTATCTATGGAATCAACTTTTCCTTTTAATAATGGTGAATCATTTCCTACTGCCTAGGTAGAGTCAATTTATTTTTATTGTTGAACCTATTTTTACATGATGAGACCTGGAGATTGCGTTGGTGATTAAAGGGGAGAATTAATATTTCTAGTGGCATCAAATTCAGAATACCTAAATAATAATAATAATCAAAGCTTACTCATCGTTAATTTTATTTATTTCATTGCCCTCATCAACCTCGTCTAAATGCTATTGATCTTCTTTTTCTGCATCAACCATTGCTTTAGTCATTTCAGATAGGAAGGGATGATGCAAGCATTTTTCTGTATTTATTCTCTTATTTGGATCCTTCTCTAACATCTACTTTAATAAATCAACTGCCGGTGCAGGGACGATTTACAATGATTTAATTTCAAAGTCAATATTAGCCTCCCTATTTTATTTGACTACGGTAGCATAACTTTTTCCATTGAAAGCAGGCTTACCTGTCAATAATAAATAAAAGACTAATCCCAAACTATAGATATCGCAAATAGAGGAGTATTTAGCTTTCATATCCTTTAAATTAATGACTTCAGGTGCCACATAACCAGGAGTACCACATCTAGTGTATAGATAAACTGGTTCGTTTACATGGGTAGCCAAACCAAAATCAGCTATTACTACTGATTCCATTTTCCTAATATTATCAAATTTAAATTTACTTCTGGGTTTTGAATAGTATGTTTTCTAGCTTTAAGTCTCTATGCATTATTTCATTCTTATGCATTTCTTACAGGCCAATTAATATTCCTACCATTATTTATTGTATTTATTTTGCATTGATAGGCACTTTATCTTTGATTAAATCATACAAGGAGCCTCCTTCTAACAATTCTAAGGCTACATATATGGAATTGGAAGTTTCGTAAACTTTCAAACAATCTCATCAGATGTTTGTTACGCAATTTTCTCATAATTGCTAATTCATTTAAAATTGCTTCTTTTCCGTTTTCTTCCGCATACGCTGCCTACTTTGCAAAGGCTTTGATTGCCATTTCTTCACCGTCCTCTATTCTTTCCGCCATATAGACCTTGATTAAAATGAATATTAATACTGAAGCAAAATTTCCTTTTCCGATTTTTTTGTATACTCGAAACATGTTATGAAATTGCCACTAATTGATTCTTGAACTCAAATATGATCTCCATTCAAGTATTAATTTAGCAGTGGCATTTAATTTATAGACAGAATTGATATCTCCATTATCTTTTATGAATTGAATTCCTATTATTGGTCCAAGTGAATCATCATCCTCATCTTTTTTCTAAACTGGTTATCTTAGAATCTCAAATTTAGTTTCAAACTCTAACTTAAGGCATTTTTTTGGCAATTAATCCTTCTAGTTATAATAACAGTATGAATAACCTTAACACAAACTACATAATGATCATATCCATAGAGTAATCTAGTTTTGCCATTATGTTTTGTAAATTCTCCTTAAATGATGAGATGTTCTTATTTTGGCTTAAATTCATTCGGAATTGGAATCCACAGTTTTTAATGCATGAAATTCAATAAATATTATTAAAAGTGAAAATGATTATTTATTCCATTAAATAGTTTGAAATTAACTTATAGACTTTAAAAAAACAACAAAATATCATTATGTAATATTCAATTTTATAATGGGATTTTATTATTATATTATTTTAATATATAATTTTGAATATAAATATTCTTAATATAACTTTTCTCTTTCATTAACAATACCAATCTAAATTTCATTTAGAACCTTTCTTGAATGAGAGTTATAACCTTCTCAAGATAAAAGGATTGCGATTTTAACTTAATTAAATTTGATTAAATTATAACTATTAAAATACAACTTATTTTCTTTATATATTAAAAATTTTTTAATAATAATTAAAACTAATTAATATTTTTGGGTCCATATTAAACATTATTTAATCCAAAATTGCCATTAGGAGGGCAATTTTCAATAATATATATTAATATATGGAGTGATTACACATTAATAATATGGGGTTTTCATTTTAAATACATTTCTACCAAATAATTATAGTCTGGAAGATATGAAACAAATGAACACTATACTTATAACTTTATTTTATAATTGGTAGAAACTTATGCTTAAATCAAGATCAATAATTTAAATTTTCTTAATAAACCAGGAAATAGGAGGGTAAGAACATTAATTTGTATCTTATTTTAACGCATTTAATTGAACTCTCATTCAGAGAAATATGTAAGAAGAACTATGATTTATTCAATATATAATCTTAATGTAATTCATTTAATTTTCATACTTACATTTCTAAAAAAATCAGATAATTTCTTATTTGATTTCTCATAAATGTCTGAAAAGTTTTGCGTTTATTTAACTTCTAATTTTACAGTAGGTTCAGTTTTCACAACTTAACTTTTTCTATTCTGTCTTATAATAATTCTATTAGTTGGTTATCTTAGGAGATTCTAAGAAAAACTCTGTGCTGGAATTGAAGGAAGTAATTTGAGCTGGATAGTTTGTTGACTTTGTTACTTAGTTGAATCAATACTTTGAAGAGTAAAGGTTCTCAAATGAGTTTAAGTGGAAATCTTTTCATTTTTTATTTTTCTACTCATCTAGTGTAAATGAGCAAAGATAGGTTCTTTAGGAAGTTGAGCTTTTTTATGCGGTATTTGAGATTCAACTGTGTTCAGGTATCTTCTTAGATTATTTGAAGTTGGAGTTAATAAAGTAGATTCTTTCGTCATTTGACTATTGAATTGTAGTTTTGATGGTTGAGTTGTTATATGAGTACTAACAGTTGTGATACTTGATTTGAGTTTCATTTCTGGAGTTGTTGGGGCTTCTGATATTTCATCAAATTGGTGTTCGATTTGTTTTATTTTATTTTCCAAGACTTCCTTCTTCCATTCCTTGAACTTATACTCGTATGATGACATATGTTTATCAATGATCTCTTAAATGTGATACTTTTTAGCTAGGCTCTTAGCTTGAACACTAGATTCCTTTACAGTTCTGCATTCAGTAATTATATCTTGAATAACTCTAAATAGATGTTGGGTAGACGATCTCAATTCACAATGGGCGATATCATAACCTTCAATTTATATTAGTTTGATCACTTCCGCTTCATTTAAGTTGGTGGCCTAATTTTTGACCAATAAAGCAAGATCTTAGAAGCTCAGAAATTATTATAAGAAAATATCTTAACTGATTAATTAAGAAACCTTTTATATTGATAATGGACTAAGTTGAGACAATATTTAATCAATCGTTTATTTCTATTGAGGCTATATAGTAGTTTTTTCACGTAAAGCCTTTTCCTCTATGTGATCATAGATGGCATTTAAAAATTGATTAGAATTTCTGATGCTTGGATCTTTAGCTATTAATTTGATTTTATATTATTTTTCTAATTATTACATGACTTAAGACAATTAGATAAACATTTTATTATATGTCCATTTTAAGTAGAACCTAATAAGTATATATAATAATTTACTCATGTCCAAACATATCAGAATTGCATGACTTCAAAATTTCTTTTATATTATACAAGGCATTTAGTATTCTAGAAAGAACAGTTGTAAGCATTGTAAAAATCCTAACAAAGAAATATTTGTTATTTGATAAATGCCTAATCTAAATATTTTTTAGGTATTGAGCCATTTCATGTTATGATTCATCTATCTATGGTGCTGCAGATTCAGGTTCATCTAACTCATAAAATTACAACTAATTCAAAAATAGTAGATGATTTATCAATTGTCCTTTTTATAGTAGTAAGTCTTCATATCTATTTCTCAATGTTCCATCTTGAAATTGTAACTTCCGATACACTTATATCAATTAGTTTATTGAATAATTCAAATCATTATCATGAAACTTGAAGAAAATCTTTATTCTAGAGGAAACTCCGCTAAATCTTGCCCTGTCTATATATTCTTATAAAGATGAAGCCAATTATAACCTTGAAAATGGCTACCTTAGTTGCCAACGAACATGTTGCAAAATCTCCTCCAATTCGAAATCATTTGGGTTCTCTAATACAAATATTAATCTTAATTTATCGATGTCATCAAACTCTTCTAATAACTCAGCACATTCTTCAATTTTATGAAATTTAGTTTTAATTTCTTCATCTATTTAATTGATGAGATCACTTGTCTATTCATATTTGAGCAATAATGACATTTCTTTATCCTCTTGTTCTAATAGTTCTTTTAACTGTTACTCTGTAATTACCGATTGTTTTTCTGTCTTGTATTTTAATTTTTCTATTTTTTAAGTCTACCATTCCTTTTCTAATTTCATTGCTTTTTTTATAGTTCCAATGTAATGGACAAAAAAAGCCAATTGCTGTTTGTTTTCAATCTCTTTTAAATGAATTTTTGGTTCATTCTATGTGTATAGTTCAATTTACTCATTCATCAAATTATTCTGTTTTTCAATAATTCTCACAGAATGCTCAATCTAATCAATTCTCTTTTCTAACATCTACTTGCAATCCATTTCCTTATCAATATCATTTTGTAACTCCAATTCCGGAATCACAATAAACTATTCGTCCTTCATCATAAATTCCTCTTATATCTATGATCTTTTTTTATTATTAATGTAGGCCAATTCAGCAAAGATTTTTTAATATCCCGCCACATCAACATTATCATTTTTCTATAAATTCTCCTGACTCATTTCATATAACAGTTCTTATTTCCGTTGTTCTAGTTTTTGATCAACGATCTTCATTACTAATTTTTAGTACTTGAGTTTTTGGTTAAAGCAATCTTAATGCAGCCAATTGCTCCCTTAAAACATTGTCAATGCTCTCTTTATGCAAGAAGATGCTAGTTTTTGTTTTGGTTACTACTCTTCGGAATGAATTCATTTAATATTGAAGTTTCGTAAATTCAATAAATAAAAATAAATAAAGTATCTTAATTATATCAAAATAGAAATAGATGTCATCCTTTTTGATAAGTTATATCATTTCCAATTAGAGTAATTAACCAATCTCAGAAATCCTTTGTTATATACTCTAATATTTAATCAGTAAATACTCAAATACTTCGTTTAATCATCTGTTGGGATCAGAAAAGCTTAAAATCTAAAAAAACAATTTTATAATTAAACGACACTCAAACCATTTAGATCCAAATAATATTGATATCATTTAAGTTCTTCCATTTCTCAATGAATTAAGGTATCACTAAAAAGTTTATAAAAATATAAATGAGTATTTTATATCATCATAATATGTTATTATTTCAAATCATAGATGTGCCTTGATTAGACCTGACTACCAGAGTTAAATAGATCAGAAGGGTTTAAGATCAAATATCTTTCATATCTAAGTAAATGGATAGATCTATTATAGAGATATAAGTCATCTTATTAAGCAAAAGAGAGATATTCCCTAATAATATTGATCAAAACTTAAATGAGTTATGATATATTGTTTTCCATCATGATTTCAGTGTGGTTTTAATAAATATATATGATTTTCAAATTTCTCGATTTTCTTTTTTATTGATAAATAAATTTACCATCCCAAATATTTGGGCTAAATTTTTTGTTCAAAAATTTATTAATAAAAATATTAGAGTATTAATGACTGATAGCACAATAATATGTCCCTATTGTAAAAATAATGCTTACTTCGATCCAAGATCATCCTCAAGCTATTGCAAGTCAAATCTATGCAATGGCATTGTTATTGAATAAGGAAAGATTACCTATGAAAATGAGGTTAATTTGCATGAGGCTGATGAACCAGGAAAAAAGTAAACTAGGTTTGGAGGATATGAAAATAAAAGGGATGCTTTTAAAAATTAAATTTGTGAAATGCTAGGAAAAAGTGATTCTAAGCAGAGAAAACAATTTTATGAGAAATTTGAAGCTGGAGAACATCAAATTCAAAAATTGTCTAGCATTTTTATGATGAATGAAGCATTTACTAACGATGCCATCTCAAAATACAGGTCTTTGATGTTTGATAATGCGAATGATGTAGAATAATTTGTTTTTAATATTTTTAGATTGCCAACAAAAGCTTTTTGGCCTTAGCTGCTTTGGCTTACAACCTAACTATTAAAGAAAGGAAGTCATAGCGTAATTATGATGAAAGATTGAATAAAATTACAATTGAACTTATAGTTAAATTTTGCTAAGTGACTCCTCAATAAATGGACTTAGTTACTAAGGCTTTAAATATGAAAGTAAATAATTGTTTCTATGTCTTCTTAGAACTCAGGGGATCCAGGAAAATAAGACATCTGCTAAAAGATTGTTTAAAAAGTAAAAGAACACAAATTGCCATTTAATGAACACGAAAACATGGCAATTTATGATATCCCTCATAGACTTATGGATAATAGTATTATTAGAGGTGAGAAAACTTCAACAATTGCATGGTAATTATTGTCCATTTATACCTAGCGTTGTTGAATACATGGTCTCATAACTATCTGGCAATCCTGAATTAAATAGGTTAACTCTAGATTAACTTGCTTAAATGAATGATGTAACAAAAGACACAGCTAAGAAATTATGGAATACTATCCTAGAAAATTAATGCTTGCAAAATCATATTACTAGATGGTAAGGATAAAGATCAATTTCAGAGCTCAAACATATAACATGAAATATAAAATAATATTTAAAATACATAATTATTATGAATTTCATACAAAATATCACTGATAAATCTAAGCTAAATAACTTTCATGATTTATTATGGAAGATTTTTGGGTATATTTTTAGAGTCATTAATTGAAATTGCTTAAAATATTAAATAAAAACAATATTTTTATGCAGAGATTTTGTAATAATCATTCAAAAGTATGTTAATTTAGCCATCAATTTAAAACTACTTCAAGGAAATAATTTTTCTAACATCTTTAGAAAAAATCTATTTAACAGAAAAAACATAACAAAATTCTTATTAATAATGACTATTATAAATAAATTAATATCATCATTTTCTTATAACTTTTAAGCTCCTTCTTTATGAACTCATTAGATTATTGGATTACTTAATTAAGTTATGAAATTGATATAAATCAAGATTTTTCTCTCTACCTTAAAAAGTACTTAATATATTAGATTTTTCTAACAAATCTCTGTCATTTTGATATAATAACTTAAGTTTCCTCAGTTTTAATGACTTTGTAACTATTTTCATAATTTCTTCAATACTTATTCATAAAATAAATTGATTTATTTATTTATTAATGTATATATAATTACTGTTCAATCAAATCATTCTCTTAACAAGATCATTGATGAGATCTTCTCTATTTCCCCAATCTCCTTGATTAATGAAGGATTTTCTCTTAGCAATGAATCCACCTCTTGGTCCTCTCAATTTGAATGCCCTAAGATTGGAATAGATAATTACCATAAGAATCTATTTGCTTCTTTGAAGTGAGGTCCTACAGTTGTAATTTCATGGATGAGATCTTCAACGCTGTGAATGCCGACTTTTCCTAATTATTGCTCAATCACATTATTATTTGTGATTGGGATTCTTTGACCATTAATTTTGGCATATCCTCTCTTGTAAATCAGATTCTTGATGACAGCTCTTGATGGATATCCATAGGTGACATATGGCTCGACTTTTCTGATCATTTCAATTGTGGCCTTGTTGACTCTGACAAAGGCTGCATTGTGAAGTTATCTCAATTTTAAAAGTCTCAAGGTTTATCTGACCTGTGGATTCAAGGTGTTGATACTGTAATTACTTAAATTAATAATACCCTCTGATTCTGACCACCAAAATCAATTTAGCTTCAGCTGGGACATAGAATCCACCTTCAGTCTTAGCTTTACGTAAGTTATCAACTAAGCTCTTGTCTGCAGCCTTGTACTCAGCTTCATAAGCTTGAGCAGTCTTTTCCCATTAAGCTCTTCTGGTTTTGTTGGCAGCCAATCTCTCTGTTCTTCTCTTAGCAACAGCATCCCTCAATTTAGAATCTCTTTAAGTCTTTTTGGCGACGTTCTCAGGAACCTTTTATCTACACCATCAATACAATAACTTACTCAACTTGTATTTTTTGCTTCTTTTGGGACATTTTAAACAAAATAAAATCTTAAATTTTAAAATCAAATCAACTAAAACACATTCTTCTTAATCTATTCTCAATTTATACAACAAATCTCAATACATACTAAATTTGACAGAATTCAGATCGGCAAGGTAAACATTTGAGTGTCACCTCCACTCCCTATATTCAACAATAAATGAAAAAAATAATCTAAAAGTAAATAATAAATATTCACAAGGCTTTTGCTTGTGTCTCAAGTCACAAGTTTCTCACTTGAGGGATTTCCTCTTGAGGCTTGGACTTGGATTTGGAGTTTTATTTGGTTTCTATGAACCTATAGGACTTAAACGATAATTTGAGTTTCTCGTTGACGAGGCAGTTCTCATTGGCTTTAAAAATTGGCTATGCGAGGAAGCCAAGGTTTCTCTTGTTGAAGGGAGAAACAATTACGCCTACTTAATCTAAGGCTCTTTGATTCGAATTCTGTATTTCTCAGTGACTATTTTTTCCTATTTGAACCATTAGTGATTCATGGCTTCTTTCACTGTGGGTCTGAGTTCCTTAACTTCAAATAAGGATTTCAAAAAGAGTAACCCTTACTCACTTACTTTCAACTTACTTACATCCACCTAACCCTAATAATTCTTGGTTATGGTTTCATTGTAGTCACCTGCAAATGGTTCCTCTCCACAAATTATAATATACATTATTACGCCCACACTAAAGACATCCACTTTAAAATCATAGAATTCATCCCTCAAAATTTCAGGGGCTACAAACCCAGGTGTTCCACATCTTTAAAATAAGTATTTCCCATCCTTATTAAAATAGTCTGCCAAACCAAAATCAGCTACGCAAAATTAAGACAGACTTTATTTTCTTAGGATGATATTTTTTGGTTTGAGATCTCTATGCATAATGCCAAATTTATGAAATGACAAAATAGCCTTAAATAGTCTATATATGAAACTAGCTAACTATTTTTCACTGAGAAATGAGTTCGGCTATTTTAAGTAGTCGTACAGATCTCCTCCTTCCAGCAATTCCATCACAACATATATGGTGTCTTCGTTCTCAAAAACTTCATAGAGGTGAACTACATTTTCATGTTGGACTTGACGCAAGATGGATATTTCTTTTAAAAGAGCTATCTTGTCTAATCGATTTGTTAATTTGTGTTTGGAATATTATTTAACAGCAAATTTTTCATCTCCCAATTGGTATCTACAGCTGTAAACCTGAATAAAATTTAGTAGTACTTCTGCTTGATTTCCCTTGCCTATCTTTTCCAATATTTTGTACGTATTTGAGAACCCTTGTTGGATGCACCATCTTTTCATATAATTGAACCAGATTTCTGTTTCTCCATATAGAATAAGAGTCTCTCCTTTAGTTAGAGAGATCCCATCTCCAAGCATTTTGTCTCGCACCACCTCTATCAACGAGTTTTCATAATTTATCCATTTGATGGTACCCTAAATATATTTAAGAATACTTTTTTTGTGTAACAACCTAAAATATTTTGTATCAAAATGTATTTTTTTATTTTACAAGTGTTGGTACCCGATTTAATAAATTCTCCATCCAGAGCTCCATTTTTCGAGAAGACTGGCATTGGCAGATAACTCCACACGAGTTTTGTTTTCGTGCTTTGAAATATTGATTCTTTAAACATATAATATTTTTTATTTACTGAATATTTATTGCTTAAAATATGTTGATTCAAATAATTTATAGTTCCTATTTAAATATTATAATTTAGGTTATGAATTAAGTGGCGAAGTTTTTTTTATAAATGATGATCTAAGATGGGTTACTTACTTTGAGATTTAAAATTATGGAAAAGGAGACGTTGCATTTCAGACTCTAAGTCAACACGATAAGAATTGAATAGAAACGATTGATAAAGATTTGAATAATAAATTGTTTAATTAATAATGGTTTATTGCTCTCAATTTTATAATTGAGAAATCGTATGATATTACTATGTATAATAATATTAAAATGAAAAAGTTTACAATAATTCTAATTATTGTTTGTCTGCAACTTAGTAGTTGCGAGTAGTGTTCTGATTACTTTTAGGATGAAACCGGATGTATTCAGAGCACTGGAATTTCTTGCAGGTGGATTGAGTAGAGTAACCAGTGTCAAGAATCAACAGGAACTTTGATTGGATGCCAGAATTATTTAAATTAGCAAGCCTGTATTTCATAGAAGGTGTACCCTGATAAAACAATAGCGGAATGTATTAGATTAGTAGTATTCATCTAGGTATTTTCAGTGGATATTGCAGAAGTGTTGTCGATGATGCTTCAGAGTGTTAGAAAAATTTATCTAGAGCTGGGTGTTTGGGAGTCGAGGAAGCTTATTGTACTTGGAAGGATCAATGCATTGCGATCTCACAAAGTCAAGCAGTTATATTAGGTTAGGCAACTTCATTAACTGATGATTTGAAACTGTCATCAATTGCAGTATGTCAATTAATTATTAATTTCCCAGGTATTAATTGAAATTGAAATTAGCTATTCATTAGCATGGGGCACATGAATCTTTGACTAAGTTATATTTTGAGAACTTAACATCATCAGGTGGTGAGAATGAGTACGAATAACAAATGTTGATTCCAGGATGTTTTTAGCCAGTTACTAGTATCTATAGGGAAGTAAAGTGTGATGCATAAGGATTGAATTCATTAAGCTGCATGCTGATTGAAACGGAACCTTGCATATTTTAAGAGGGAAATTGTAAAAAGGTGTATAATTTCTTTACTTTAAATTGCAGCGATAAGTTAAATAAAATAGCATGCTTATCAGTTGAAAACTTGGAGGAAACTTGTTATTGGGCTGGCAATTAATGTACAAAATATTTAGTAACCACAACTACACCTTGTAATATATCAATATAAGTAAGAATATTATCAATTTAAATAGGTTTCTCCTAGTTTTTGCGCAAATATAACTAATGGAGGCGAATCATGTTTTTATGATAAATCAACAATGAAGTGTGATTAGATGTGTAAGTCTGCTAGCTTAACCACCTCTACGAAATGCGAATTATCAAAATATGAATGTGCATGGCGTGATTATGGGGTTGGATATTGTAAATTCAAAAAAAATCAATGTGATAGGCAAGGATAGAATTACACCTCATGTATGGAGGCAGATGAATACTGTCTCTTTGATGATGGACTATGCCAATCTATATAGGATTTGAACCTCCGGGGGTGTGCTGGTGGATTAAATAAATAGGCTTGTATAAACTTGAAGAATCCAAGTTAAGTCTGTTAATTTTTGGATAATAGATGCATGGAAATCTTTACAACCCCAGAAGATCTACCATATTAATTATGGGATGTGAATCAGAATGCTTGTAAAAAAATAACAACAACTGCCAGTTACTGGAATAACGGTTCCTGTTTAGATGGCAAAGGGAATGAAGAATGTACAATCCAAGGTTACAACAAGTTGGGATGTCTTAATACAATTAACACAGTGGCACCTTGTCAATGGAATGGAGATTCAGGAAGTTGTCAGGCAATAACGATAACTAGAGAGACTAAATGTGAATCACTAAAATTGGTAAATGCTGTTGCTTGTAGATCAGTTTAAGAAGAGGATACTAGTGGCAATCCTGTGTTGTGTAAATACAATATAAATTCTACTGCTTGTGAAAAGGTCACAGTACTCTCCTCAATTAATTGTGAAACAGAAGGCTTAAATGAAGCTGCATGCAGTTCAGTTCCTGATCCATTGTAAAGTTGTAGATGGTCTTCAAATTAATGTATGAAAGTAACGAGTTTGGGGAATGCAGTCACCTGCTAGGCTCTATAATCAGTGACTCAAAGAACTTGCGCAATGATCTAATCCAATAATTAGAGATGTGTTTATGACTCATCAAGGAAGAGTTGTACAACCCAAGTCCCACCATCAACAGCTTGTACTGCTGCAGGATTGAATCCTTACGGTTGTGCATTTGTAAGTTCAAAATGCCATTTTGATTCTACCACTAATCAATGCAAATCTACTTAGGATTCCGATTATGCAACAATTAGTTGTGACACGAATTTCCCATCAAAAAGCACTTGTGTCTTAATAACAAAGGCTAATCAATATTGCAGATGGTTAGGAAAGGACAATGTTTGTGAATTATTTAGTTTTCCTGCCTCTGATTAGTGTACTAAGTATTCGAATGTCAACAAATTATTTTGTTTGGCTTTTGAAGTGCCTTTAACAAGATATATCAGTTCCAGTTACTACTGTTCCTTCGATTCAGGAACAAGTTCGTGTACTGAATATACAAACCTTGCTGCATGGGCAGATTGTGGATCATCATTAGATATCAATCTACATGCTTGTGTAGGTCTCTCTAATACTAGTAAATATTGTTATTTTGATCAAACAACATTGAAATGCACAGAAATCACGGATCCCAATGATTCCAAGTTTTCGTCTTTGCTCTGTAAATAAGCTAATAAAAAGTTGTGTTTGAGTTTATTAACAACTGGACAGTATTGCGAATGGGTGGATTCAGAGAAAAAGTGTTAACCAATAAAATCAGGTCAATCATGTTCCGATTATGTGTCCTTGACAGTCAATCCAACTCTGTGTGCCAGCACCTTCTCTTTTGAAGCATGTGTGTCTAATTTTGCTGATAGTCACTGTAAAGTTTTGCTAGCTAGTGAGACGTCTTATGGTTGTCTTGAAAAGGGGTTGAATCGGAAGGCATGTTTAGAGAACACCAACGGTGCTTGCTATTACGATACTGATAAATTGCTTTGTTTAGAAATGACTGGAACATTAGCATATTAAGTGTACTGTTATAGTTACGTGAACAAATTAGGCTGTTTGGCTACATTGCAAGCTCCTTGTAAATGGGCTGATAACTCTTGCTAATACGTTTATGATCTAGATCCCTTTAATTCAGCCTGCACTGACTTATCAACCTAACTTTATAACCCCAAAGTTTGCTAGATGATTTAAACCGATTCTCAATATTGCCAATATGACTCAACAACTTTCCATTGCAAGGATTTCTCAGACTTTGTCTAAGATTGCAAACCTGGATACAATTATTTAACTTGCAGTTTGAATTCCTTGTGTCAATGGGATTCAAGCACAGAAAGTTGTTAACCCAGTAGCTCTGGAGCAGATTTATGCAAGGATCAAACGAATGAGACTAATTGTCTAGCCGTCACAAATGATTTGTGTTCTTGGACTACTTCAGGAAAGTGTAAGAAGATTGTCATCACTAGCTATACTTAATGCAGTTAGGTAGGTACAGCCTAAGGCAAGTTCGTGAAGAAGATATGCCAGTAAATCTTTTTCGGAACCGAAGCTTGCCAATATGATAGTGCCAGCAAGGCTTGTGTGACAGTAACAACTACAAACAACCAATGCAGTTCAATAGGTCTGAACAGGAAAGCTTGTCTTAGCAATACAATCGGATATAAATGCAGATTTGAATCAGATTCAACCAAAGATGATTATGGATGCTAAGAAATCAGCGATTTTTCAAGTCAAGGCTGTTCTGACAGTTTAGATAGCGAGGCTTGTGCATCCGTTACTATTTCTTAATGTGCATACGACTTGACTAGAGATATTTGTGAGGATTACTCACAATTCTATTTGGCCTACTATTACACCTGTGCTTAATTCAGCACTGGCTATGTAGTTTCAATAAACTTATGCAAGTATCTTACTGATGTTGCATGCATCTATGATGCCGCAACTTTCACATGTAAAACAACTAATGCACTATTGAATCTATGCTCTACAAATACAACCATTAATTCGGTGTATTGCTTAACCTAAATTAAGGATTAAACATGCGCCTTTGATCCATATTATGGCTACTTTTGTTATCAAACTGATACGTCCTATTGGTCTTGTAGTGATTGTTTATCCTTTAAGTAATGTGTCACTAGCAGATATTAAATATGCAAATGGTAGGATAACTTATGTCAGGAAATTACTGTTGATGATGTACCGTGTACTGATTTGACAAACATCAATTCAAAAGCCTGCATGAGTGTTACTGGGGATGCAAAATGCTAGTTCAAGTATGATTCAGTAGCATAAACAACATCTTGCGTAACTCCTTTGGATGACACTTAGCTTTGTCCAGGATTGAATGAAGCAGCCTGTGTTGCCAACACAATCTAATCCTGTTTCTTTTATTAGAAATAATGTTATAGCAGTTTTTCTGATCCTTACTTAGCTAGTTGCACAGAGGAATTTTCTTTTAATTATCGAGGTTGTGTGAGAATTATGAATTCAGATCAAAAATGCAAATGGGACACCACTCTTAAAAAATGTATTTCAATATCGATTTCACCTACCGATACTTGCACTACTTATGCAGATTCTAATTATTCAGCAACTATTTGTGCCTCAATTTAGAGTGGAAATTGTATTTGGGATAACGGATGCAAAGTAGACGTGGCTCTTAGTTGTGATACTAACGGAGCAAATAAAGGAGCGTGCATAAATGCAACAACAGGGAGTTGCGTATTTTCAGAAGGAGTTTGCATAGATGTGACTATTCCATCAGCTTTAGTGAAAAACTCATGTACAGATCCTTCAAATTAGTCAGGATGTCTGAACATGAATTTAGGATAAACCTGTAAATGGACGGGAACCACATGTCAAGAGATCAGCGTAACTGGTGGTTGCACCTCGTATACTAATGTGAATCCAGGAGTATGCTAAAAAGTCACCGATGTAGCATGTAAATGGACATCTTCCAATTGTACTGTGGCTATAATGAAAGGAGTATGCAGTTAAGCAGGATTGAACAAAATAGCATGTTTGAAACTCACCTCAGAAGTTTGTTATTTCAAAAGCAAAACCAATACTTGCACTCAGATTACTTAGTAGACTTTGAACGAATTGGAATGCACTGACAATCTCAATGAATAGGCATGTCTAGCTCATTAAAAGAAATGTTGTAAATGGAATTTAGATACGGGAACATGCTAGGATTCAACAGCAGGTTCAAGTTGTGCTTCACTGATGAATAACTCACCTTATTGTTGTTAGATTTTGACTGGATAAGCTTGTAAGATGGGACCATTATATTGTTAAGAATTAGCATCCTTATAATCCTAGTGTTCGGATGCATACAACAAAGAGGCTTGTTAGTGGATTAGTTCACCGTGTAGGTGGGATGATACGTTAATGAATTGCATATAGGTCAACAAGAATTATGGATGCAAACCTGATTTGAATGTAACAGGATGTGTGAACCAATCAGTTCATTGTAAATATTTAGATAAAACATGCATGGCAGCCAGCACTTCGGATACTTGTGCAGATCTATATAATTCCTCATTATCTTCAACAAAATGTTTGTAAATAACAAATAGCAGGTGTTTGGTCATTAATAATGGGTGCGCAGTTCCTCCTTACAATATAAAGTGCACTGAAAACATGAATAAACTTGCATGTTTGGATAACGTTAATTACTGCGTTTGGAATGAAACCACTAATAGTTGCAATGGAAAGAGAGTACTCACTGCCTCAACAACTTGCGCAACTGGTGTTGTCAGTAGAGGGTTATGTGCATTCTCGAAAGTGCAATGCAAATCTGAGTATGATTATTCGTGCAGCACTTTTACTAATATTGATGATTCTAATATCACTTGTGATGAAAGGAATGCTGTTCTTCCATCTAACTCTTCCTAATGTTTGGCTCTGGATAATGTCATTTGTCAATATGACTCAACCTAACAGAGATGCACATCCAAGATATTTGGTTCTGTTTGCACTTCCATTGTTACCAAAAAAGGCTGTATCTACATAGAGAATAATTGTTATTGGTCCTCCAACTTGTGTTTGCAATACAGTTCAGACAAGTACTTTAACACATGCGAATAAATATACACAAAGTATCAGTGTTTAATCAATATCAATACAGCCTGCTAATGGTTTGAAGAATATTCCCAATGTAGAACCTACAAGGGATTTGCAGTCACTTGTGAAGAACACACTGAAACAGAAATCTCCCCAGGAATATGCTTTTATTTCTCATCTGATTATTGTGGTCATGATGGGAAAAAATGTAAAAAGGATGTAGCTTAATCGGTTTGTGCTAATTCAAAGAGTCCTCTAGGATGTCAAGCGAATACAGCTGGAAATTGTTTTTGGAGAATCAATACAGGCAAATGCGAAGCCTTAACCGATTCTAAACTTGCTTAAGTCATGACTTGTGTCGAATTGAAGTATTCCAAAAAAGAATTTTGCTTAGCCCCCATTATAGAAGGATAGACATGTCATTGGAAAGACGACCTGTGTTAAAGTGCAAATATCGAATTCATCTCTTGCACCGATGATCTATCCTTGGATGGATGCAGAGCAGTTGCAATGTGGGGGGATTGTGTTTTCAAAGACAAATGTTAAGATGCAGACATTAATAATATTAAATGTACCGATTATATCAATATAAATTCCTGTTTACACCTGACATAAGATGGCCAATACTGTAAATGGTTGGGATAAAGATGCTATTCCTTAGAAAGTGAAGATGGCTTTGAATTATCCAGTCACATACTGATCAACGCCAATGTCTGTCGAAAAGCCTACACTAAATCAGGTGCTCCAGATGCTACTCTTAAGAATATTGGTGTTCGCTATGATCCATTAAACTATGTATGTCAATTATCAGATCCAGAAAAAGATTTATGCAGCACTCCAGGTTTGAATTACTATTCATGTTTGTCCACCTAAGCTGATGCTTGTGATTGGACTGGTAGCAAGTGCAAACTCTTCGATTTCGGTGTAACATTCACCCAATGCGATCAATATATATCTGTATCTCCAAAGGTTTGTGCTTCAATTAATACATCAAACTTAAAATGCCAACATAATTCAACCACTTTAAATTGCGAAAACTTCTCTGAAACCACTGAAATCTTTGTTAAAAATAAGGATGATGTATATGTAAACACTAAAAAGGGGATGAATCGATTGGCTTGCATTAGTGTTCTTAAATAGCCTACCATTTGGGCCAGTGGAAGATGCGAATACAATCTTGTTAAAGTAGGCTTAATAACCTGCAACGAATTGATAGATGTCAATCCCAAGTCTTGTGCATAAATTGACAAGGACAATGTCACTTGCAAATATTTCAAAGAAGGAACTTGTACTGCATATTTTGACCCATAATTTGATAAGTGCACTACACCTGGCTTAAATAAAGTAGGTTGTGTTTCTATTGAAACTGAGTAGTGTCGCTTTTCTGAGGGATCTTGCTCAAAATACGAAATTTCAAATATCATCAAATGCAATGAGATGAAAAATGTGAATGCCCTAGTCTGCAAAAATATCATAAATCAACGTTGCAAATTCAGTTTTGTCAATAGAGGATGTGTCTAATCATATTCAAATGATAAATGTTCATACAGTGGACTCAATCAATTCGGATGTAATAGAACCACCTAATGTCAATGGATTGATGATCGATGCTTCTGTAAAGGAGAGGTTTCATCACTCCAATTAATAGATTGCTCCAAATTCACTTCTGAACTTTGTCCAAACTACAAATAGTGCATTTTTGACAAACTTACCAGTCTCTGTCGAAACAGGAGATGCAGTGATCTTGCTGTTGCCTCTTGTTCGGGGACTATAGCCAAATCAATTTGTTATGTTAATCTCTTTAAATGCAGTTCTGCCTCTAAGTGTTCTGAACTATTCAATGTAGATTGTAGTCTTTATACTATCGCTGGTAAAAAATGTGCTGACGATCTATAGAATGAAAATCATTGCATTGATTAAGGATGTCAGCATTTCAATGAAGACTAATGCACTGGTAACTGCCAATGGTCATACGCTTAATGTGTGCTCAAAGAGTGCACATACATGAATAAAGACAAGTGCACTGGTATCATGAATAATAAGCAATGTTATTGGGATGGTACTTATTGTTAGGCCCTTAGTTCCTGTAAAGAATATATTACATATTCCAAATTAACTGATACAACCCTGTAACAATAGTTGTGTACTTCTTCAATGTTTCTTAATAAGAGATGCAGATGGGAACTCGTTGAACCTTTTGGAACTGAATTTTAATGCACATCCAAATTGTGTTCTGATTAAGGTACCAGTTCATCAACTTGCCATGGATTTGAGGCTCAATCAGAGGTATGTGTATTATTACCGGACTTTACTTGTGTGGCTTGCTCAGAAATTACAGACTCTTGTACCTGTTTAAATATGAATGGTTACTGTTACTACAGTGAATCCAAGGGATGCATCTCAAATCTGTGTAGCGATCTGGATGAAGCTTCTTGTGGTATTATCATTGTTAAACATATTTATAGCATCAAATTCATAGAGATGCACATTTATTAACAAATAATGTAAACCATCCTGTGGTAAATTGAGAAGTGTTGAGTGTACTGTAAGGTAACAGTCGAGTGAGTGTCATTGGAACAGTAATGTTCTGAGATGTCTTGATGGTGCACCTCCGAGTGTCAATCTAAACACCATGGAGGAAGTGATAGTCATAGAGAGCTCGATTTCTAAGATTAACTAAGTGATCATCATGCTAATAATGATATATATTAATTGATATTATTATATCATTATTATTATTGAGAGGGATGAGAGGTACTTTTAGTTTTAATAAACCAATTTAATTATAAATATCACTTGTTCTTCTTAATTGTTTCAGAGATCTTTTTCTTGACTCGCTTAAACCTTATTGCTATTACACACAAAATAATGAACAGAAAGATAATTATGATTACTAGAATTATCATAATCATATATTGAACATAATATGGATAATTATTTGGAATTATCTATTCATAAATCTTAATTCTACTTAAATATTGAAATCTATATTAAAGTATATTTCAGGTTTGGTTATATTTTGGAATTGCTAAACGCAACTTATATTTCTCATTATGTTACAAAAGTTTATAAAGTTTTGATCTCCATTGTCAATGACTATTTCTGAACTAGCATCTTAGCAATTTCTTATTGTTACATTGCAATCGTTAAGATTTGGAAACGCCGTATTATCTAGTATCATATAAGAGGCAGCATTCTAATAATATTGGTATGATGTATTTGCTATGATAAATGAGCCTAATTGATCACTCTAACAACCCAAAAAACATATAGAATTCATATTAGTTGCATTAACGATTTGGTTCTAATAATTCAACTGAACCCCCATGACTGCTTGCATAAAGATTGACACTAAATATTGAAATTCAATCTAATTTCTAGGACAAGGCTGACATATATTTTATACCATTTCTTAACATATGTTCCCTGATCTCTCTGAAAAATGAATATAACAGACATAAAATTCATTGTAAGGAGAGTCGAAGACAAAAAAATCGAACTCATTCTTTGTTGGAGAACCTATTGTCAAATTTATAGTCGCCTTCCCATCTATAATTGGATATTGATTGTTCGATCCCATTCCAAAAGTATTCGGAATTATTTGCATAAATTGTCCATATTTTATACTCGTATCAATCGTTGAATTAAAACGAACGTAGTCTTCATTTTGACTTGCAAAAGCAATCGAAAAATATAACAAAAACAACATTAATTAAACTCATTAACGAAAGAAAAGTATTGTTCTATTTTATCATATTCTGACGTATACTACTTCATAATGCAGATAAAGATGGAACATAAACTAGAACACCCTCAGAACCATGTTCCTGCATTTTCTTTAAATGATTACTTACATTATAGAATAGAAATAATGAAATTCTTAATATCATTAGGGATTTTCTAATTGATTTAATTACATTACAGATTATAATATAGAATTTAATGAAAGTATATAACAAATAAGTATTATTCATTCAAATTATATGAGTTCTAATTTAGTGTCAATCTTAGGAGATATGATTTATTGTTCTAAATTACTATCTTTAAAGTCAATAACTTAACAAACACCTTCAACTGACATCATTTAGCAGAACTCATCAAAGGATATCTTTTAATCATGATTTGGGTCTATCTCATAGATCATTTAATTCAATTTCTCATCAGTGAGTGATCTACCATGTCTAGCAAACACCTCCTGAATGTTTTCCTTTGTGATATAATTCAAATTCTAATGGTCAAAGTATTTGAATAATGAGAGCAACTAAATTGACAAGATAGATATACTTTTTCTTTTGTAAGTACTCTTCTTTCATCTATACAAGCAGTCAAGAAATCGCTGTATTTTATAACTAACGGTTTAAATGATTTTCCTGAAGAGCACTCCAGTGTCTCATCATCATTGTCCATTCCTATAGTTATCATCAATTTCTTAACCTCATCATGGGATACTTGAGAACCCTACATAGAATTAATTAGTAAAGTACTTCACTCTATAATGCCTTCTCCAACTCATGATAGGTGATGGTACCAGAATTATCTTCGTCTATCTTTTAGAAGAGTCGTTTAAGATGTTCCAACTCTTTCTCATTCATTTGATTTATCAAAATTTTCATCACTTCCTTTTTCAACCTCGCCCCAGTTCTATAATTTTTTAACATCTCATAAATGGATCTTCCATCTTCAAAATAATCTGTTGGAGCTATCTACTTTAAAGTGAGCACTTTGGTTTTGGATCTGCGTAGGTCTTTTTTTTTATTGACTTCCTCGAAGTTTAGACTAAACCAAGGATCCTTCAAGCAATCTTTAGCCGTTGGCCTAATCATGGGGTTTTTGCATAGTAGTTTCCTCAGGAAGGTCTTGATTTCCCTTGACATATGATTCCAATGCCTTCTATCGAAAATCAACTAACTTTTGTATATAAATTATTACATCCTAATTTTGAATGTGTTGAAATAATTCTTTTTTATTCGATGCATAAAATGGTGGATATCCACACAAGATATAGAAGAGCATCACTCCGAAACTCCATATGTCACACTTGTCACTATAATATCCATCTATCACTTCAGGAGCAACATACAGGGGAGTTCCCACACAATTCAAAGTTTTCCTACTGAGATAGATCATAATGTAATACGTCTGCAGGGATTCATCTAATTTTATTGCCATTCCAAAATCAATTATTTTTGGTTCAGAATTTAAATCTTTTTTAGTAAATAAAATGTTCTCTGGTTTGATATCTCTATGAACTATCCCCTGTTCATGAATGTAAGCAATCGCCGACAATACCTTACTATAGATTTGGTATAATGAACCTTGTATGCAATTTGTTGGGCCTATTTCTCAGTGAAGGCACTCTGATGCTTGGGGATTCGCTCAAGAAGTTCTCCTCCCTCACAATACTCCATACAGATGTAGAAATATAGGTTGTTCTGGTATACTTCGTTAAATTTAATGATATTTGGATGATCTAATCTTTACAGAACATAAATCTCATTTGCTAATTACGTTTCCTTACCTGATACCCTCGATTTCTCTATCATTTTTATGGCGAAGAGTTTTTCGTTATTGGTCTTCATTTTAGCAACTAGAACCTTTCCGAAGACTCCCAGGCCCATCATTTTACCGAAATTATAGATTTTATGGATATCCGCGGTTGATGTGAAAATTATCACACCATTATTGGTTTTGATGGTTTGAATCTTGTTGAGTTTATTTGAATTGATACAGCAACCCATTTTATTTAATTAATAAGTGTATATACATTGAAATTAAGAGCATTAGAAAACAAAATGATTCGATGTATTTTGATATTATATATTAATTAAATAATTTTTAAAACGAAACTTCTTATATAAAACAAACTAAAATCGCTAATCGATCCTTATCATTAAACATCCAACCAGATGAGAAGCTAAAGACTTACATCAGACCTGAAATCTCAATAGTTAAATAAAATAGTACAATATTTTATTAATTTTTATTAATGTTAATTATTTAATAAATAAAAATAATATTGTTTGCAACTCAATCATTAGTTGATTCCCATCGAATCTCCTTTGATTCACTATTAAACGATGCCAATGGGTCATTAATTGATTAAATTTTGAGATTCAACCCAAAAGTGAAATTACAAACAACAATCCCAAGAGTTGGTCTCAAAATTGCATTCAATCTATGACTCATGGATGCTATTACTATTATCTACTTTAAATGACAATTTTGAGCTGATTATTCTGTCTCTCAGCAATAAAATCATGATATATTTAGTTTCTCTCAAATAACTTAGCATTACTGGATCTATCGTATAGCGGTTAGTACCTGAGGCTCTAACCCTCAAGACCTTGGTTCGAATCCAAGTAGGTCCTATTTTTATATTATATTTTTGATAATAATAAAATTAACACAAATATTCAATGCAAGAAGCCTACGTCTTACATGATCAATATAGGAATCAATCCATGTAAAACTACATCAGTGGGGGCTCTCGTCCTCTGTATTTCAAAAGGCCTTTGGTCCCAACGATGACTGACACTCCTTTAAAATTGAGCCAACCCCCAGTTTAATAAGTGAAAGAATAACCTCTTCCAGCAAAAATTACTATAGAGAGAGTAACGCTGCTTTTTATTCGGCTAGGTCAAAGATGTTGAAATCTAAACTGATTATAGAGAAGCAGAAGCCTAAACGGACCCATATACGCCAGCACATGATTAAAATGAAGACTAAAATATAGAAATTCTAGCATTATAGCATCTGAAATGGGACAAGGGTTTGCCTGCTTCTATTGAGGAATTAGAGTCTATAGAGTGGAATCGAGAAAAGGTTTGGTTTGAGAATGCATTGCCTCCTATATCCGATGAAGCATCCTTTAAATTGAGAAGAGCGCTGATGAAATCATAAGAAGAAAGGGAGTGGAAGAAGAAGGAAACAGATATCAAGATGTAATTGTGATTTAAACTGAGTTAGAAATCAGAACGAGAGGTTGTATTTATTGTAAGAAGCTTTGAAAGAAAGAGAAAAAGATGTGGAAGAGAAGAATGCTTAAAGAATTGAAAGCATCAAAATAAAGAAAACAGAGTTGAAGAACAGGATGGTGGCTAAGATCTAAAAGAGAAAGATAAAAATACTTAGAAAGATGTAAAAAAGCAGAAAAGAAATTGATAATGAGGATAAGGGCAGAGAAATCATAGAAGATTATGCTAATTTCGCATCTAAAGTGTATGCTGGTATCACAAGGGAAGGATTGAGTCTTGATAAAATAGCTAGCAAGTATGAAGTGTAACCAGTTGCATTAAATACTTATAAAGGTTTGACTGAATTATCAACTACAATAAAACCTTCTATTTTAGAAACTACAGTAAATGTGGCTCAATTTATTAAAACTATTGAAAAGGATTACACAAGATTGGAAATTCAACATAAGGTGGAAGTCAACAAAGCTAGAAATCAAATCTTTGGTTCAAATAAACAAGATCAATCTAATGAGATCTAAGCCGATCACATTGGAAATAAAAATATCATTATCAGACCTGCAACTCCAACATATAATTAAGAATTTGAAAATGCTGATGTTAAGAGATAAGAGATGAAGTTTGAAAATTATGAATAATTCAAAGTAGATGCTGTTAGGAGATAATCAGAAGATAAAAAGAATTCAGCTATTATCCTCCTTCAAAGATTATTTAGAGGTAGGGCTATGTAGAATATAATGTATGAAGGAAAAGAAAAGGTAATTTCTTAATTTTCTATTCATCTAGAGAACTGCCTTGATTGAGGAGTTGTTAACTGTTGCTAAAATACCAGATCTACCAGAGGCTGAATAAGAGGAAATCTTGATGCAATAACATGAAGAAAAAGTGAAGAATGCTGCTTTGGAAGCTATTCAAGGAGAAGTGATTGCAGAGACTTTCGATATGTTAAGCAAAGAATTGCTCAGAATTAAATAAGAGAAGAGAATTGCTTAAATGGTGAAATCAGCTGAAGAAGATAGAAGATTAAGAGAAATTCAGGAGGCTGGTACAAGATAAGCAGAATAAATCTTAAGAGATAGAGAAGATGTCTAATACAATCAAATTATGAGAGTTCATTAAGGAACTGTTGATACATATTTACATTGGATATTTAAGAATACTATAGAATAAGGTAGTCATATATTTAAATACATCTGTAGCTGCTACAAGACAAGCAACCATTATGACTAATCTAAGAAAACAAAAGATGAATACTCCTGTCGAATATTTTGAAAGGAAATACAATAGTGATGAAACTATTATCAAAGACTTAGTTTAGCAATTTTTAATCCCAAATGTACAAAGATCGAAGTTATAAAAACAAAGTAATTATCATTAATAAATTATTAGTATAAATTGAAGAACGAAGATTTAATGAAGCAGCTAAAAAATCAATTCAGGCAACTTTATCACAGGCAGCCTAATAGATTAATCAAAAATGATGATAAAATTATTAATTATCTATTTATTTTAACTTATACATCAAACTAGTTAGAAGCAAATAAACATCAAAAGAGTTAACTATTGAAAAAGACCTATTCCAAACGAACTTTGTGTAGTTTAATTAGGAGTGTCATTGCCTTTGGTAGAATTTTAAGGTTTTTCAATTTTCGTACATGAAACGCATTAGGAAGTGCTTGGGTTCCAGTAATAATTATATTGTGTTAAAGTAAAACAAGTATTTTAATTGTAAGAACTTAAGTCTGCACTTTCAATACATTTATTCGTTTTGGTGCTCCAAGCACATAATGTGATCTATTTATTGATAGTATTGATCAGAGGTTTACATCCAATGTCACTATTGCTATTTGGATTTAATAATGAGCAATCCATTTAATTACATTGAGAATTTTAAACTGTTCCATTAATTAAAGCTTCTGGTATAAATGCACAACCAAAGTTCTTACAATTTTTTTCAATTGAATTTGCCTAACTACAAGAATCCATTTGTAAGCAATTTGAAGTACTATTTACCTACTCTTACCATATACAAGTCGATTTATCTTTAGAAACATTGTCATTGCATTAAAATTAGCTCTTATAATTATTACAGCTGTCAAAATTAATACAAGCTTAATTAGCAGAATCATATGCACAACCTACATTTTAACACATTTACTATTCTGTTATACCAGTATAATCAGAGCAAACCTTAACCCTGCATTTACTTAGCTAAGCATCATAAAAACAAGCAATGTTATCAAACGCTATTACACAGCCTGGAGATTCGTATTTACTACATTCCAATAAATCAATACAATTAATTCCATTGGTTGTGCATTTAGTCGATTACTTTTAGCAGTCTTGATGAGTTGTTAGTAAGGCATTTTAACACTTCCAAGGAGAACATGTGGAATTATCCCAGAAACATCTTCCATCAGTACCCCCAGCTTCACAAGAATCCTAATCTTTAATCATAGTGCATTGCACCTTTTCTACACAAGTCTCTTTGTTAGTAGTACATTTAATATTGTATGCTTAACATTCTACATGTGTTTTAAGTTGTAAATCTCCACATGCACCAAAGGTTTGACATACTTATTTAATGGCATTATAGCCACATATCTTATCATCTACTCCAACTGATTAATTACAATTTTCTTAAGTAAATTATGGACAAGGTAATTTATGTTTACAAGTCTCACTCCCATCTGAATAGCATTTATCACTAATACTGGAACAAATAAAATTATCTTAGGCAATTTCTGCAGCATTTTTAGGGATAGCATTCCCAATATCATCTCTTTTGATTTCTAATAAGAAATCTTCACACTTATTAAATTTGATACACTTTTTCTAATTGTTATCCCAGATACAAGCATTTCCAGTTGAATCTGTAGTGCATGTGGTTCTAGATCTAAGTGATTAACATTCATAAAATGTTGAATCTTTACAGCCACCAAGATTATCATATTGACAACTATCTCCGAAAATACTACAAACATCTTAGCTTCCTTGAGTTTCTATCATATTGCAAGTGGCTGTAACACAAATTTCATTAACCCACAAGCAGAATCTTCCTGGTGCAGTAGTCAAAGTTTATTCACAAGCCATTCTATTATCTATTGATTTGCATGATTAAATAGAAGATTAACATTTCTTCATTATGCCATTGAATAAACAATTTTTTGTGTAGGCTTTGCATGCTTATTCATTAGCTGTACTAGATTCTTAACAAGTTTTAGCTATGCACTTATCAGCTTGAGTCTTGCTTCTTCCAGTACATTTACCATCTAGTCCAATTAATTTTTCACATTCTTAAAAAGTACCAGTGTAGGAATCACAATTTTATAATTTATCTGTGCAACCTTATCCATTAGTTAAACATGTAGATAAGTATGCTTAACAGTCTTCATCTGTTTTTGTAGTAGTTGGAGCAGTATTACAAGTTTATTCTATGCACTTCTCAGCATTGGTTGGATCTTAGATACAAGTCTTTTTATTAATTGAAATAATAGTTTCACATTTCGATGTATATTAATCACATTGTTTTAATGAGGTAACACAATTCTATCCATCAAATTAACAACTAGGATTTGTTGAAGTACAAGTAGCGAGGCTTGGTTATTAAATAATTTCACAAGGAGTTGGTTGACATTAATCCGATGCTTCGTTTTCAAAGCATTTCCCATCTAATCCTTTATATTTGAAGCATCCATCAGACTTCTTATAAGTGTTGCACGGCTATAATGTAGTTGTACATTTCACTCCATTTGATATACACAATTTTGGAGAGTTGGTGTCTCTTGATGAATACTTATTGCATTATTCATCTGAGTCAAAATTATGACTTGAACAAATGTCTAATGCACAAACTTTAGATCCTTCGGTTTCTGGTTTACACTAGCCTTCTTAACTTATGTATTGATCACAAGTTGAGTTCTCCAGAATTTTCAATTATTTGCAAGTACCAACCAGTGTTGAAACACATTAAACCCCATTGGATATGCATTTTAAGTTTGGACTTGCTTTCTTGCATTCATCATCGGTTGTTCCCTTGAAATCTTCACAATTTGGATCCTTACACTATTGAGTATTTGAATTAATTTAACAATCTCCATTAATTCCTTTATAACTCAAGCATTCATCAATTGTATAACCCAAACAGGAGCTCAAGGAGTCAACACATTTTTGTTTATTTGATAAGCATGTGGATTTATACTTTTTACATGCCTCATCTGATGACGCATCTGGAGCCAATTTACAAGTTCTGAGTTGACACTTATTAGTATTATTATTGACTTCACATTATCCATCCTTTGATAAGATGTTGAGACAATCCTCGACGTTGTAAGAATCACAATTCGCAAGTTCCTTCACGCATGTCTTTTTATCTGTAATGCACACTTGATTTAGCAGCACTTTGTTACAGTCTTCATTTGTTTTCTTAGGATAATTTTTGCATTCCTTCTCCTTGCATTATTTAGTCTAAGTGTCGTACATACACAAGCCTTCTCCATTTAGTTGTTTGACAGATTCACAACCTGACTATTTGTCCTCACCTACATATTCACTACAGACCCTTTCGTCTGTGCAATACTAATTAACAAGTGACCAATTGCATAACATCGAGTACTTTTGGCATTCTACATTTGATGTTGCAATGTATGATTAGCAATTACTAAAAACTACACATTTCTTGTCTACAAAGGCACATCCTCTTTGCTTAGCACATCTTCCTCCATCTATTATAGAAGAGCAAAGTGTAGAGGAATAAGCAACTAATTTAGCCTAATTACAACTCTTCGATGACAAATCCCATTCGCAGGTACTAAGTTAGTTACAGTCGTAAGCTGTTAAAATAGCAGAGCATTAGCAAATGTTATTACTTACAGTTAATGATTAGCTCACTCTCAAATACAAAACAATCAGTATCATTAATATTTGCGTCATTTAAGTTTCAGATTATTAAATTCTAATTATAGTGAATACATCATAACTTATATAATTATATTAAGGTAAAAGATATTTCATAATACATTGCGGGTCAAAATATTTTCTGTCATGTTCTTTTTTATTTTCAATAATTTTCATGATTTCTAATAATCATAATTTCTAGATCTATATTTCTGTTCTTTAGACTTGTTTCAACATTAGATTCTATTAAATATCATCAATTTGATCTCATTATTCAACATTAAATCTAAAATAATAAATTCAGTATGCTATGGAGATCTGAGAATTTAAGAAACTAGAAACTAATTTCAAATTTGAATAGATGTTTGGACAATTTAAGTATAGCATAATTACTCTACTATGTATTATGAAATCACAAATTAATAAATTAAAAGATATAGACTAAAATTCAACTACTAATTTCATTATGATTATTAAAATTCAAGGTTCTTTTTTGTCTACTGCCTCGTCTGAACATTAGATGAGATTAAGGAGGTTCAAAGTAATCATTATTAAGATTAGGAGGTTTTTCAGATGGACTTTTGGAAAATATATTGAAGTCTTTCTTTAGAGAAATCACTTTTATAGTCTTTGGAGATCTTTGAGATTATTTAGAGTTTATCCTAAATCTACTTGAGTTTTGATTCAAAATTCCTATTAATTGAATGCCTAAATTTCTTTAGGTTTTTTGATTTTCTTGATCAAATATTGGATGAGCCAATAATTGCTTGCAAGTTTTAGTTTTTAACCCTTAATAAAAAATTGAATTTAAGAAATCGAAACACAAATCTGACAAAGGAGGATCTATAAATTATAAATCTTCAGCTCCTCTGAATTTATTCATCATAGCATCATCAATTACTTGATTTACCTAAAACTATTTCCCTGTCAGCAAATTGTGCATCACTATTCCCAAAGATAGAACATCAAATTTAATATAATATAGAATTTATTTCTCTGGATTCAGTGGTATTGTTTATTCATCTTTCTGATCTCCTTCATTAATTTAAACAGCCTAGTTAAAATCGATTAAACAAGGATTTGAGAAGTCATTCTTATTTTTAAAAATAATGCTTTAAGTACTAATCTATTTATGAAATATGTTGAGATCATGCAAGTACGATACAGCTTGGAATAGAGGTTTCATTATTATCAAAATTTCTTATTCTGAAAGAGCCTATTATTTTTCAGTAATGGTAGCAAGTTTTTCACCCTTGAATAATTCCAAAATTAAGTATATATGATTATTGCTCTCATAGACTTCATAGATCTTCAATAGATTTTGGTTATCCAAGCAGCGGATTATCTTCAATTCTTTTAAGAACTTTTTAGCTTCAAATTTATTTATTAGTAACCTCTTCTTATCAAATACTTTGACTGCATACTCATACTTTGTCAATTTGTTTCTTGCTCTATAGACCTAATATTTTGTAAAAAGATATACAATTGTTGAATATCCCTCTCCCAGTTTATTTAAAAGTTAATACTTCTATATAAAATCGAACTGTATGGTATATTTCTTCATTATTTCAATCCACTAGTCTGATAAGCCAAAAATATCTAAATCCACTCCATTTTTTGATAGTTTGATCCCAAATAGTCCTGTTTTTGGATGTATGATTTTTTACATACAAACATTCTTTAAATTGATAAATTTCTATTTTAAAAATCAATTTATTATACATCTTCACCAAATCTAATGAAATTTGATCCTAATGCCAAATTTTTTATTACTAATCTGTTTTAATAACTAATCTAGAACTCACCTTTGTATAAGGGAACAAAAGGATGAATGGAATGGAACGAATATAAAGAAGTATGATCATTGAAAAAGGAATCTGCTGAACTAATTTACAATAGTTATTGTTTTATCATATAAATTTTATTGTTTTTAAAAATAAATCATTATTTCCTATATTTTATAATCATACTCTTCAAACCAAATTTATTTATGTAATTATTTTGTATTCCAATATAACCTTATGGAAAATAGAATTTCCTTAAATATCTTAAGAAGAATACCTATTTTATGATGGTATATTTAAAATCATGTAGAATGCATAAAAAATCTTTAGAATAAAATGTGATTTTTACCTAAATCATCTCAAATTCTGTAAAAAGTCAAAACGCTACTAAAGAAAATATGATCGGAATTTTAAGAGAATTAACTTTGATTTAAGAATTGAGAGAAATCATGATATTATTATAATTCACCAAACTTTTTACTTTATCTTAGGCATTAGATTCATCCTGGGTAGTTAATAAAGATTACTTGGTCTTCTTTATGAGTTTTATGAGGGTGGATTGGCTCCATTATCAATCCTATTGAATTTAGATATCTTTAGTGGTAATAATATGTTTTTTTTAATTCTGTTTGATAAACTTCTTGAGTCGCTTTTTCTTTCTTAAATATTAGGCAACGTATTAACCCTCGATCGAATCTCCATTGATTCATCTTCGTTTTCGCTTTACACACTTTATCTTCTAATCTCATTTAAAGTTTGATATTTGAGAATAAAATTAGATGGCTCTATTTATTTCTTGAATATATCATTTTTTAACACCTCTAAAGGTGTATTTGTATCACTTAGTTACAATTCAAAATCAATTAATAGCAATTGTTAAAGTAAGATTTCTAATTCCTTACTAATTTATTAGAAATTTAGCATGCTTTTAATATCGTCCAATTGACTAGGTAAATTATATTGATTGTATTGATGGCCAGTAAGCAACCTTATTAAGATAATACCCAATTATTGTAGGTCAGAGGCGTGAGTTTTATCAGTTTTTAAGGAATTTCTTTGACTCATCATTTTTTTGGTTGAGTTCCTGGCAGCATTAATCGACATCACTTTGGAATAATGCAGTAGGCATAGTGAATCTAAGTCTTATTCGCTCTTGAAGCCTATGGCCTTGAGGTTGACATCGCCATGTATTAATCCTTTTTTATGCATCTCTTGCAATCCATTTAAGGTTTATTTCACTATGAATATGATTTGTTATTAATTAAAGGTGGTTGATTAAAGCTTACTTTCTAGGGTTCCACCTTCAACCAATTCTTCTACTACATAGAGATGGTTCGCACTCTCAAAGGTTTCTAATAGACGAATTAAATTTTTATGATCGAATTGCCTTTTGATATGAATTTGCCTTTTGACTAGCTCAAGGAAGGCTGGAGAATTTTGCAATTTTAATTTATCATAAATCCTAACAGCATTTAACTATCCAGTTAGTTTATTTCTAATTTTGAAAACCTTTGTAGAAATTTAAAGTGATACATACTTGCAATTGGCTTCCCTCTCCAATTTTTTTGATTATTTTATATTTTTATTACAAATTTGTTTAGATTGTATACTTTCTTAAGACCTCAACCCAATTTTGGATGTCTCCATATACATCCAGTTTTTCATTGTTTTTACTTAATCTAAATCCTGATTGAGAAGTTCTTGGATGGTACACCAACTCTAGAAATAGATTCCTAACATCGAGAAATTTCTGTTTAATAATTGAGATAATTCTTACATCATCTCCAAATTTCAGATAGTAACCTCCCAAATATATTGTCTTTTATATGAACCTATTCCTATTAACAACAGAGAGTTCATCTGATAGTTGGAATTGGATCAGCATCTGAGGTCTTTGAATCCAAAATTCCGGACTGTCTTCTAAGATAGACTATGTTAAATTGATGGGCTTGTTATTTTGGGATTTAATCATTTAAATAATATAACATTCTTTTGGATGAATAATTATCAATAGCAAGAGTCGTAGGTATAAAGAAATACACAAATAAACGTAGTCTTGGTTTTGAACAGCATAATTATATCATTATTTATATATTCATGAAATTTTAATATAAATAATATTAACTTCAATTTGAATTCACCAAATAACTTAGTGCTGAACAACTAGCAAACTTCAAGTTTATAGTTAAGAACCCTTCAATTAAAATAAATATGTATATATGCTCTATTTACAGCTTACTCAATAATCAGAAAAAGATTTGAACCTACTCCATTTGCCATTTATTTTGCTCAACAAATGTAAGGATAAAGTAAAACAACGATTAAGTAAATTAGCTATTTAATTATCACCTATCAAACTGCTTTTAAGGCTTTAAAGTTTCATAATCTCCGTAATATTTTCAATTCAGAAGCATTTGAAGCAATTATGTAACACATCATTTATTTTAAAACTGCTTAAATGATCGTATCCAAATATCTTAGGAATTCATATCAACATTCATCAATATATTGTTAAACACATGTATATCTAATCTAATTAAGAATGAATTTAGTTATACAGAAGGTGCCAAAGATTGGGTCTCTCCTGTTTTAAGAGTCAGATTAAATATAATTATTAAATATTAAAAATAGTATGTGCAAAGTATGATTTTGATAGATTAATAAGAGAGGGAAGCATGAATAGGAAGAGTTGGAGGGTTTGTGAATATAATAATATAATAAATGAACATATAGAGGAAATATATTTTAAATCTTTTATTAAAAATATATTTTAAAAACATAAAATATTATGGCTGACTTGAAAGAGAAGAAAGTAGAAGATGAACAATAGACAAAAAAAATTAGAATGATTGTTACATCAAGAAATGCTTAAGATTTGGAAAATTTCACTAATCAAGTTACTGAAAAGGCTAGAGTGATCTAAGTATTGATTGCATTTCAACATTAAGAGAGATCAAGGCTAACAAGTTGTATTCAAAGGACCAGTCAGAATGCCAACAAAGCATCTTAAAATGACAGTCAGAAAGAGTCCTTGCGGTGAAGGTTCAAAGACTTGGGATAGATTTGAAATGAGAGTAATACAATTAATTAAGAATTAGATTCACAAAAGAGTAATTGATTTCTAATGCACTTTACCAACTTTCAAGGATATTACAAACTTCAAAATCGGTCCAGGAATTAATGTTGAGTTGAACGTAGAATAATGATTAGTGATAATATTAAATTATACATTAAACATAAATACATTAATAATTTTAGTATTATGTTATAGAGAATTTAACCTCAAATTGGAAATAATTAGCCAATACATAACACTCTTGAAGAAATGTCGATAGGACAAGATTATACGAACTTTGTCGTCCTTGAAAATTCAATTTTTAAGACAGTATTTAAAATAGAATAAACTAAGATTTATGAATGCATCCGAATATAATCAGCACAAAAATACATAGTTTATCAATTGAAGTATCAATAATATTAACAAAGCCACTCTGTTTAATCAGTTTCCCCTCAATATATTCAAAAACTCAACTAATACAAGCTCGTAAACCTCATTCATCCAGAAAATATCTATTATTAAGAAAACTGCATTTTTATGACATAATAGCAATGTTTAAACACCTTTTAGCTATAGAACTGTAGACAAAAATTAAATAAATAATTACAATTGTTCTTAGTAACATAACTTTGCATAAGTTTTAATAATATTTTATACCATATTTTTATAGCATTATAAGAACTCGAGAGACGGAGCTTCCCCCCTTATATATTGAGTCCCAATAACATTTACATTATCGAAGGTGTATTGCACCTTAGTTTGATGCATTTCAATTTTCAAGAAACAGGATAGTAAACCTTTGATTCATTTAAGAAATTCGGTAAATCTTAATTGTGTATTCTAAGTCAATTAATATTTTCACTTAGATGATTACTGTAAGGATAATTTTGAAAAAACAACTGATTATCTCTTATCAAATATATAGATTGATGATTCAGGATGCAATTCTTTGAACTATATCAAAAAGTTGCTTTAGATTAATTATTTAAAACTAGAATAAGCTGGATATAATTCCTTTATATATTCATCATCAAGACCTCCTTTATTTTAAATTTATCCTCACATTAAAGATCAAATCATTATTAAAGTTCTCAGGATAAATGATGACAATGATGAAGATGTAAATAAATATCGATATTCTTAAAATGAAAGAGAATTAATGTTCAATGAATAACTTAATGACAACATCAAATTTGCAACTTTTTGTGCTTATATTCGAATCCAAAAGATTCCCTTCTTTTTTTTCTAGAAGTATCCCTTAACTTTGCAGCAATTATTTGAGGAATCCTCAAAAACAACTGACCATCCTCTTTAAAAATTGCAATACAATTTTGCTATGCAGCTAGCCTTAGCCTTAAAGGAATTACATAGGTTGCAAATTTTACACAGGGATATTAAACCTGAAAATGTATTCATTACAAATCTAGATTATCATAAAGCCAATCTTAAAATAGCAGATTTTGATAGGTCTAGGAAAATAGATTAATAGGATTGTTAAGAGTAAGTTTCAGAAGGTGATTATACAGTCTTTTCTAGTACTTATAATTATAATCCTCCTGAAGCTTTTAAAACCTAGTATGGTTATTCAAGTGACGTATGGCAATTCGGATTGACTTGTAATGTTGTATTCAAAATATTTAGTATTCCAAATGGCAAACAATGGAGTCTATCCACCAGTCAAGGAATAGCTAGTCTTTTTAGATGACGACTATCGCAAAATAAATCTAGATTTTATCAAGAATGTATTATAAGATAAACAAAATATTAATTAAGCTTATATTAATTTAATCTCAAGATGCCTAGAATATGAGAGTGATAAAAGGATCACTTTAAATAAATTTATATATGATTTAGGTCAAATTAGAATTGATATGGCTGATGAAGATGATATTGTGGAACCTTATTATTATCATACATCAGAATAAAGCACATGCAATTTTGACTCTTCAGTTTGTTGGACAAATTTTTCCTTGAAAAGCCCCAATTGGAGTTTAAATAAACTAGCATAATCGCTTGGAGATACATCAATATTATTCAAGGATTAATGATTTAATATATGAATTTTAAATGTATCACTCTTTTAATTTTAAAGTCTATAAATCTAATCTTCTTAAATATATTATAGACAGAAATGCAAATAAAAAGGTTCCGAAAATCATTAAAGGTTCCCTCAAAATCGATGTTCCAGAAAGTCGATAAGTGATCTATTTTAGAAATTAAACATTACAATAATCTGCTTATTATCATATTGACTTGTAGTTGCCTTATTCAAAATTATGGTTGGCCTACCTACTGTATCAAAGTAAGAAAACAATAGTGTGTCATTCCTTTCCACTTACAAAGGTAGATCAACTTGGATATCATAAGCTCCTTCAGGTAAGGAAATTTAGAAGGTATATTTATCAGACACCACCTCCTTTACAGAGAAGGAGAAATTTAGTGTGAGTCTAAAATTGTTTCCATCTTGTTCTAAATATCTAATTTATATTGATGCCAAATACTTTTTGGTTGGTAAATTGTATCCTAAGGTAAAATTACTTCTCCATCCTCCAAATATTGCAAATCTAGGTCTTAATTAGACTAAGGCTTAGTTTTCCCCATTAAGTTTCTAAGATGTTCATAGAATTGAAAATTACCCCTTTAGCAGCATTTGATGTGGAAATGTTTCCAATTTCATCTCTGTAATAAACACCCCAAGAATCATATGGGAGTGAGGCTGACAATTATTTCAAAGAGTGTTTGCCCACATTTGGATTGTATTTATTGAAATTGACTCTTCCGAATTCTCCTTTTAATTTGGCACCTTGATTTTCAATTGAATAATTTTCTTCGATTAAAATATTACCCCAATGAGAGACCTCTACAATCTTAGAAGCCTTTGTAAAAATAGTCATTGGTGTGTTATTCTCTAAATGAATTGTGTGAATTTATGTAGTATAAGGCTTAACATCCTAGTAAGGTCCAAATTCTAGAAGTTAGTTTCTTTGAATTGCCGATTTTAGTGTGTAAGAACTTTAATTACATTAGATCTTTACATAATTTTAGGAGTTTCATAGTAAGTGATTTGATTCTTTACTAGATAAGGAGTGAAGAAATAGACTGAATCCAAGAATTAGACTAATTGCTCATCCTTAATTATTAATCTTTATATAATACCTCTAATCCGATTTCTTTTGGTAATGGGTTAAATCTTTTATAAAATTGTTCACTTAATTCTACTTCTAAAGTGGAGCTAGGCTCTATTGGCTTATTCAAGGTGAATTCATAGACTGTGGCATTCTATTTGTATTTCACGTCCACGTCTTCAATCAGTTTTTTTGCATTGCACTCCTCTATATTGACATGATATAGTCTATCTGCCAATACATTATGGATTGTATAATAAACCTTTTCAATTGGAATTACTCCATCATTTTAAAAAGTAATCTTAAAATTATTGTGATAGTTACTTTGGATTGGATGCTGACGTATCTATCAGTTAATGACACTGTCCTCTCAATATTTGATATGGCAAAGTTTTTCTGAATTCGTAATGAGGATGCTAATGCTAAAAATATCAAAAGCAGCATAATTAATATTATTTATTTTAGAAATTTTATTGATGAACATTTTCTATATAATTATTATCTACAAATATATATTTGTTTTGCTGCTGCAACAATCTCGAGATTCTTCTTAGAAATGCCCATATATACTTCAATTTAGCAAGGAAGTCATCATCTTCAACGAGAGTTTTTAATAGAAAGCCTTATTAAAATTTAGACATTTATTTAGATTATTCTAACTTATTTGAATTTAATCTTGTAAGGTAGTTTTGTAAGGAATTAATGAATCATCAATAAGAAACCTTAAGATACATTTCATTATTTAATCAAATTTTTGCTATGTAAATAATAATTATTATAAATTATATATATTTATTATAATTTATCATTCCGAATCGATGTCATTTATTATATGACAAATCATACGATTTATTTCTAATTAAAATTACTTTAATGTATAATAGACCTTATTGTAATTAATTGCTCTGGACTTGTTCTTAACCTATTCAAACAGCTTCTTTTGAGGCACTTTTATAATGATTTTTTATAAAAATATAAGTTTAATATTTATTGGGTGAATGAATAGGTGAAAGAAATAAGGAAATGACCTTAATATATCAAACAATGTAGAGTAAACAATATAATCAATTCTTCTCTTCTTTATTCTTTACTACTTCTGTATTCTAGTTATCGTTTGTGATTTTATATCTAGGTAAAGTGAAATTTTACTTTTTATATTGGACATCCCTGATGTCTTTCATTGATAAGAAAATTCTTTTTTTAGATTGTTATAGAGATGCATTTGCTTTGTTAGATTTAGTTTCCTTTGATTTTTTTATGGCTTTGGATACTCCAAGAGATTTCGATAGTTCAAACGAACTCAACTCATCGTTTATTTCATCATTTTTTATGGTCTTTTGCTCATTGGTCTTTATTTCAAGAGGAGATTGAGGTTGAATTTATTGGCATTATTACACATGGAATGAGCAAGCATTCCTAAAAGTTTATAGAATATAAAGCTTACCTTAGGGCCATCATTTAGTTGTATTAAGCAAGTTATTGTAGCAAAAGTTATTGCTGAATAAGAACGCGTTGATCATATAGAAACAATGGATTCATAAATGACAAAAGAATATTTAAATCTCAAGATTTGAAGTATATTCACTTATAATGCTTAAAATACGTATTATTAAATAATACTGTTACAATCAAGTGTACACAAATTATATTATTGTCTATTCCAGTTTTAAATTAAAAGAGAAGAGTTATGGCGAAGCCAATTCCTCTAATTATAATATTTATCAAATAGATGATAACTATCAAAATCAAAGTGTATTTATTATTTTAAATTCATTTAACTTTGTTAATAATTTAGTTATTTTATCTAAATTTTAAATATTATTTTTTTTCTTTAATCCAATTGATTTATGAGACCCAAAAACATATTTAATACTATCATCTATTGATAGAAATTGTAATACCAGTTTTATAACTTAGATTTATTTTGAACTTACTAGATGTTAGCAATATAGCTTTATTTCATAAATTTTCTCTAAATTATATCAATCAATAAAGAAACAGAATTTTTAAAAGCATTATTTAATTAATATGAATTAATTTAATCAGAATATATTATTTGCTTTTTGGCAATCTACTCCAATAGTAAATAAGCTATTTATAATAATTGCTTCAATATTTTGGATCGTAGACCTTTTGATAGGAGATCAGCTCAAATTTTAGCCAATATCTTTGTAATATGTTTGGATCTGGTAATTGATTACCTCAGTATTTGTTTAAGGTAATTGATTATTATAATCAAAGGCTCCTTTTGCTCATTTATTTTTAATTTATGCTGTCTACCTGTTTTTAACAACGTTGAAAGAAGACTGGGAAGCATATTATACTTGTTAGAATTTCTCATCAAAAACAGTATTGGAATGGTATTGATTTATTTAAATCTAGGCATTTATCTTTTTAGTTGTCAAGCTATATTGTTTATTAATTAATTATGATATGGAGATGATGTACTCCAATCATTTTGGGTTTTGGAATATCGCAGTCTACTTTATCACAACCTAGTACTTAATCATTAACATTTTAGAGCTCTCAAATAGCCTAATGAGGAAACTAAAGTGTTATTCCTCCCATTCGTAATGAAAGTTAGATACTATCTCATATGCTTACTTTTATTTTTATAATTATTTAACCAAACTAGGTTTACAGTGCTATTTTTTGCATAAATTGCTTTGCTCGAGTTTATTATCTACAAAGGTCCTTTGTTCAGATTACCTAAGCAATTTATTGAATAATTGGAGAAGAAAGCATTCCTTTAAAAATGCATTTCAAGACAGGATTTCATCCCTATTGATCAAGCTTCTGATTTAGTATTTTCAGGAACACAAAAAATAGAATTCCAAATTGAAAATTTTCATAAAGAAATGGAATTGTCACCTGCTGGGTAATTTTATTTATAATTATAAAAAGATAAATGAGCAGTTCACAGGAGAAGGTTCCAACAGAAGAAGAAAGTATGCATATTAAATGAATTAATTAAATACGTTATTTATAAAAATAATAGGCTAGATTTTAAGACTTGAATCTGTTAATATATATCTATAACTTTTATAGAATAAGTTTTGAACTTATATTAAATTCTTGAATTTGATATGTAATAATGAATAATTTATTTAAAATTTTAATTTTAAGCCCAAAAATGCATTAAGGTTTTTCATTTTCCAATTCAAATGAAGGATAATTTTATAGATCCAATAGAAGGCTCTTAAAATGAGTTATCATTCAATACTATAAAAGAATTATTTATGATCATAAAATGAATAATAAAATCGCTAAAGACAACATTATCTTTGATATTAATTAATTTGAATTAAATTTTTCAATAGAATTTTAAGACAAAAATAAAATATAAGTTATCTTTAAATCTTATTTTGTAGGAATTAATTATTATTTCTAATAGGACATTATTTTTAATATATTAATTAATATTTATGAAACTAATTAAATATCAGAAAATTAAATATAATATCCAATCTTGTAGTTTTATTTTAATTGAGAAATTTATTTGTCTTTAGAATTGCAACTTTTCAAATGGATTTGAATTAAGTTCTTTTAATTTATAGATTTAAAACTAACTACCATAAATTGTTTATAACATCATTATTTTTTATAATCTATACTTGATATTTTAGTTATTCATAATCTTAATTTAAATACATATCCCTTAATAAAAATGCAAAACTCAGATTTATGAATACTTTTCTATTTCTTATCATTTATTGAGAACCTTAACATTCAATGAATCATAGTCTATATGAGTAAGTGTGAATAATTTGATAGAGAATTTAAATTCCAATAAAGTTTACAATTTTGTATTCTTTTCATTCTTACTTCATCAATTCAGATAAAAACCTTATGTAAGCCTCCACACTTTAGGAATAATTTTAGAACCCTTTTTCGAGATTAATGTGAAGATATTATTAATTTAATAATTATATGTGGTTTAGTAAAACAGTAGAGCTATCGATCGAAATTGGAATAGGGGTAATTGAAATAATCCTGCTAATGTGTCTCATCTATTATGTAAGGAAAATTCATAAGAAGAAAAATTATTACCCTATCTACTAATTGTCTCCTATTACAACAATTTTATAAGGAATATCATTTTATATTTTCTAACTAACGATAGTACTCAACTTTTACTACATTAAAACTTATGATGAAATTACCTGGGACATTTGCTTAGATCAAAATGAAAATGAGAATGCTAATGTTGAAATTAATACAATCTACAAGAAAGCCCCTTATTATGTATTAACTATTGTTTATCTATATTCAAGAGGCTGTTGCTTCACATTCACACTTATGAAGTCATTAAGAATTTTGATTGCATTCTCAAAATAAAGGTTATAAAGAAATAATGTAATAGTAAAAATCTATATGGGGGAAGCTCAGATAATACTAATTGCATTATTCTATGGGATGATGTTTCCCGCATTAACCATTATTACAAACTTATACTTTTATAATTTTGAGTTTTATTGTTGCTTATCGGTTTATGAAAATAATACTCGATTAGTATTTGCAAATAGTTTTCTAGAAGAACTATTGACTCTTTATTTGATGACAAAAATACAGTTTAATAATTATTTTGATAATCTAATAAAGTTGACAATAAAGTTATAATTTTATTACATCATTTGGTTTGCGCTAAACTCTTTCATATTTAAACTGGTGCCCTCTGGATCAAATATTGTCGGAATTTCATGCTGGCTTCGATGCTTTTATATGTTTTACAACTTTACCTGCGTCCCTTTGAATAGAAGGTAAAAAAATCCAAATCTGTACATTACCTATAACTAAGTGATGGACTTCCGCCTTATAACCTCGAAGGTTTTCAATAATTATTACTAAAACAATTATAGCATAATTGCTTTTGAAAATTTCTTAACAACATTAAATAGGATTCCCATAACCTAAACAGAAATAGAATTTATAGCCTAACGTAATAATATTTCAGAAGCAGAATTGTTTGATAAATATAAAAAGGTTGTCGAACTGTCATCAAGTTAGCAGGATTATCAGAAATTAACTGATGAAATATTTAAAATATTAAATTTATAGCCTACTTAAAAAAATCCATATCCTACTATTGATAATCTCCAAAACGATTTATACAATCATTTTGAATCAATTTACAAAGAGTGTTTCCAAAAAACCATTGCCTTTTAAGCAATCAAGGAATTAACTTATCATAATTAAATTCTCTAAGAAAATTTTAAGATATTACGAATGCCTCTAAATGAATGGAATCACTTTTGATAAAATCGGTGTTGATTGAATAAATTCTAAGAATTAGTGTTTAGTTTCCTTTTTGTATTACTATAATATTTTCCGTTTCATCCTTATAACATTTTATATATAATGAAAAGTCTTTCTAAAATGGAAGAAATGTCTCCTGCCTAATAAACAACTAAAACTCCGACAAGGTCATTCACAAAGCCAAGGAAATATGATAAACTAATTCATAAGACCACTCAAATTCCACGAATCTCAATTTAACGACTTGTCGAGTGTATGGATTAAGACAATGATGGATGGATCAAGAAAGAAGACATAATGAAATTCAGTCAGAAGCATTATCTATTCTTTGAAGATGAAGTAATTTTGATATTCAATTTTAAGTTAGCATAAGCAATGATTGACGAAGCATTGAGTAAAAGAATTGTTGCGTTTAAGGATTAGCTCAAAGAGCCAATAAATGTGGAAGAAATATTAGGAGCAGGTAATAAGTCATAAATAATGTCAGTTTAAATTCATTATGTATTGAATGAGAATCATGTTTGGGTTGAGAAGCCTCGTCCTTTTAGAGATAAATGGGTGTAGTTATTATTGGCAGCAGGAGAAAGATTACCAACTGGTCATGATTTACCTCCTGTGAAAATCACAAAGGTGCTAGACATGCATGAGATGAACCCTTTTCCATACAAACCAAAGTTGAATTGTTCCCAATCTTAAATCATTCATACTTCTCAATTACGGGAGATTCACAAATTTAATAAGGATAAACCTGAGGCTGGAATAGTTTTATAGGAGACAGATCTAATCAAACCAATAAACAATGGAGTAATAAAGGAGGAAGAGAAGGACAATCCTTTTGAAAAAGTAGTAAATTCTAAATTGTAAATCAAATAAAATTTATTAGAACAGTCAGATAAATGATTAAAATGAATTTCCAACTATCAAATTCGACACATAAGCATACTTTAATGAAGCAGAGAGACTAAGTAAAGAGTAAAAATTGTGCAGAACTGGTAGAAATCCAATTCTAAAATTTATGCCTGAAAACCTAAATTACAAAGTAGAGAACACTGATTCGTTAAGAAAAAGTAGCGAATTCGAGTTAAGCCAAAGTACTGCTGCAAAATACCTCTCTCAACCGGTTTTATTAAGGAAACCGTATTATGGGTTGTCAGATACAGCTTTAATTAGTACTGAGTAGAAGTACTTCTAGCCTAAAAAGTCAATGGATAAAAATTAAGAATCAGATAAATAGATTTTTTATTCCACTTTTAAACCTGAAGATGTCATGACATTAAAGAATAAATTAGCCAATTAAAAACAAAGAGAAAAAGAAAAATTATAGGACTTTTATAATCCTCCTTCCACTCACAAGTTTAGAGACGAATATTTAGATAAGAATAAACCTCTATTTAAGGTAAATTTATAAGTAAATTAAGACAAGAATTAAACCTGATTCCTTACCAAATCCTCATCTAATGTCAGAACATGATCAAAGACCTTAATTTGCAATTGAAGAGGATCTAAAGAGACAATTAAAGGAAGAGTAGAAGCAATAATAATTAATCGATGATTATATGGGCACATTCAAGTAGAGTAAATAATGGACCAAATATTTCCCGGCTACAGATTTAAATCATAATTTTGTTGATCACAAACGACCTAATTTCTTAGACAAAGGTAATTATTAAGAGCCAGGATTAATATTGCTTCAGTTTTTAAGAGAAGGAGCAAGTGCTAAAGTAAAAGTTCATTTATAAATCAGGACAACTTTTAATTATTTCATAGATTGTTGCGTACTAACGATAAGAATCTATTTTTAGGATTGTAGGTAGATCCCAATTGATTATTTATCATAATATAGAATAAATTCCTTAATATTTTTTATTTATCCTTTTATAACATATCCAGTAATATAAGTTATAAGTTATATTTTTTATTGATTTTTTGATAATGAAAAAGTATCGGTTGAATGTTATGGACATCTATTTAAATTAATATGTTGATATTAGATCACAAGATTAAATGGAGTGTTAGCAACCTATTAATCATTTGTGTAGTCTTGGGGTAAACTTCATTTAATTCTATTAATTGAAGGCCATTCACATAGAATTAAATATTTATGATATGGGATTTTATTAAGGTAATCGTATCATAATTGCTAAAATTATGATGGTCATGAACACTATATAGTCACTTTCATTAGAAAATATATAACTTTGTAAATTTGAAGATCAATGATAAAATCATTTTAGGAATTTTGAGTGCTTGGCAACTCCAAGCTGCTTTGTAACTGGCGAGTGAAATGTAAGACTTCCATCAATAGAAGTCAGAGAACCATCATTTTTTTATTGTTAACCTAATTATTGTAAAATATGAGTTTTTTGAGGACTCTTCAAGTCTTATCTCTTTGATTAAATGGTAATTGTATCCAGAGATGCTCGGCACAAAGGGCAGATCTAATATTTGAATGAAATTGATACCTTATTCTTTCTCATCCAGTTTTACAAGCAATTCACATGAAAAATGTGTTCACAATAGGTGATTCTAACATTACTGTCAGGCTTAAACAGCTCTAAACAAATTGAACAAAATTATTCATCTTTTTAAGATGATTTCCTGTCTGTTACTGATAGAAATTGTTAAACAGGCATGAAATATTGAATTTGGTTGACATTATTCTACTATTTGACGCTACTTTTCTTTTTGAGAATGTAAACTACAATAATGAAAATAATAATAAGGCTTAAGATCGTTACCAACACTATAACAACTATTAGGATTTACGGTTATTCAGTATTGTATTCAGAATATTATACAACATCTGAGGTGTTGGTTACCACAATAAATTAAGAATAATAACTTATTTTTGTGAATTGTTCCAATATCAATGTTTGTTCCTTGCATAAATTTATTTGGTCTTCCTCAATCTTCAGAGTTTTCCCTATCTAATGAGGCATAAACAAACGCGATGAGTTCGAGTAACATTAAATTGAATAAGATATATCAGAATTTAACTCAATTGTATAATCTACTGACTATAAGGTGATTAAATCCAAATACTGGACTTAAAAGCCATAAAAATAGTTATTATATTCAATATTGGTAGCTGCGATAGAGCAATCATATCCAACAAATCCTATTGGACATTGACAAAAGCCTTTGACACAAACCCCTTTATTTTTGCAATCCCTAACTTAATAATTGCATTTACTCTGCGCATTCGTCGATTTCGAAGGATTCAATGGTCAAAATGTATTCCGAGTCAGTAGTTGAATATATAATTGCATTGCATTTGTTTCCTTCGATCTGGAAAATTTTGTAATATTTGGATACTAAAGTTGGATATTAGTTATGTGACAAAAAGATGATTTAAGTCTTGTTTTTTAATACGTAAGCATTGTAGTCTAATAAACAACTATTTGATCTATCATTAGTTGAATCAAGTAGGTCTTCAAAATTCTCAATATTCTCTAGCTTATCTTAACAAATCGCCAATATTGGCATTTCTGAAGATTATTAAGTGACTGATATTTTCAGGTTATTTTATGGAAGTAGATTTTCACAGAAATTATTTAAAGGAGTACTTTATATTCCTTATGTTGTATTTACCAAATTTTAAATCAGAATTTCAGCTAAGCATTATTATAAGAATATGGAAAATAATGAAATCATAATAATTATTAATGAATTTCATAACAAATCGGTCTTCATTAAAAATAAAGTAAATTCATAGTGGAACTGCTGGGGAATTGGCTGATTTGTGTTCTCCAAACAATCTTATTTTTTTTTATGAAGAGTAATTGCTAATCTGTTTAGTTGAGGATGCATTTTGATAGAGCCCGTCATCATTATTGTCTGTGTTGGTTAATTTATTAAGGGTTTCATAATTTAAGGAAGATCTACAAGTGGGACAAATCTAATTAATTAATGAATAATGAATACTTCATTTTTTTCTATCCAAAGATCTAAACAGTCAGAGTGAAAAAAATGAGTGCAATATGAGACACGAATCTTATGATCCTGTTAATAGTTTTCTAAACATATGGGGCAACACAGATCATCACTTAGACCAGGAAATTTCCTGATTAATTCTTCGAATGTCTGAATTGGCATAAATTTATTCATTTATCTGATGAGTGTTATCTTTTGAGACATGGATGATGAATTTCCAAACAGGTTATTAACTTAAGAGGCCCTTTTCTTACATTTAAAACAAGCGAAAATAATAATCAAAAGAAATGACAATCCAATCGAAGTGACAATGTAAATAATAGTATTTCTATTTGAACCATCCGATTAGTCAGATAGAATTCCTACTTGAGAATTAGAATTGAAGACATAAAGTGTTTAAAAGTTCAATGAAAACTGTTCATTATTTGAATGAATTTGGTCTACACACATTTTAGAGTCTTCTTTCGAGATTTCGATAAAAGATTGGTATTCCAATTCACCTCTTAAATAAAATGGATTTTTTCCCAAACATTAAAATATAAAGCCACATCTTTCATTAAAATCAAATCGGAATGACTAATAATATAAAAAATACTAATACATTTAATTCTGTGATGTTTAAATAATAAATCGAAACAGGATCCAATTAATCTTAACTAGCTAAATCCATAATTTATATACTGCAGTCATTGCCTATATATCCTGCTACACATTAGCACGAGCCATTTAGGCACATCCCTTAATTTTGGCATGGTCTACAATTCTTAGCTGATAAATTACACATAGCATTCATTTTTGTTTTGAATGTCAAAGTTAATCATGAAATCACTTCTCTACTCCAAAACAACAATTATATTGGCTCTTGTGTTTTTTTTCAATTAGATTATATTCATGTAACTATTATCTTTTTCTTTAAATTCAACAACTATTGTTTAAGTGGGTTTTCCAAAATCATAGGAATTTAGATCTGCAACACATTAATTGCTAATTTGGTTAGAAGTTGATCTCTTACTTTTGAATTGCAAAATAATCAGGAATCCTTGGAAATGAGGGCGATCTTCTACAAATCAAAAAAAGAGGCAACTTATGAGAATAATAATTATTAAGAGTAATTATCAATCTCTGATCTACTGTCAAATTGATCCTGTCAAAGATGTCTGTTTCAATGTTGATCTACCCATTCATTTATTTATATCCTTTGCTAAAAATTGAATCAGCAACTCCTACAGTCAATAAAATATTTAGAAACATATAATAAAATCATAATTCGTCAGTTTTCGCTAAACTAACAAAGACCTGGAGTGTTAATTTGAATGACATTGGCAGACCCAGGAGATTGAGTTTCTAAAATGCTTTAATTGTCATTTACATTGCAATTATCGTATTCTTTATTCTCTTTGCTAAAACTCTTATAATTTTAAAGGATCAATTTGAATAGCATCGTCAACCACCACTCCTAACCTAATAATCTATTCATCCTATATCTGTTGCATGTATCTTTCCTAAGTCAAATTGCTTCTACAAAAAGGACAAGTCTATCATAATATTCTTAAGTACTTAAGTTCTTTTTCGCCATTCATCCAAGCAATACTGATGAAATAAATGCAAACAATATGTCAATTTAACCAAGTCCTGTTTCTTGAATTGCAATAGACAAATCTAACATTCTGAAGATTCCTGAAGTCCTGGAAATTCCTAAATCACTTAATCATAAATTTCAGTTGCAATATAATCCTATCTCAGGGAATGTCTAAACTTTTTAAGTTTGAGTTAATTTGCCTATTCATTGCTCGGCTATAGAATCAATATTCTTTTCCCTTTTCTCTATTTCTGGATCATACAGATGATCAACAAAATCAAAATTATCAAACTCCCCAAAACACATAGAATAATGTAAACGATCTCTAAAGTATCATCACTTTCTTCGGAATCCCCTGAGGTCAGAGTTAGTTTTATTTCAGTATTCATAATTTGTTCATTAACAAACAAAATTATCAAGTATTTTTATAATGGAGTTTCTAGAGCTTCCTCTATTTTATTGGCATTTTCAAAGCAATTCTGTAGATCCTTCTCACTAATCATTAGATTTCCATTCGAGATATTGGTTTGATTGAATGAGTTACTCTGATAAAAGGGGATGTACTGTTTTTGGTATGAACATCCATAGTAGAGCTTTATCTCTAATTGTGAATCAATAGTTATGATAAGATTTGATGAGGAATCTGGAAGAGGAACAATGATAAGATTTTCAGTCTGTCTCTCCATTTAGAACTAGATAATAATTTAAATTTACTGAAGATTTACTTCTGAAATTTATAATATTGCTAGTCATCTAACATGTACTGTCTAGTACTCCTAATTGGCATTGGCATAATTTTACTGCATTCTCACTGCAATATCCTCGGTTATTACATGAACTAATTTATAATGAAATCAAACTTATAGCATTCTCCTTTTTCAGAGGAACTGATTGTCAATGTATACGTCGTTTCTTACGTCGAGTAGACATACAATCTCATTTTACGGTGATTTAATTAATAAACACTATATTGATTGTATACCCATTCATTTTGGTCGTCAATGTTATTAGTAATGACTAGTTGTTATGTATTTTGATAATACAATAAAGCATTATTATCAAACACACATTATTTTCTAATTACAAATAAATCTTACTTGTTTGATTCTATATGCTATTGGATTGAACTTATGGATTATAGAATAGATTTGACAACTTACTCATCATTATTAAAGCAATAAGCCAAAAGGGGATACGAAACTTTAATTTTATTTTCTAAAATTATAGTTAAAGTTGTTTTTCCAGTAGATGTTTGACCAAATTAATCCAAATCTAAATCAATGTATTAGAGGCCCTGAGTTCTATATTGCTTTGTAACAGAAAATCCATTTATTTAAATAAATAGCAATAGTAGTCCGAATATCATATTTTGAACAATTAATTAGATTTATAAATATGTTTTATTTTTCACATTAAATCTCAATCATTAATACTAAAAATAAAAGATAGAGAAATTTCAAGGCTCTCCTACTTGAGACAGTATCGCGATTCTTAAAAATTTAATACTTAATAAAAAAATTACAACTCATCTAATTCAGTTTTTTCTTTTCAACCATTCCTTGTATCTTCGTTTCTTATAATTTTTTTTTTTTGTTATCAATCAATAAATTAGACAGTCAGGAAGATCATTTGATATGATGCTAGGCCTATTACTCCATTAATTTTTTTATATCAAATTTGTAGACATCATGAAAGCATTAGAATATATTAGGTCCTATTGATCTGTTAAATAATTGAGTTAATTTGCTAAAAAATAGGTTAGCTTATCTACTTTCTTAGTATTTTCTCTCAAGTGATCTTCTCGAATGTGGCTTGCATAAAGTTACAGAATCTTGTATTTGTTTTATTAAAAATCGTGTATATATATATATAATAAATTAATTCACTTTCCCAAACCATTTCCCAAATCAAATTTAATAGCATACTTCTAAAATAAATCCTTATCGTAATCCTATATTTTCTTTTTCAAATCTTGTTTCATATTCATGTATTTGCTATCTCCCATATGTGTTCTTCTCATTGCGTCTTAATTTTAGAATTCCATAAAGAACTCATTACTTGTTACCAAAAACTAAATCACAAAAGGGTTGTACTTTTTTTTTTTTCTCCACTTATGTATTAGTATTGTCTTATCCTTTTTTTCTGAAATATTCTTCTAATGTCATTCCATTGTAACTATTCGGATTAAAATTCTAAGCCGTTCTGCTTTGAATAGCTGTACGATTTCTCTATTAATTCGAATTTGTTATTCTTCTTTTTTCTAATCGAGAACATTTCGATGTCTCTGGTCTTTATTCTATACGCTCTTAACTCATTTTTATTGAAAAAATTAATATAATTTACTCATCTGTTAATAAATTTAATTCATACCCTATAACATTACAAACCTCCAATTAAAACGTTATCCAAAAGAATAATCACCTTGTATACTAAATAGAGTAATAGTAAATTAAAACAATTTCAAACGTTTTTATATTTCCGATCATTTTTATATAATTTAACACGAACCATGAATTCTGTAGGTTTCTAGGAGATTGTATTCAGTAATATAAAGAATGACCACTTAGGTTTTATTTCTAAGAGTAAAACTTTAATGAAAAAGCCAAAAATTAATAATTAATGTATTGCTTTGTGCATACCAAGTTCTTATATCAAAACACTCTAAACTAATAGAACTTTGAAAAGAAAGGAACATATAATAATCAATTTTAATTCTATATAAATAAATTTGCCAAAACAACTTTTAGAATAAGATTAGATCATTTCGATTGATAATATAATAGAATCATAAAATCTTCCTTAAACTAATTCAAGTATAAGAGAGAGAGATATGTTTCTAAGGATTTCATTAATAAATAATAATATAAGAGTTATATTAAATTTCGAAATCAACTTTCATATTATATGCCTACTGATGCATCTAAGATATATCGACACCAATAAAATTCTTTTATAACTTGTATAATAATTAATGTTTCATTAAATTTGAGAAATTTATAATTTTTTTTATGAAAATATTCTGGCTCAGACCATCTGCTGGAGATTCATAATAATCAGCAATTGTTTATCAGAAATAATAATAGGAAGCTGTTAAGTAAGTCATTACTCCGAAAAGAGAGTCAACCAAATTTCCTTTTCACTTGAGTTTAGAAAAGGCGAAATGGATAATTGATAAGTAAAGATTCAATTTATTTTAAAGTGTTGACAATAAAATCTTGGGTAATTAAGTTAGGGCTCTTTTGAGTGCCCCTGTAAAAAACTGGATGTAACTGAATACAAATCTATAAAATTTAGAACAATGTGATGATTTTTTTAACATTCACGTTAATTCACTATTTATATAATTAGATGAATAAATATTCAAGAAAAAAAATGAAAATAATTATTAGATGAAAACATTAGTTTTGACTCTTGATTACTACATGAACATTTAAACCTTTTTATTGTTTTTATATTGGAAACTACTTAGAAACAGCGAGGAATTAATAATCATAGAAAGGCTATTAGAGTGGATAATTAAAATTAGGTACATTTGCCTAAATATAGATTATCTAATGGAACATTTCATCCACTTCTTATTTGATAATCGAATTCAACTGAGATAAGTGAAGCCTTATGAGATCATTCCCAAACCATTGATAGGCTATGAAGAAATGGATCTATTTTCATTGGATCCTGCAGTGCTGAGCAATGTTATCACTGAGATAAACGAGGAATTCTACTCCTAGTTATAATTCAATAACTTACTCACCAATCTAGACAATGGGAAATAGAGTTAGTTCTTATCGGAGTATTTTGATAGAATCAACTCTTTCTCCTTATATATTTAGACAACGATATTAAAGAAGAAGGATAGAAAGAAGGCTATCGATTATTTCTATGAGGTTTGTTTAGAACTTTGTAAAAATGAGGATGGGGAAGGAGTATTTTTATTATTTACTTTAAGTATTGAACGATTGGATTAAGATTTATTGCATTCTATTCAATATATTAGCCCAATCTAATAATAGATACTGATCGACATGACCAAAACCTTTGTGTGCAATAAACACATTTATACACCTTCAACCACTAAAAAGCTCTATCCAATCCCATCTTTTTATCATTTTTGGACTAAACTCAAAAAATTAGAATAGGCAGCTTAACAAAGTAAAGACTTGAAGTATATTGATCAAATCCGAAATATCCTTCTAGATTTAATGTTTATTCGTTAATCCAATAGTTCAAGATTGCTCACAAGATAAAAACAAAGTGATCCTCTTTTAAAATATTTCTTGTTAAAAGGACATCAAATAGAACTATCTTAAATGTTAGAAATTCCAATAGGTAATTGGAATTAAATGTAATTAAAATTAATGAAAATGGCATCAAATTGAATGTATTTATTTATAATTTAATTAATATTATATTTTTCACTGGAATTTATATTTTATGCTATAAAAGCACTGAAAAATTAAAAAAACTAGATAATAATAAAAATATGTAGGGCAATGTTTAATAAGTGTTCTTGCAGTTTACTGCAAATAAACCAGAGATGGATGGAAAAACCTTTGCTAAAGTTTCCAAAGATTGTCATCTTCTAGATAAGAAATTGACATCCACAGATGTAGATTTAATCTTTGCAAAAATCAAACCCACCCCAGCAGCTAGATCAATAACCTATGCTTAATTTGAAAAGGGTTTGTAAATGATGGCTGAAAAGAAGGGGGTTGGAGTTCAAGATGTTCACAATCAAATTCTCAATGCTGGTGGACCTCATTTTTAAGGAACAAAAGCAGATGCTGTCAAATTCCATGACGACAAAAACCTATACACAGGAGTTCATGCAAATGGTGGACCATCAACAATAGATAAGAATCACGGAGGATTGAATACCATTTGTGATAGATCCTAAGCAGATGTTAGAGGAAGTCAAAAAATGATGAAAAATATATGATTATATTACACATTTATTATTAAATCAGAAAAAAGATTTGCGTAATTATAAAAACACCCACTTCATAAAGAGGCTTCTGGAAAATTAATATTGAATTATAATTAGGTCTAAATTAAGATAACCTTGGGTTGAAATATGTTTTATCCTAACACTTATGTACGATACTCTTCTAATTAGTTTCAGACCATTAAGAATAATAACAAATCAATTAATTGATTAATACCTAGTACTACGGCAGTTTAATGTACTGTACATTAGTAATTTAATTGCTACAGTCGATTTATTTATTGTAAATTTAATTAAAAATTAGTAAATCTTAGTTGGCACTTCTGCAACAGACTCAGTATACTTGTAGTTATAAAGTTTAATTAATAAATATTATTCTTCATATATTTTTGTAAGGTTTTATATACTCAGTAATTATTTTGATTCACTTATTTAAATATTATACATAAAATGGATGTGAAAATAAAGGATTCTTTTTTTGATGATCCGGAAACTACGACCTTTTGGGTTAACAATGGTCTACCCAATTAAGACCAAATATTATAAATGCAGGATTCAATGTACATCTAAAAGGAAAATGAGTTCTGCAAACGCACTCTAGGCATTTAGAATCACTACTTACTTTACTTTAAAAAATAAGTATATTGTAACCAATAACCAATAGACGGCTCAAAAATGGGTTAACTTGGACAATGCTACTATTGAATATGTCAAACATTAAAGTGTAGGATTGGGGATTAGAATTTCAAAACATAAATAATGTTTTGAGTTCTTCGGAGATGTCGAACCTTGGTATAATTATTTGAGATAATATTGTGTACAAAGAAATTTTTCCCAAAGTTACACTTTATTAAAGAAAATTGGATAAGGAAATTTTGCTGATGTATTTAATGACCCTATTTTTAGGTATATAAGGCAACCAATAAGATGGATGGAGCTGAATACGCTATCAAGTGCTTCAGGAAGAACAAATTAAAGGAGAACGTCGATAGATTATCAATGATCAAAGAAATATCAATCATGAAGAAAATCCAGCATGAATCAGTCATTAAATTATATGAAGTATATGAAGGAGATGATTGTTTGTACTTGGTTTTGGAATACTTGAGAGGAGGAGAACTTCACCAATTTATGAAGAAGTCTCCTCCCTTTTCTGAAGAAAAATGTTCAAAGTTGATTTTTCGGATTCTAAAGGCCTTATATTCTATACATCAAAAAGGAATATTGCATCGGGATCTTAAGCCAGAAAATATTATGTTGAGAAACAAAGATGATCTTGATAATATCTGTATCGGAGATTTTGGATTAGCCGATTATTATTCTCCAAGTGGCCAATATCTTTTTACTAGATGTGGAACTCCAGGCTATGTTGCTCCAGAATTGCTACAAGATAAGCTCTATGATTTCAAAATTGACATTTATAGTGTTGGAATACTTATGTACATTTTAATCGCAGGTAAGTCGCCATTCGATGGCAAAGACTATGATGATGTTGTTATGAGAAACTACTATGCGAAGGTGAAATTTGAAGATTGTAAATTAACTGAGGTCGGTATGAACTTCTTAAAAGGTTTAATGAATAAAAATCCAATTCAAAGATTTAGTGCAGAAGAAGCGTTAAATCATCCATGGTTTGCAACAGAAAATTCCAATAAAGCTTGTTAATTTAAAATTCGAAAACAAAACTACGTATTGAAAAAACTGGGTCATTGTGAATTATAAATCAAATAGTTTTCAGCTATTTCTACTTAGTTCAGTCCTAAAAGTTCGTTATCAAGCCTTAGTCCTTACTGTATGACTAAATATAACTTGGATGAAAGTCCACAAACTCCTAATTCACCAAGCGCATAATTCGCCATTTCAACTCCCAGAACTCCTGGTATGTGTAAATTAAGGCCAGTTCGACGCTCTTAATTTAACTTAAAATAAATTTGATTTTAATATGTATATAAGTCAATGATTTAACTTAGAGATTATTTAATTCTATTAATACTTGAATTCCTATTTATTGATTTCAGAAGAAAGAGTAGAAAATTTGCAAAGTAGATTAATAATTTATCTTTAAAAATTACATATAAATAATATCCATACGTGTTCTTTTGATTTACATCATTTTTGTAAAGTTGTAATTAAAAAAAATAAATCATATATATGAATGGTATTATCTAAAATTATTTCTATTTTTCAACTATTTCTGAGGAGAATTAATTTCTTATTCTATCATTTGGAGATGCAAAAATTGTGAGAATTATGATTATAATTATACGAATGATATTTGTTACAACACTTGCTCTTTATCAGAGTTAAAAATGTAAAATTAATCATATTCATTAAATAACTTAGTCAAGCTCCTCTTCTGAAATAGATTCAGATCTTGCATTTCTAAGCTTTTGGAATTATTATCTTATGTATTATTTACTTCTCATTTTAAGATACGAAAGCTTGTTAGATTATTTGAATTTCTTAGCAGGCTTGTAAGATTTTCCTTAGACTACTAAAGGATTGAATTTCTGATGATGAGATCTAGGGAATATTAATTCAAAAATAAATACCTACATTGACTTGGGCTTCTTGTAGCAATACTTTAACTCATTTTCTTAAAAAATCTTTATCCTTTGCTTCTTTATTGTGTTTCTACCAAATCTTATGAATTATATAGAAAATCCAGATAAAGTTTATGTTCTTAATCAGTCCAGTGCCCGGTGTTCAACTGTTTTTGTTTGGACAATTCTTTAGTTTTTGTTTAAGTCTGTTAGGAGAAGATTTTCAAAGTGTGCAGTCTCAAATTTCATTTTATGTTATCTACTTGAAGAACTATTTATATTTAGAAATTAATATTTAAATACTATTATTGATATCAAAATAATAAATAATAAATCAGTTTATTTAGAACATAATTTCTGATTGAGCATATGAATGCCAATAATTAATATTAAATTTGCGAAAATTCAATAATATTTGATTGAAAATGATTATCTTTAAAAATAAAATGCTTAATCAAAAAAAAACTATATTTGAAATGATGATATAATTTCATTTTTTCTTGAAACATATTGTAATTAACAATTTAAAATTAAATTGATATTTAAAGAAAATATAACGATAAAAATTAATAATAAAAATAATTCATAAATAAAATTTATTATGCTTTCCTAATCAAATTTGACTCTAACTACTTAAATCAGATTAGCCACTGTTATTCAAGCAATCGCATAAAACGAATAATTGAGTGAGAAAAGAAGATAAATACTAGCCTAGCTTGACATGTTCACTGTAGAAGTTGGTAATTATTTTAACAAAAACCATAGCGTTTTTACGGTTGGATCAAAGCAGAGTGAATCAATTGGCACATACAGATATAATTGAATTTTTATAAGACAATAAAATATCCCATTCCCAATTTGAGGCAGCCTACCTCTTTAAGAGATTAGATTGGGACAGAGATGGAAGAATAAAATTGGGAGAGTAAATGATCTATTTAATGTTATAGTTTTCTCTAATACATTTTACCAAAAAGAAATAACACCTTAAGAGACATCGCCAAAGCCAGAACCCCTTATTAAATTGAACCTGGAATGTTATTGCCTAACGAAGTTGAATTGGCACTTGCTGACTTATTTACCTAAGAAATCAATAATTACAGGACAATAAGCCATGCAAGATAGGCTCTAGTCAATTCTTTAGACTACTCAACCTTGGAGGCCTTCAAAACTCTTGATTTGTTTAACCAAGGTTTTCTGACAAAGGAAACTTTATCCCTATTCATGTAAAAGTAAGGAGCCCCATTGTTGAATGAAGAAGTAGACTCATTCTTTGATGCTGTTGATTTGGATCAAGATGGAAGAATATCCTATAGTGAATTGGTAGAGGCAGTTCACTTGATGGAGCCCTTACCCTATAGATCAAGTGTTGTTAGGGACACAGACTATATTAGAGCAGTAGAAAATAATAGATCACTAGAAAGACTAGCTCTGCCTAGTTATCCTTATTATTTCTACCCATACTATCCCTATTATTATCCTTATTACTATCCATCTTTGAGATTGGAAAATGTTAGACAAAGAGAAAATTCTCTCGAAAGATTAAGAAGATCAAGATTATAATAGATCGAGAGTGAAAATAGAATTATTCATTTGGAGAACGAAACAAGAAGAAGTGCTGAAAGATAAAGAAGCGCTGAAAGATTAAGATAGATTTAAGAAGAAAGTTTGATTAGATAAAAGCAAATTGAGGAGTAAAATAGAATCAGAGAGCTAGATAGGATAAGAGATGATGACTTGAGAAGAAGCAGAGAAAGAATAAGATTGATAGAAAACGAAGCAAGACTTAAGTAAATTGAGGCCGAAAGTAGGGCAAGAGATATCGAAAGAGAGAATAGATTATTAGTATTAGAAAGAGAGTAGAGAATAAGATAAGCAGAGTTGGAAAGAGAATTAATAGAAAGCAAAGTTAAATATCAAAATTTGGAGAGATAAAGTTCTTTAGAGAGATTGAGATAACTTGAAGATATAAGAAGAGCAGAATTAGATAAATTAAGAACAAGCTCAGCATTGGCTTACTCTCCTTATTATTCCACATACACTTCAAACGTACCATATTATGAGAAAGTATTATAAAAATACCCATATTCTTTAATTGATTCGATAAATGCTTTTAAGTATTAGAATTTAATCTATTTATTAGTTCTATAAGAAGATATTCACCAATTAATAATAAGTCATTGGTCTAATCAACAATTTACGAAAGCCCAAGTAAAATAAAGAAGTAGGAATTCAAGTAAAAATGATTAATACAATTTTCATTAATAATCTAAATACATATATTTGTTCTATTGCCCTTATTGTCACTCTAAAATGTGAGATGTCATAAACAACAGCTAAAATCAAAAAGAAATTTCAACGTTGTATACATTTAAATAAAATATCTCTAAATCAGCCTAAAAGAATAAAATATAAAAATTTAATAATCATGCTTCGCTCTTCTATCTTTTTTCTTTTCCTTCACTCCAACAACTTTCATTTTAAACTCCATTCTTATCTATTAGTATACCCTTCCCATGTTACTTCCCATCTCTAAATTCTCCTTTATACATAGTACCATCCGCCCATTTGAATTCTCCTTCTCCGTGTTTTTGATCATAACAATAATATCCTAAATATTCCCTTCCATCAGGCCATACAAAATGACCTTTTCCATGCATCTTACCATCTTTAAATTAACCCTTGTAGATTCTGCCATCTTCAAATTTCAACTCTCCATAACCTGTAATACTATCATTTTCAAATTATCCAGTGTAAATATCTCCATTAGGAAACTTTGCTCTTCCTTATCCTTGTTTCTTTCCCTAAAAGAATGTTCCTTCATATTCCTATCCATCAACTAAGATTTCCTTACCTTAACCATGCTATTATATTATTATCAATTACTTTTTAATCCTACAACCATTCTCCTTCATATAGAGATCCATCAAATTCATAAAATGTACCATAACCATTTGCCATATTGTTTTTCCAGTCTCCTTCATAAGCATTACCATTAGAATGTATAATTCTCCCTCTCCCATTGGCCTAATCAAATTTCCAATAACCTTCATAGATTGATCCATCAGCGAAATATTGTTTCCCTCGTCCATGTCTCAACCTGGAAAGCCACTAACCAACATATATATTGCCTTAGTTTCTTTTGTGTTCCTAAATAATGGTTAGAGTGTGTACATGAGCTATAAAGAATCTGCATTCATTAAATTCTTAAGGAAGTTTTTTATCGAATTTAAACTTTCCAAGCTTAGTTTAAGTCGTTAGAACATTTTATTCCATACTTTTAGGTTCCTTGCTTTAAACCCAAGCATCACCCGGCTTTTCTTTTTCAGCTTCTTCCTTCATCTATGCTGCAACGTTCTTTGCTTTTTTTTTTCTCATTGATGATTATATTTTGACTATTTCTTCTTAATGCTCTTCAAAGTTGATTTGCTCAGGAACCAAAGTTGGCATTACTTAAGGTTCGAATTGTCTATATTCTCCATTTTGCATTTCCCCTCCCTATTAAAATGAACAACAAGCACCCATAGATAATTATATATATTAATAAATATAAGAATGGCTATGATATTTTATTTAATGTCAGCCATCACATTGCTGATTCCTTTTCTCTTTAATCTTGAGGATTATATCCTGTATTATGACTTTGCCTCCCTCCTTTGTGTATAATAATGGATATTTGATACTAATAGGTAATTCAAGTTTCTTGAATCATTGCTATTAACTGTGGCTATAATGTTTGCTTAATCTTTCACATTAAATGTAAAATTTTTACTAGCATCAGCTTATATTTTTTGATGAGAATGTGTTTTCTAATTCTGACAACATATATCAAGCCTGTATATACATATGCCTAACCATTATTTTTGCTAATCCTATTAGTATTAAATTCCAAGATAGGCTTGCTGCAAAATACGAACCCTTTCCATACTCTGTTATGATGTTTGATAAAGTTGGACAAGCTCTGACAATAAGTAAATTAATAGAAGCCTTAATTTTCGATAAGATTTAATTTACACACTCTTAATTCCTTCTGTCTGCACTTCTTATGAGTTAAGTACCAATAGTTGTTTTGTTTATTGGATTAAGAGAGTATCATTCAACATCGGCTTCTTATTCTAAAATTAAAGAATTGGCATTAGAAAACTCAATAATCTACCTAATCACTTCATTAGTATTTATGTACTTAAAACATGCCAATATAGTAAAATTAGATTCTTAGACATAATAGTATTTATCAATTATCCAATTTGTTTTATATTCAAGTATTATTTAGATATAAATTATAGCTATTTATTATTAGGCCAAAAAAGTTATTAAATAAAGAAATCAATCAAAAATAAAATAATATTGAAAAATAATAAATATAAAATTTAATCAAAATCATATCACAGCATCTTATTTAGAAGCTATTTTCTTAAAATTGACTTGCTTTTTTTTGTCTTTTTATTGAGATGACTTGAGAGAAGACGCACAGATTTCGGACTGGAGGAAAAGCTTTTTTCAACAGAAGTTGAATCGCCTCGATTTAGAGGTGGAAGCTTTATTGAATTTGCAGACTAATCAGCTTTGTCTTTATTCTCTTGGGTTGGGATGAATTTACTCATTCTTCTAGGAAGAATGGGTAACAATTATTAAGCTATAAACATTTTTGAATTTCTTGGTTTTTATGGAATTCTAAAGATATCAAATTCCAGAATCTATTCACAGGTTAAAATCTCCATTTTGTTATTTTACCTATCTGTAAATATCATCTCAAAAAATCTTTAAAGTTGAGGACATAATCCCATAAACTCTATCCTAGTCAAATATTAAAAATTCTTCATCAAAAGTTCATCCACCACTTAATTTAAATTATACACTTTTTTTGTGAAAATCGTCAACATTAAAGTACATAAGGAATATATGTCTCTTTTAATGCACAAATTAATGATCTTTTCTTAATCTAGATGATTACTAGAAGTAACATTACTCCTTTTGGAAGGAATTTACATAGCCTTTCCAAAATTAATCAAACAAGGTGTTTACAAATCTTGTGAATCTTTTAACAAGATATTTTCATATCTAATATCATTATGATAAATGTTGTTTTAGTGGAGACTATGTAAACTACTTATTAGAGTATGCATAACTTTTATCTTTTCTTATTCCATATAATGGTTATTTAAAATCTGATGTTCAATGGGTCCACCTTCCAGTAATTCTGTAATTATATATATATTCTTTTCCCCTTCATAAATCTCTTCTAATTTTAATAAATTATTGTGTCTGATTTATCTTAAGATATTTATCTCATTTAAAAAGCAATCCTTTTCGAGTGTGCTACTCCTTGTAAGTGTGGATTTTTCAACAATTTTCGCAGCAAACTTCTATCCACTTAGGAGATGCCGAACTTTATAAACCTAATTTTAAAATTATCAATATTACAGATGATATATATCCGCTTCCAATTTTTTCAATTATATGATATTTCTTTTAGAACTCTGATTGAATCACATATTTTTTTAATTTTTCAACTAACTCTAAGTTGGTACCATAAAACTCCGCCTGTTGACCATTTTTACTAAGTCTTATACCAAGTTATTAAGTTTCTGAATTCATGACAACTCGTAAACAAGCATTTTCAATTAGAATATATTTATAAGACTTCTATTAAATATTCTCAAATTTCAATACTTCTTCAGTGATTTTTAGATAGTTCTCTGCTAATTGAATATTTATTTAGGTAACCCTGTTTGTATATTTCATTTGAAAACTCCCTTAATCTTAGAATTGCAAATTTTGTTAAGTAAGCTGTGTAAATAATTGGTTTCCATCATTAAAAAAAGAAGTTTTCGAGTGATCAGCTTGCAATCCTCCACTTTTTTTCATTAAAATATTAAATAATTAGGATTCTTTAGTTATTTATACGCTTAATACTATTGATAAAATATTTTCTTTCTAAAATATAAATATTTTGCTTATTGAAACAACAATTGAACCAAATCATCTGGATGCTTCTCAACTTTTATTTCCAGAATATTCTTACTGATATTTGAATTATAAATATAAAATTGGTGAAATAAAAATTATATTGTTTAAAACCCTAAATTATATTTGAATTTTATGTTGATACGACTAAAACCTAATATTAATCTAATATTAAACAATTTCAAATTGATTGATATAACTAAGAATTTAAGTTGTTTTTTTTAATATAGGTAATAAAGTGAATAAAAATGTGGAAATAATTTAATTATTTTATATAATAATATAGGAATATGCGATTGATACAAGTATCATAATTCTCAAATGTTTTCAAGTGTTAAAATATTAAAATCTTCGTTTCCATAAATCTTATCTCTATCTGATGCTTAGATAGAATCATCAAAAGGAACGATAGTATTAGAGCGATTGTTAAAATCTAAATGTAGAGGTATCCCAAATTTGTGTGATTGCGATATCTTATTTTTATCTATGGATAATTGTACTAAGAATTATAGTCTAGATATTTCATATATTTAATTGATAACAGTTTATTTTTTTAACGCTACTTATTTTGCCTTTGTGTAAAACTTGTTGAACTCAATTAAATCGATTTAGCTGTTAAAGTGCTGGACTGATTTAATTTACCCAAATAGATTTCTATTGATACTTAATTCCTTAAATTATGGATAATAACAACTAATTATTTATTGATTTAAAAGCTCTTCTAATAAATATGTGTTCATAGCAATTGCTAATCCTTTCAACATCATTAAAGTTGATATAATAGAACCAACATCAGCTAGAATTTCAGATATTTTAGTGTATTAAATCGATTAGATTTAAGCCAATTGATTTAAGTTGAATTCATAGACAGCTATTAATCCATTTAAGTAATTCTAGAAGTATGCTTACTTTACAGATTGAGTAATTATTTAAACGTCATTAACAACTTGAGTTTCAACCATATTGTCAAATAAAAATCCATTATTTATGATATTCTTCTGCATTTGAAGTTAGAATACATTTAATAGTGTTACGTCAGTCTCGACAGCATATGATAATGATTTAGTGATTCTTTCAAACTAATTTGTTTAAGCATTGAAATAGAGGAAATTCATATCAATTTTCATGCTTATTCCTGAAAGTCTAAATTAAGAGAATATTCTCTTACTCTAAGAATTATTTGATTTTTTCATCCGAAGCACAATTGGCTGATGATTTCTTATCACAAATTTGAAGTGCAATTAAAGTTTAAGTTGGATACAAAGAAGTTTGGCTATTAGTCAAAGAAAAATTGAAATTATCCAAAACAATTTTATTATTATTTTAGGCTTCAACATTAACAACTAGAAATATTTAAACAAAATTACTATTGATACTTTAATTTTATTGTGTAATTAAATACGTTTGAATTATCATTTCATTTGAATTTAAAGGATCTAACTATTAAGTATTCTAATCAAAAGAAATGGATATCAAGGGATAGTTTAATTATAAATCAACATTATTTAATACCTAATAGGTCTGAGTACTTTTTGGATTTATGTTACCTATTAACCAAGAGTGAAGCTTATAAACAAAGTAAAGTAAACTTAGCGAATATAGAGCTATGGTAAAAAATCCGCCAAAACTACTTTTGTATGTCTTCTTATTTGGCATATAAGGCTATTCATAAGAAATTCCGAATAAATCCAGATTGTGTAAAAATTTCATTATTAGTTGTAAAATTATATTTGATATTAATAATGCTATTGAGATAATAATTATTAGATAATTAATTATGCTATTAATTATACTAGTTATTCAGATTGCGTATGCATAAAATGACGTTCAAATTCCTACCCTAATTATGTAGACGATGCATGAATCCTATCATTATGATTTGTTAACAAAATACTCAGACTATTTGAATCCTGAAGTTGAGGTTGTAAATATTGAGCCTATGAATAATTTCACCCAAGAAAAACCTAAACCTAATTATACAATAACAGAATTGAGCTAATATATCAACACTGTTTAATTTGATAAGTCTTATCAAACCACTTCGCAATATAACTTAAAAAAATACCCTATTACTATTTTCCTATGCAACAAAGATGTTATCATATTAGAATACACCAAAAATGCGAAAAATTAAATGGACATCTATTCTCATCATGAGTATGATTTAACAAATACAATAAATGATGTAAAATCATGTACAACTATGTATGGGCTGTTTGACGATTTAAAAGTAAACATTGATTGTATTGATCAATAAAATACCTTTATAAATGTGATTCTGGAAATTATTTTAAATAGAAACATGAAAATTTAAGATGTTTAATTTACTCTATAATTTTATAGTTTTGAAAATTTGTTGGGTTCAAGCGAATAGGTCACAGCATACTGGAATAACTGTAGGAAAAAGGATATAAAATATATAGTGCATTATTCATAAATTAGTAGAATCTTTTATTGTTTATATGGTATATATCATAATAAAATAAGGTAATTTGCTTCAACCATAAGATCAAATAATTTTAATTGAAGAAAGCACATAGTTAGTGGATGATATCTATATAATAAATGTGTATGTTCTTGACCAGCATAATTTTGTTAAGTGTAATAGCGAAGAGATTGTGAACTATTTTTATATCAAGTAATTGATTGCTAATTCCATCACCAGAATAACAGAATATACAGAATATGAATAATAAAATAAATGGGTCATTAGTTTATTATTAGTTGACAGACATGGAATTTGTAAATGTGGCAATCTAATGAAAAATAAAATTTAGTGTGACTTTCTGGAGCTGCAAGAAGGACTTTACACAAACCTATACTCTTCATCTTATTTAGAGGAAATCACCTACATCTATGTAGCCTCGGAAATCTTACTCTATAAGATAAACTTCTATTTCACTTTTCTCACAGATCAAGATAAAATCGAAGGATACTTTTACATCAAATAAGATGGATTTAATTTATAAAAGATTCATATCTATTATGATTATCTAATTGTTGTGATGTCAAAAAAGACTAATATCACCAATGATAATTATTTACCTTAAAAGATATTGTTTTTCTAAAAGAAATACACCATATAATAATACGTTCCAAATTACATCATAGATACTACTACTAATTATGGGATATTCAGGGTTAATTTTGATGAGTTTCCTGGTAGTTATTATTTGGAATATAATTATAAAATGTAAAATCTGAGTTTGCATTAACTTTAATGCAAACATTTAATTTTTACCTATGATTAACCAATTGCTAATAAGAATTATCTTATGTTTTAGATTACTTTGCAAATTATAAGTCTTAGTATTACAGCACAGGATGTGTTTAATTTGGTGATATCTTAGTTTAATGATGATTCATTCTTTTTAATAAAAGAAAATGTCTATGATGATTTGGTTTTTAAATCTGAACAATTCAATTTCAATTTGAATACCAATCTTCTTGGTCCTTTATTAAATTATCATGAAATTGAATGGGAAGATAATCCAGTAACAGCATCATCAGTCATTGAATATATAAGAGAGATTAAGTTTATGCATTTTAAGTCTGAATTTACCAAAATATTTTCAGGTTTATTTGTTTATAATGAAATAAATGCTTACTTCTCACTTGTGGGATTAATAAAAGATGAATCTAATGAAATTGTCTTAGCGTATTAATAGTTTAAGTATGATAAAGTTAGATTTGTTGAAGAAGGAAAATTAAAATAAATAAAACTGGAGTAATTTTCTTTCTAAAACATTGATTTTTTTAGTCTGAATATTTTAACTGTTATAATTGGCGATTCTGCTTCAAAGAAATATGTTCTATGCTATAATAACTAATTTTCTTCTTGTTCCTAATTGACTGGGTATTTATTCCTTGATAATTTATAGTGATTTCTTAAAAGAGTAAGATACCTATGATTATATTCAATTAAATGAATTTAGGTGTATAAATGATACTTTATTTGCAATACCTAATAATCGCAAGAAGATTATATTGTTCAGTCTGACTTGTAAAATCTTTATTGTCTCACAAATGGAAGTTTAAAAAATGGGCCAAATTGATTCTGAAACAATTCCAGAATTGGATGAATTTGAAATATTAGATACCCAATTTGAAATCATTGATAATAAATTATCCTTCCTACTATTAAGCGATGGAAGCATTATGTAAATTATAACTTATTACTCAATATCTGATTATAAATTGAATTACAAAGTAATCAATAAAATTAAAGAACCAGATTGTATTCCAATGATGAAAAATTCATCCAAAATCTTTTTTCAATTCCATCAAGATAAAAGAGTTTTAGTCTATATTTGCAATGAAAATTCAGAAAACTAAAAAATCTTTGAATATGATCTATAGAATCCATATAATCCATTTTTAATCAGAAGGTACTCCTTATTCAACTATTAAATTAACAACTTATTAAAACCTTTTAGCGATTCTCAAGTTGTTTATATTCCAGTAGAGGCTAAAGGATATTTAGCCTATTCGCCTTTTTTCCCATCACCAAATATTTTACTTCATGATATCCCTGTGTCAAAAGATTTAATCAGCGCGATACCAGTTGTTGTTAATAATTTTGACACAAATGAATGGGACATATTTTCAATGGCATTCTTCTTTGATAAAAACGGTGGTACCTTATTTTATTTGAATTCTAATCCTGTTTATTATAGCGTTTTGAATAATGACGATACAGAATCTAAAAAAATGATTATGGTATATCAATAAAATTAAGATTCTATTATCTTCAAAGAGTTCGATATCTTTTTCGATTATTCAGAGACTTAGATAATCTTTAATCCAAATAACATATAATTAGTTGAAGCTTCATAGGATGTGATCTTAGATCTAATTGACTCATAAGTTCAAGGAGCTGTTGAAGATTTTGAAATCTAAAATTTATCGGATGAGAAAAACATTATTATAAAGAAGAATGACATATTACAATTGAATTAATATTTGAGTGATCATTATGAAACTTTAGAGTTTGGAAGAATATTCGATATTTTAGATATGAATTAAACTGAGTATATGAGCATCATTAATTCTACTGCTTATGAAAATAATCTAATATTTACAGTAAGTCAATATTACTTCATCATATATGAAAAGCAACGATAAACGACTAAACATATTAATAGAATAACAATCCTAAAACAGGAAAGATTAACAAACTTGAACTCGTAATTAGAAAATCTTAGGTAATGTAGATTATCTATTAATGATATAAATTAGGTTTTGTTATATTGTTACAAATATTATTCTAGCAGTTTATAAAACCATTCTAAACTGGTCTAATATTTTTAAATTAATTTTTAATATGACTATGCAAACTCAAAAATCAGTTACAAGATTAAGCCATTAAAAATATCATTAGGAAGTAGGTTGTAAATTGAGGCTATAAATCCAATTAAATTTAAAGGGTAAATATTTTAATTCATAAAATATAACTATGAAAATTCATAGGATTAATATGAGTTGATTTCTGGTAAAATAGAAAATGGTCAATTCACAAGTAAGTAGATTATTTAATCTTCTACTTTTGATTATAATATTTTAGGACAACTATCATTTGACACAATCCTATTAGATGAAGAAAATATTTTAGTTTTAACTTTAGATATACATGAACTTAGAGTCTTTTTTTTCACATTCGAAAATACAACATCTGAATTATTTAAAACAAAAGAAGAAAAATTCTCATACTAATAATTGAATCTATACTTATTTCATTCTACAAGTCAATATCGTCTGGAGACTATCCATCTACTTAATTGCTACAATTATACTTGTTTAGTGTTGTTAGGAACACCAGATAAATTTTTTGAATTTCACTTAATTCTGTCTGAAACAGAGACGGCAAAAATAGTTAAAAAATATATCTATTTAAATTATTTTAGATGCATTCATACAAATAAGCAAAAGCCTTAAATTTAATTGAATGGAAAATTATCAATCAATCAGTTAGTGGCCGCTTGTGTGAAATAAGATGTAGAAAAGAATTTCTTTTTCGAGGACAAATTTGATTACATATATGATGATCTCTAAGTATTTGTTTAGATATTTCATAAAATTTAAGATGCCAGTGAATCTTCTCCTATTAGAATATATAGATTCTTTTTCGATATTACTTTGAGAGATAGATTTCATTTTTTATTATACAAACGTGAACCAGATAATAACAAACACATACTATTTGAGAATGATACTTATTTTCTAATAGACTATTTAAAATAAGATTAGATATCATTTTAGATAAAAACAAATTACACAAAAACAACAACTGTAACTGGTAATTTAGTTCTATCCAATATATTCAAGAAAAAAACAGTCGATATTACAATAACTTTTGATTTCCCAATAGAGAGACATTACATTTGGATTTATATCACGACTGCTACATTTTTATTAATAATAATGGTTGTTCTTGGAATACTGTTATGGTTGAAGAAAAGAAAGAGACAAAGATGCAAAAAAAAAAAAAATGATTCATTTTCTAAAAGTCTGATTGGCTTAGATGATGTACTTAAAGAAGTAATTTTAGGAGAAGGAAAAAGAGGATCTTAAACGAAATTGGATGATAGTTATTCTAATGGGAATGAAAGTGATTGATAATTAACAATTATATATTATACAAAACAAATTATAAATAGTCAGTTGAATTAAAATTTGTTAGTAAAATAATTTCGATCTGTTTAAGGCTTTTAACTAGTGAGCATATTTTTGGTTTATAATCTAGGGGTTTAAGAAATCAAATTGTATTTTTTTGATGACATTTGAGATAATTGAGGATTAGTTTCTTCAATATTTGTTCTTTTAGCCGAGGTCAATTACTGGGTATTCAAATGAGGGACCGTCTATTTTGAATTAATACTATTTTAGAATGGTTATTGAGTGATAGTTTGGTCATATGTGTATCCATTAAATTAATCCTAAATTGACTATCTTCTTAACAACTAGCCATTTAATAAATTTGTCTCAGGATCTTCCTCTTCCTTCATATTTGCAAATTTGGCATCGAAATTATCATTATTTATCTAAAATAAATTAATCTTAATTTACATTTATTGAATATTGAGGAAGAGCTGATTAGTTCATAAAGTTATTCCAATCAATGTCTTTCAACCATGGATGTGATTGTACTTCCTCCGGCCCATTAAATCCCAATCTATTCATAGGTTTTCTTTATAAAGTTCTATTGATAAAATCTGCAGCATCATCCGACCATCCCTCTGGCACTTAATTCGATTTAATTAAGACTTATTTAGCCATTATTTAATCTCTAATTTCTCTTCTAGTTTTGCCTATGTAAGGTCTCTGCATAATAATAAACAAATTACTTTTCCGAACATACATTCATATGCTATGACTCCGACTGCAAAATAATCAGAAGCCACTCCATGAGCTTATCTGCACATAACTTCTGGAGCCATATACCCCGGAGTTCCACTAGTGTCATTGTCGTTATCGGGCTTCCAAATTCTGGCAATACCCAAATCTGTTAATCTTAAATAGCCTATTATAATTTAGTATTATTTCAAACCATTTCTATCAAAAACTAAGTTTTCTGGTTTAATATCTCTGTGTAATACTGTGTTTGTGTGCAAATATTCCAAAGCTAATAATAAGCAGGCAATAAAAAATTCTTTTAAAATTTATGTTAATCTATACTTGTCTATTTTTCAGTGAACTTTCTTTGTTTGCATAGATGATATCTTAAATCACCACCCTACATCAAATCCATTACCAAATATAAATTTTCTCTATCTTAAAAAGCTGTATGCATGTTTACTAAAAATCTATTTAGTTAAATTATCTTACGGATGTCTTAAATTAGTTAGTAAATATCTTTCATTCATAACTGAACTAACACTTTTCTTATTAATTATCCTAATCTCCTATTATTAATTCTTTACTTGCATTTATTCATTTCTTTAATCGCAAACTATTATTTTGATTTTTTGTTTTCAGCCTTCCAAACTCTTCCAAAACCTCCTCTGCCAATGACAAAAAGCAGAGAAAAATCAGCTTTACAAGGCACTAAGTCAAATCATACAAATAAATTACATAATGCATCATCAAAATTAACATCTTTGCTGTTATTACAATTTCCCATTTCGTAAATCAAATTTATTATTAATTTAATAAAACACTTGAAAAATTTAATGAAAATTTGTTCCCATCTTTATTCTCGAAAAAACCTTATGTTCTACCCTTATATTGTTTAATCTTCATAATTTCTTTTAAGCATCTTCATTCTTTTTATATTGAATGGTATTATCTTATATATTAATTTAATCGTACTAGTCTCTATTAAATTAGAGTAGATCCACTAATCGTTAAAGATATGTTTTTAAAATTGTCATTTATTTTTATTAAGACATCATGAAAACAAAAAATGAAGAATTTATTTTTATGGGCTTCAATAAATTTCCATTCATTTAATTTTTACCAGAATATTTTCTAGACGGACATGATGAACCACAAAAATCCACATACTCAGAGTGAATAGATCTAGATAAAATAAAAATGGTATAAGAATATAATAAGAATTGACATAATTATCGATTTAAATTTAAAAAATAGTTGATCATTTTCCTTCAAACTACTGCATAAATTAGAAATTTTCAAGAGTAAATTCATTTCATTTCATTACATCATCATCATCATGGTGATTCGAATCTAAGACTCAGAAATACCAAATTATACAAGAGATTTAGTGTTGGTCGAAGACAAAAACTACCATAAGAATTTAATGAGAAATATTTTGTTCTTTCATTGGATAAAAAAACACAAATTGACAAAATTAATAAATGATTAATTTCGTTGTTTATCATTTTATTTGACTCATCTAGCATAATAGGATTAAAATATAAAGTCTCTTTTCAAGGTTAATATATAATATGCACTTTTAAACAATCTCAATTTTAATTGTATTAAACAAAAATGATTTAAATTTGTAAAATAGTTGATAATTTTACGATTAAAAACTCATTCTTTTAAAATAATTTGTTCTCTCCATTGTTCATTCCCAATCCAAGACTGATATTCCCTAGGTTCATCTATTTTCTTAAGATAATTTTAGGCTTCAATTGGTAAAATGGAAAAGGCCCTAGAATTAGTGATATCTTATTTCCATCTTTTCATCATAATGTACTCAACTTCAAATTGAGCTAGTTCCTTTAATTATGCAGGAATATATTCAATAGCTTTTCCATTATGTTAATAATTAAGTCCAATATTAATATCCTCAAGCCCTGTGAAGATATCTTATTTTAGTAAGATTTATTGATGAATGTCTATTAATTTAAATTGAATATCTCAAATAAGAATAAGCCATCGTATCATTTTCACTTAAAGAGTCTGTTTTAGTAGAACATCAAGAATAAGATGAGTTCGATTCAGAATAATCAACTTTATTTTTATCTAGTGCAACTAAACACAATAGTTAACTTGGAGTATATTCACAACCACGCCATTTACAATGACATTCATATAATTCTGGTTAATGAATATTTTACAACTCCAGCTTCGCTCCTCCATTAAATCTAGCTCAAAAATCTTATTTTTCAAGCCAAAATATCTACTAGTTTCCTTCACATTAATCTCTCCATTAAGCAGCTATTATGGCTGTAAGTATACTCTTTAGACCATAAATACACTTAGATATATAAATATTATATTATAGTTAAATCAATCAATGTAATGCATCTCCTATACTGCTAATTAAAAGGATTTTACAGATACTTTATCATCATTTTTATTTTGCTTTAATTTATTAAAATAAGATTACAATTTATTTTGCTCTTTTAAATATGCCTTCAAATTTTCCAAAACCATATTTAATTCCAATTGATTCAAAAATATCTTTAATTTCTTTTTTTGTTCTTAATCTTAAAAAATCTTATTCTGATAATCCCATATGTGAAAATTTTTCAGGAAACAACAGAGCTACAGCAGGTACTTCATCACCATAATTTTGAGGATCTGCTACAGATTTCATTCCTTTTTTATTGATATCTTTTCGAATTGCAGGTACACCAAATGCTCTAGTTTCATCTCCAGGCTTTGGCTAGTTTTTAAAACCAAATTTGGTTGCCTTGCCTAAATCAAGATCATGTTAGACCTCTTTTTCAGTAGGCTAGCCATTTATGCATTATCCAGCAGTCCATTACTCATCTTTTTTTCATTTCTCCAAATATTTATGGCATTCTAAGATTTAATTATGCTTGATTTTTTGGTTTTCCTAAAGGGTCCTCATTGTAATTCTTCCAATCTTCTTGATTCTTTGAGATTATAGTAGTTTTAGGATATTAATTCTAAGTGAGTTCATGCTATAATATTTTCTTCACCTATTCCTATTCTCTTTCCTCCTTTTTGCCAAATCTATAATCATTAGGATTGATCTTCCAATTATATTCTCTATTTTTCTGTTCTCCTGCTTCAAAATTTCCATGACTTTTCAAATACATCAATCTAATCTTTTCCTCATCTCTTTCAGCATCAGGAGGAAACACAACCTCCTTAGCTGAATACTCAGATGGAGGGATCTTCTGACCAAAAGCAAATCCATCAGACTTAGCTTCATCAGGCCAATTATAATTTCTAGTTGGCATTGTACCTAATGGCTCCTTAATATGAGATGCATATTTTTATTCATTAATTTCATTGATTAATTCTCTTATACCTTATGGCTATTGTCTAAATAATTCTCCTACCTTGTCTGATTAATCTGTCTTTCTTCCATATACCCAATTTCCTTATGGTTTCGGAGCATCAACTAATCCAGGATGTAACTAAAATTTTGTCTCTTTATTACAATAGAACAGCCAAATTAATGCTTGTAAGATTTTCTATATTTCTTTATATGTGAAGGAGTTTCAGGGACCTACTTAACTGGCGAATATTACTTAATTTTGAATTGGTTATATACAAGCTCCTGCACTATCTTCCTTCAACACTGTTCTCCCAGCCTATAATAATGCATGTTGATACTGATTTCAAAGTTCCAAAATAGTCTCTTGATTTTCCTGACATTTATTTTATATATACTATATAATGATTTAACTAAAGTTATTAAAACAAAATCAAAACTCATTAATTATTTTTAAATACAAATTTCTTTATCGAATACCCAATCAATAGAGTCAGAACTAAACCACCGAATATTGATAGACCTAAAGGTAGCTGTAAAAATTATTTTTCTTCACCATTCATTACTAATTCATTATTTACATAATTGTCTTAAACTAAATGAAAATCTTTAACTGATTCCAAATCATCTAAGTAATAATATTTCATACCTAAATTTACAAGATTGATATTATCTCCATAGACATCCTCTTCAGAACCAAAAAATTTCTCCCCTTCTTCTACTACTGAATTTTCTTATAATAAAAACTCATCTGAAAGTTAATTATTATTTGTATTTTAAATGCTCTCCCTTGTTATTTCTGTTGTTGTGGTTGTTATCCCATTTCTAGTTTGAGTTTTAGTTACTTTAGTTTGTTTTTATCCATTAATTGAGATTGTTTCTATTTCCACAAAATCAGAGATTTCAGATGGCTAAAACATTGAAATAAATGGATTAAAAAATCCGAAGATTGGACTTTCAACTTAAATAGGTTCCAATCCATCTTATTAAGGAGGTAATTTCTAAGCGTCTTACAAAAAGGTGGCATCGTCTTCATTATTTGCTATGCTCTCAAAAGCAGCTGAAATAGTCTCTAGTAAATCTTTAATGAACAGTTAATTTATTGATCCTGTTCCTCTTTTAAACTCATCAAATTAAAATATTCCAACCTCTTCATCTTTTGTTTGTTCAGAATTTCCAAATATTTATACCTCTACTTATAAAGGTGAAGATTCTCCTGGGGAGTCTTCATAAGCTAAAGATATTAGGGCTAAGTATAGAAGCACAACGAGAATTTTCATTAATTAATTTAACAATCAAAAACGAAATTGTTATACTAAAATGAAATTTCTCAAACACGTTGTTAGAAATATAAAAATTATAAAACAGCATTTATAATATATTGGAAGCATAAATCGATTTATATTATTGCTTTATGCAACTAACAAGAATAACCAAAATGATCAGAAAATGAAAATATCAATAAATAAGTTTAAATATATAATTATTTATAAAAATGATATAAGAGGATCAATAAATCTGTTTTAAGAGAGGGTGCGAATAGTGTATACTAAGTAAGTAACTCATCTCTAAAACAATTAGATGATGATAAATGTGATGATATTTAGGAAAATAATTCTTAGTATCTAGTCTAATAAGAAAAAGTTGATGATAACAATTTGATTTAACCTTGTTTCTGTAATTTAATAATGCATAGAGAATGTATTAAAAGAAAAATAATAAAATAAAGAAGTCCTAAATGTTTTACATGTTCAGCTACATATCAAGCAAGAGAAACTAATTCAATTTATGCTCAATCATTTAAAAAATACAGGATGAATAAAATTATTATGAAAGCCTTGGTTAATATTTTTGGGACAGTTATAATTGCTTTAGCTTTGCTGTATTTAATCTAAATAAAGACATATTAATTATATGATTACATTTTATAAATGATAACTGTGGTATTCGGTTGCATTAGCTGCTTGTTGATGATTGTTTACATATTTCTAATTGTATTTAATATCTTTATTGTTAGATAGCCAATAGCATAATAAGGTCAAAAATCTTAGATATAGAAATTTTATGCTATTAAAATGAAACTAAGCTGCATACAGATAAATAAGTTGTTGAAAGATTTCTAGAAAGACTTAAATTAAGTGGAATTAATGTTTGATAAAATGATAAATTAAACGTTTAATAATTCTCAAAGATCATCCATAATTTTGAAGAATAATTGGTTTCTTTTATTATATTTTTGCAAACAGGGTACACGAACTACCTAAAAATACATTTTCAAGTTAGAATTTTCATCTTAACTTTTCTAAATTATAACTTTCTTATTTTGAATAAAATTTTCTAAAAGCTAGTAAATTTTTAGGATAAATAAATATATGGAATCAAAACAAAAATAAATGTATTCTTCTTGTCATCTACAATTCTGACTTAATCTCCTGATGGAATTTGAAAATGATGCAGATCTCTTAATAATACTTGAAAATTTTATTTATATTAGATTAGTTTTGACAAATAAAATTATTGATTTATCACACTTAATATTAGCATTTATGGTTTGTTTGGTACTTTTTATTGGGAAAGAACAATAAATGTTTTAACTCAAAGTGATCCAAGAGATCGTATATTTGCAACCATCTTAAGCAATATCAGTTTCATATCTTCGAAGATGATAAGGTACACTTGCACTTGTATCAAATTTTAGAAGCTGATGAATATCATTAGAAGAAGAATTTAAAGAAGTAACTTGTAGTGAAAATATATCTATCTAATATGGGATGTTAAAATGAGATAATAAAATGAAAAATTATGACCTTCATAGTTGCGTTTTATTCAGGCTATTTCTCAGATGACAGTATTTCATTTGCGTTTGGTAGTGAATAGAACTCTAATTGATTTGTTTATTGAAGCAAAATAAAAGAAAAATTAGATATTCAATCTATTTCTCATTTGATGGTATTATTTTAGCATGGAATGTTAGGTTATTATGACGAAAATGCTTATACAGTTTATTTATCTTCAGATGGTATTACTTTTGCATCTAGTAAAATTCATTATAACTTGATTAGATTATGGAATCTTACAAAAGAAAAATAAATAGCGAAATTTAGATGATGATACAGATTTTTTGAATACAATTTCTATTCACATGGACTACATAGATTATATGAGTTTAGAACAGGAAAATAAAAAAAGAAAATTAGGATGATCGTGCTGATTTTATAAATAAAGATGCATATTTTTACATCTTCCATTGGTATTGCATTAGCATCTATAATTAGGAAGTTATGGAAATTTTTCATTAACTTTAGTTTACAAGTAGAATACAAATATTGTACTTAAGTTTAAAATGAGCAAATTCTTCTTAAGGAGAATATAATTAAGTAATAATTCAAGCTGAAATCTAATTTATACATGAGCTATATATTTTAGTGATTATAAATTAAAATGTAATTAGATTTGTTTTATATTATTTAATATTTATGAAAAATACTTTTAAATAATTTAATAATTACTATTGAGCAAATTTAAATACTCATAATCATTTCTTACAATCAAATTATGACCTTCCCAATTTAAAGAATCAAAAAACGTAGTTGAAACAACATAGATTTGAATTTGACAATTAAAAGAACACTTTTTAAGAACAAAAATGTGTAAATAAGGAGAGTTTTGAATTGATTTATTAAAGAAGAAAGCTTTTATACTTCATAAGAAAATGAAAGAGTATAAAAATGGAATTTTTGAATGATGGCATGCCATTACTTTAATAAAATTAGTAAATATATGAGTTGGACTAACATTTGAACGAATTCTTATACTATAAATTGGGAAAATGAATTTGGATGAATTTTATATTATTAATAGTTAAGTACTTACTTTTGAGTTGGAAATTATAAAGTAAAAGATTATTGTATATTTAAATTACTTTCTTTGATACAAAAAGAAAATGATTTACTAGAAATATGAAATACTTTATTATTCATAAATGAATCTTTAAATCACAAAATTAATAAACAACTCTCAAGATAAATTAGTGTAATTATTACTATAAATACAATCATTAAATAAGATATCATCTATTCCTTTTGATTTAAGATTTAGGTTTGGAAGATAAATGTCATCAATATTTGATATAATTTTTAAATCAATTTTAGATGTCATATTAACCCAAATCCTTTTTCTTTATTTAGTTACTACTAATCATATGAAAGAGAAAAAAAAAAAGAATAATTTTTGGAAAAAGAATATTCTAATACATTTAAAAATTTTCATCATCGAAGAGTTTTTGAAATGGATTATTCTATACATCTAGAATCGACATATATAAGTTGTAATCAGAAATTATTATAAAAATTTGTGA